TTTTAAATGACACACTTGCATGACTGTAATTATCTACCTGTATGGTTATAATACTTCAAGTTATAAAATGTTTTTAAAAAATGTAAAAACTTGGTCCTAAAACTGAATGGAGGGACAGCTGGCACCTTTTACACAACCTAGTTATTATAAATCATTCAGAAAATGAGCAGTTTAGTTAATAATTTACAAGAAACATAATATCTCTTAACAATTCAATTATTAAGAAATAAGGCAGTTTATAAGCTTTTTCACTTAACATAATAGCTACTTTTATAATTAAAGTTAGAAGATTAAGAAAATCTTTATATCTTCTCTGAATGAGATTCTGCCTTTTTATTACAGTAATTGAACTGCCAATCAAAATTTCAATTGATAAATCAAATCACTTATATCAGTTCTTTATTATTCCATTCTTCAGACTTAGAAATTAACCTGTCTTCCAATCTCCTAAGAGAAGTATTTTAGTGGCAACCTATTGGCATTCCAAATAACACAATACCAATACCACAAAATCTTTACAAATTCTTCATAACAAATTCTTTTGTTAAAAAAAATGTAAGAGCTAGAGAAAAAAACTCTACCAGTGTATTTCTCCAGTCAATTCCTGTATTCTACACAGAATGACTCAAAATAAAAGGTTAATCAAAATTTGTTAACATTTATTTTTTCGTTTTCTAAAAACAAAACCAGATGCTGACTAACAAAAGCTAAATTAAATTTCTGGTAAGTAAACAAACAGAGCTCACTAATCTTATAACACAATCTGAAGAGCCTAATTTCTCACAGTAAAAATTCTTAAATCTATTTGGATTCATTCATGTTATCTTATTTAAGAAAACATATTTTCTCAATCTGGGTAGAGTATACAAAGGGTTAATTATTCCAAGGATAAGATTTCTGACAGGCCCATATGTCAGGCTTTTATACAAAACATGGAAATTTCCTGATTTTATATTTTGATTGCTAAGTTTTAGATTAAAAAGGGTCAATTCACTTGTAGTGCGTATAATTATGCCCTAGCTATAACATTTCATTAAAGGTAGCTGAGTCAGTTTAAAAATGTCATAGACCAGTACATTGCACTAGATTACCCGTTTTACTAAGCTCTGAAGTTGCCACATTTCCCACATTAATTAATAAGTTAACAGGATATGAAACTATAACATTTGAATTGTGATTCTTATCTGAATATCAGTACTAAATTATAATCTCAAGTAGCAGTTTTCTAAAATTAAATTTTAAGAGATTAATCTCATAGATCAATTACAGTTAGATTTTGAGTATTCAAATTCAGTAGCTAAACTTTCTTATATACAGCATTAGCTGCCTGGCTCACTTACAGTTTTTAAACTATAACCCAGTATTATAATTAAAATTCTCCCCATAGAAAGTCCCTATGATACACTTTTATTTACAATTACACCTTCTTCATAATTGTCATCAACTCATTGACTTCTAATTAAAAGAAAATCTTTAGACTTTATGATAATAATTATTAATCTATATTTCACTAGTAAGCACACACACAAACCAAAGTTATACTATATAAATAAAATTATACAGAGAAATTAATATTATTAGGATAATAAATGTTCAGTAGTACCGTACTCACTGTTTGAGCTTGATTAGGTTTGACCTGTTTCTTCACTGAACTCAACACAAAATAATAAGTCAGTAGGATGCTGTTGAAAAGCTGAAAAAAGAAAACAGAAAACATATGTACACTTCATGAAAAAAATATTAGCTTTTAGCTGAATTAAATAGTTAAGTGAAAACCCTAATTTAGTAATGCCGGTTTACAGTTCAACACAAAGACAAAGAATGTATACTGGTTTAAATTAACTTTTCTGTGCTTGGGAAAACTCAATGTATCATGGACAACTTAAAATAGTTTTGTCTGATACATGAGAATCAATTTTTAACAGAGCAAATTCTTTTAAATTGCTGCATGCATTAAACAAGAGGCCCATGGGCCTCATCGCTCACTTGAGAAGCTTTGACCATGGTGTTCAGATTTTTTTAAAACTGACCCCAACCTACCCAGTATCATAATTTAGACAATTTAAAAAACTCTCCCAGGAAGCTTCCACATAAGTTTCAGCTTTTCTGGCCCAGTGGTTCTTATGATTTTTAAACACTATATATTTCTATGTTAAGTTCCCCGTTGTGGCCCTACCCTACCCCCGGGGGTCACGATTTGAACAATTTAGAATCTGCACTACCCTAGGATGCTTCCACTTAAGTTTCAGTTTTTCTGGCCCAGTGGTTCTTGCGAAGAAGATTTTTAAAGATTTTTCCTATATATGTCTATGCAAATCTTTGATTCCCCATTGTGACTTGAACTAATTAACAGAATGCTTCCACATAAGTTTCAGCTCTTCTGGTCCACTTGAGAAGATTTTTTAATGATGTTTCCTAATAATGTAAAATTTTACATTTCACAAGTGAACAAAGCACACATACAAACCAAAGTTAAAGATATATATATCTCATAAATAATACAGAGAAATTAATACACTATCCCAGAATGCTTCCACATAAGGATATAATAAATAAAGATTTTCTTATATATTTTATGTAAAACTTTGATTCCCCATTGTGGCCCCGCCCTACCCCCGGGGGTCATGATTTGAACTGTTACCCCAGGATGCTTCCACATAAGTTTCAGCTTTTCTGGCCCAGTGGTTCTTGAGAAGAAGAGCATTTTTGTTTCTTCAATCTCCCCTTGTGAACTCAACATTTTAACAAAACAGGATACCAAGTCAAAATTGGCCCAGTGGTTCTTGAGAAGAAGTGGAAAATGTGAAAAGCTTACAGACGGACGGACAGACGGACAGCTAGACGGACAGACTGACGATGGACAAAATGTGATCAGATAAGAGGCCCATGGGCCACATCGCTCACCTGAGAAGCTTTGACCATTTTGTTCTTTACCAGAATCCCCCCTTGTAATACATAGTGTGACCCCACGCTACCCCACTGATCATAATTTAGACAATTTAAAATCTACACTACCATGGGATGCTTTGATTCACCATTGTAAAACTTCGATTCCCCATTGTGGCCCCGCCCTACCCCCGGGGATCATGATTAGAACAATTTAAAATCTACACTACACCAGGATGCGTCCACATAAGTTTCAGCTTTTCTGGCCCAGTGGTTCTTGAGTAGATTTTCAAAGATTTTTCCTATATATTTCTATGTGAAACTTTGATTCCCCATTGTGGCCCCGCCCACCCCCCCCCCAGGGGGGGGTCATAATTTGATTAATTTAGAATCTACACTACCCCAGAATGCTTCCACATAAGTTTCAGCTTTTCTGGCCCAGGGTTCTTGAGAGAAGATTTTCAAAGGTTTTTCCTATATATTTCTATATAATTTAATTTTACTTGTAACGCGTCATTTGATTGGATAAAAGATTGTATCCATTTTGTATAAAATAACTTGCCTACGTCACAGTGAGTTACGTCAAAAAACGTATTACTCCGCTTGATGTTACATTTAAAATTTTCTGTGAAGCCTTAAATTGTCTGCACTGAAATTAAATTATAAGGAATGAAGCTAATTTCAACTTATATTATACGATATAACGAAACTTGGGGCAGTTTGCGCTTTTTTATAAACCGCTTCATGGTTTATAAAGCGTAAACTGCCCCAAGTTATGTTATATCGTATAATATAAGTTGAAATTAGCTTCATTCCTTAAATAAAAATTTGATACCCCATTGTGGCCCAGCCCTACCCCCGGGGGTCATGATTTGAACAATTTAGAATCTGCACTACCCTAGGATGCTTCCACTTAAGTTTCAGCTTTTCCGGCCCAGTGGTTCTTGAGAAGAAGATTTTTAAAGATTTTTCCTATATATTTCTATGCAAATCTTTGATTCCCCATTGTGGCCCCGCCCTATCCCGGGGGCTCATGATTTGAACAATTTATCAGAATGCTTCCACATAAGTTTCAGCTTTTCTGGCCCAGTGGTTCTTGAGAAGAAGATTTTTAAAGATTTTTCCTATATATTTCTATGCAAATCTTTGATTCCCCATTGTGGCCCCGCCCTATCCCGGGGGGGGGGGGGGGGGGTCATGATTTGAACAATTTAGAATGACTACACTACCCCAGAATGTTTCCACATAAGTTTCAGCTTTTCTGGCCCAGTGGTTCTTGAAAAGAAGATTTTTTAATGAACTCACCCTATTTTTGTCTTTTCTTGATTGTCTCCCCTTGTGAGGGGACTTGGCCCTTCATTTTAGCAATTTAAATTCCCCTTCACCCAAGGATGCTTTGTACCAAGATGGTCAAAATTGGCCAAGTGGTTCCTGAGAAGAAGTCGAAAATGTGAAAAGTTTACAGACCGACAGACAGACAGACGGACGGACAGATGATGGACATATGTGATCAGAAAATCTAACTTGAGCCTTCGGCTCAGGTGAGCTAAAAAGCTCACTTGAGCCTTCGGCTCAGGTGGGCTAAAAATGTTGATTTCAATCCTACAAAGTTATGGACCAGGCATAAATGTTACTTTTTTCTTACTTTGACCTTGAACATGCTTTAATAATCTTCAATCAAGGTCAAGACAAACCAACAGGTCACAAAAAATCTTTGTGTAATTTATGATAAATGAGCTTCTCATGTTTTTCATTTCAAATTTACCAAAGCAAGATAGGTCATTTTCATTCATCTAATTTTCGTTTTAAATTTCATTGGTCAAGAAGAATATTGTAATATAAATTACATGTACTGAATGTAGTTCAGGATGATATTGAAATTTTTCACCCTATTAATTAGAAAAATCATCATCAGCAAATGCAGTGTCTACATCAGTGTCCACATATCTATTACTGTCCAACGTTACCATATAAATAAATTTCATGTAAAAGAATTTAATATTCTGCACTGGTGGCTACATTATAATCTTTTTAACTCTAGCAAATGTTTGGAATTCTTAGTCTATAAAAATAAAACGGTACGATATAAAACATTTAATATTTTTAACGACTCTGACATTCTAGTATTGGTCTCAGTGACGAGTCAACAGATCCGGTGATTATAACACGGAAGACTGATTTCACTAAAGGTAAAAATAAATCCACACACAGGGAAGTATTCTTAGAGCTAAATTAGACCTTATAATTATCATCATACCTGATCACGACAGGTACTATGCTAAAAGGATGGATTCTTACAATTTATCAAGATCTCCTGCGTAAGTTTAGAATTCATTGAAATACTTTTGTACTTTATAGACAATTTTGCATTGAAACATGGTTGAAATTACAGGTTAATATCAGACCTTTTCTCAATTGATAAAGATATATTTCCTATTTTACAGGAATGAGAGGATTTTACAGTGTATGTCAGAGTCCGTGTTTGTGGGATTGAGTTATAAGTTTGGGACGTCAGAGCAGTTGGCCATGAGAAGAGATGTAGTGGACGTCACTGAGATATTGGTAAATCGGGTTAGATCTCGGCTCGATTACAGTATCCGAGTGAGTGGAAGCCAGAGGGAGGGCATACGACAAATGAACTCGGATATAGACATAATGTACTGGCAGAATAACTATCGCGTGATCTGGGACGCTAACCAGCGCTGGAATTTTAATTATTATGGACAAACACTGGTCCTCGCGGACTGTTCTTATTGTCCACCTGGACATGCTTTACTCCAGCTACTGACACTGCCTTTAATGAATACCGAAATCCTGCCTGCCTGCATCAAACTGCATGGTACACAATATATATCTAGTTCTAAATATAGACAGTTCATGTGTTGTGCAATAATACCGAACTCAGTTTTACATGGACCGTGCAGCAGTGGTTTTTTGGCAGAGGGAGGGGGAGAATATGATATTGCCCACTCTTTACCCTCAGACTTTTGGCCTCCGCCTGCCTACCCCTGGATAGAGAGGTGCCGCTCGCAGTCTTGGCCCTCACCTGCTGTGGTGGATGATATAGTCAGAAGTGGGTGCCACTTTGTACCAATTGGACCCAAACTAGGATATGACACAGACCATCAATGGAGAATTTCCTTTTCTGTGGCAGAATATAAGCTTGTGTGCTCATTGAACCACTGCCAATTCTTAATATATGGTTTGCTTAAGATATTTCTAAAAGAAGTCATTAACAAAGGATTAAGTGAAGAAGATAAATTACTTTCCTCCTATAACATGAAGACAGCAGTTTTCTGGGTGGCACAACAAAACACAATACCTCACTGGTGTCCACAAAATCTCCTGGAGTGTTTCTGGGTCTGTTTTAAATGCATTCTCAAATGGGTGTATGAGGGAGTCTGTCCTAATTTCTTCATTCCCCAAAATAACATGTTTTGGGGTAAGGTTTATGGTGAAGCACAGAAGACCTTGTTCTTCAGACTGTACAGTTTGTATAAGACAGGGATAGGATCTCTGCTCCTCAGCCCCTCTGTCCAGTACTCTCTGGATATCTATTACAATCCCAGACACCCCGTTTGTACGGAGGAGCACAGTTTGTGCTCTGAGACCAGGTTTGATTTGCACCTATTGGATGAGATTCAGAAGATTGATGCACCGGGAATACCTGACCTTTCCTCCTGTGTGAGATACCTAAGCACCACAGAACAACTGATAGGTTTACCTCTCACCAAGTATCACAGGGTCACATTACAGAGACTTCTAGTTGTTGTACTTCAGAAAACAGCTTTTATGTTACATAGGAAAACGAATACAGGCAAAAACAAAACTATGTACAAAGTAGACAAAATGTCTTGTTATATGCTTAGACTAGCCGCCAAGTTTGGTTACATTTCAGACATGTCATTCATTGCCATGTATTATTACAAGACATTTAGATACACAGAGGCTTTAACTATTATAGAGATGATTAAGGACAAGTTAGCACAGCCCTATGTGATGTACATGTTTAATGTAGAAGCAGAGTTGTACACTGAGGCTGTAGGGGGACAGTCCTGGTCGACAAAGATGAGACAGGCTATAGCACGAGACATCAGACTTTACACTGACGTCCAGTACATCAGTGAACTGATACCGGAACAACAGGTCAAAGATCTCCATCAGAGACCCGACTTAATTCTCCCCCTCTACCCACTGCTACATATGCTGGAGTTCTTATGCTGCAGGCATTCTGACGTAACAAGAGCGCAGACATCCCTACAGGAGTTAGAGCTCCTACTTCACAATGATGAAGGAGAGCTGGTGAGCCCGGAATTCAGGGGTACGGCATGGCAGATACTCGGGATCTGTCAACAGGTCTCAGGGAATCTCCACGCTGCTCTACACTCGTACAAACGAGCACTGTCTGAAATTCCATTTAACCAAATACGAGATATTACTATGATAAGAATTATGATAGTGTTGTACAAACTCATGAATTAATTTTGAATAAAACTATAAAGATAACAAGGAAGAAGCCAGGGAATTTGTAAACAAGTGACAGGGAACCTAACAGACTGCTGCAATACACTCACAGGCCATTGTGCCTCAGCTGACTAGTGTGGATAACATTCATGTTGACGAATGTGATGATGTTTCATCATTGTATTGTGATACATGTATATGCATTGGGCAATCCCTGTTATTTTCAAGTGATTTCATCTTTGATAAAATGATAATAATTTTCTAGTAATGAATTGCACAAATATGAAATTTCTCCTTCAAAAATGCCTTCAATTTGAATATATTTTTAAAGTAATCATATTTTAAAATTTTTGATACGTTTTTGATATAAGGCATGAAGGCAACATATTTTACAGATATAAAATAAACTTAAGTTAGTTATCCAATCAAATGAGATATAACATCCAAATTTAAAATAATAGCTGCAAAATTACCTTCATCTATAGCACAGTGGTGGAACAAAATCTTCTTATTATATATCTGTAAATTAACACAAAAGCATAGTAAATTAATTACAATTCATAATGGTAAGTCATGATAAATTATATCCTGATGAAAAGTGTTTAAGATGACTAATTATAAATTATTTCTTCTCTTGAGACAACAATTTGAATTTTCTGTTGTTTTTTTAAGTATACACTGAATAGAAAAAATTGATGTGACATGAAAGGAATCTCAGTCATACCTCAGTTAATCTTTATATCCTGTGACCTTGAACTGATTGCCCTTTGACCTCAGTGTCTATAGCACCTGTCAGTTTCTTTACAGCACATCACTGGGGTATGCTAACCAAGGTTTGATCAATGGGCACAACATGGCAATCTAAACACTAAATTCAATTCACTTAATCATCAAAGAATAGAACACGATTCCACTGCTTCAGAATCTAACACACATCGATACTTTCTATAATATTCCAACAAAGCATATACGATACAAAATGAATGTGGTAATGGTTATTTTTTAGTTCTCCTCTACACAACAGATTCTGCAGACAGTAGCAATAGAACCATCTCCTAGAATGACCACTTAAACCAAGTCAACAAACTATGATAAAACCTAAATACAAACAATGGACCTGAAGACAATTTAAAAGGAATTCTGGTCCTAACAAAGAAGAGAGTGGAGTATAATTAATGATGTAAGATTTAATAGTTAATCCCTGGCTTTTATGGGGCGGACTAGGAACAGTTGTCAGTATTAATTCTATGATCTCATTGTCCTGTCTATTGTGATCAACCAGTGACAACAGTTTTAATCCAATAAACAATATAAACACTCAGTCTTTTTTTTACTCAATGGCAATAAACCTATTGGAATTTTACTATATATATCTAGGTCTAATTATACTCCTCTTTATAAAATAGCTAATGTGTTTGTCTGTCACCACCAAATTAAGAAAATGGTTAATTAAACTGGAAAGTCATCACATAAAATTAAAGGCAATGGATACTAGTTTGGATGTATAACTCAGCGGTTAGAGTATAGAGGGATCAGGTAGGGGGACATAGGTTCAACTTCCAATGCAGCCATGCATTTTTCCTCTCTGTTAAATACACGTGATATGAAAGACAACTCAAATATCATGGAGTAGAACCACAAAATTAATATTTCAACCTTGAAATACATTTACACTGCATCATCTGATCCTTGACATAAGTGGGAATATTAATTATTTCTATTCCAAAATAGCAAATATAAAATCACAAATTTTCATGAAATTCGTTTTAACTCTCCCCCTCTTCCTCCTCCTCCCAAATAAATAAAGGTGAAAAATAGGATGAAAGAGCACCTACAAAAATTTTATATCAAAAACAATGACAATGAATAATCCTGATACAAAAAATAATTCAGTTTCTTTAATTCTATCTTTGTGCCCTTTCCCAATCTGCAATATTCAGGGACATTTCATTATTTTTTTTTTTTTGCTTGTATTTCTCCAGATTCTAACATGATGAAAAAACTGTCTCCATTTCAACAAATCTGCATCTGGCATGAAAGAAAAAAATGTTAAAATCTTCTGCTGTCTTAATTTTTTAATCATGATTTTTGAAGTGAGACATTCACTCATCATAATAAACAATTACACATCCACTGTTTGTGGCAAAGCAACTAAAAAAACAGTAAGTAAATGGATGAAACGTCATTCGATTCAAGTCAGAAATACACATGTAACACAGTTACACTTGTTTTTAATTATATGCTCCACGCTATAACAATTCACTTACACTTTATTTGTTTTTATTCTTTCATACTTTGGTAATTATTTTCTCAAATATTGAAGTCATTTAATTCCTTAAAATTCAATTTACACAGTTCATATGCAATCATGCTCATAAAGAGAGATAACTCTTCTATACACATCCACTGTTTGTGGCAGCAGAGAGTCTGGTAAAGAAAAAGCGTTTGTAACCAGAGGGCGCTATCTTGTTTTCATTTTAAAAATCCTTTTTGTAAGCAAAAGTTATATACGTTTCTTCTGCTTGATTGTGATTTTATATTAATAAACTGGTCTTTAATTAGGGATACCAAACGAAAAATTACAATATCAAATGAAAGAATGTGTATTACACAGGTAAGGCTACACTACTTTCACTTTTGCTTTTTACAGAATATTTATATGATAAAACACACTTACCTATAGCTGGTGGACATTACCGTAAACAATTCTTCTCTAACGGTTTTAACTTTTAGAAACATAACTTTTACATCTTTAAGTTATTTTTCTGCTGATTTATCACGTAATTGTTTGTAGGTGTGTTCTTTTCAGCCAATCAAAAACTTTACCAGAATTTCGGTAAAATCGCTTTGGCGTTACAATCGATATCACGTATCTTTACCAGACCCTCTGGGTGCGGAGATTTACGGAGACAGCCGAAAGAGAGATACTAACTCTTCTAACCTTCTTCAAAGACGTGTTTGTAAACAATGTAGCATCAAATACCATTAGATTATACAGAAATTTGCGCTTACAGAAAATACATTTATAAGGAACACCCTTATTATTGAATGAATTCAAGCTTATAGCAAAGTGATTTTCATCCCCTATGGTCATAAATATATTGTGAACATAACAGCAAAAAATTATGTTTATATCAAAGCAAAATTCTCAGTCCCATGCCAACTTCAACAATTTTAGGGAAATTAGAATTAATTTAGGAAAATACAAAAATTGTAAAAGCTGGAAAATATGTTTAAAACCTCCTAAAAAATTAAAACAATTTAAAAGCATCAATAAAAATCATTTCATATGTTACTTAGTCATTATTCTTATGTGCACAGAACTGCAGTATTTTATTTGTGAAGAATTATTTTGATTGCAGCTAAAGGCCAAACTAATCATAAGAGCACCAAGGTATAAAATGAACACAAGAACTACACAAAGTCTGCTCTAGCTGTTGACTTTCTCTGATAAACCACAATAAACACACCCTCTCTCACTCTCCGAATTATTGCAGTATTGTTCACCAGTTTACGTTTTTACACACACCCTTTCACACTCTGAAATATTGCCGCATTGTTCACCAGTTTACGTTTTTACACACACCCTTTCACACTCTGAAATGTTGCCGCATTGTTCACCAGTTTACGTTTTCTTGAGACTCTTGGCTCCTTTCTTGTTTTTCATGGCTGCCACGTCCACCTGATGAAACTGTAGCATGTCAGGTTTTCTGTTCACTACACCCTTTATTTTATTGGACCCCGTGGATTTCTTCTCTGTTCCCTCCTCCCCACCCTCCTGCATTTCCTGACCCCCTGCCTCCCCTCCCACCCCCTTCTTTGGATAACCCCTCACTATGGCTGACCCTTTTCCTTCCTGGATAGATTGCTCTCCCTCCCCTGTTTTCGTCCCCTTCTCTCCCACCTTAACACTACTCTCACCCTGTGCACTGCTTTTCCCTACAAAGTCTTTGGGCTGCATTATGTGGAATTTCTTTGCCAAACCTGGCCCTAAGGCTGTAGTGGTTTTCTTCTTTGCGAAGCTATTTGAGTCATAAATATGGAATGTAAGTTTGCTGGGGGACACTTTCTCGCTGCCTTCTTCCACTTCTTTCTCTACGGTTTTGATGGGTGTCCCCCCACCCCCACCTTTCTTAACAATATTTTTCATAGTCACAAACTTCATGTCTGGATTATTGAATGACATTTTCCCTTTTTTCATCTTTCCCTCTGTGTTCTGTGTTGATTCTTTTGTTGATTCCTCCTCATCACCTGCATCTGTCTGTGATTTTTGTTCCTTGTCCTCTACATCTTTTTTACCCTCTTTGGGTGCTGCTTCACCTTTGACCTTCTTTGGTTTTTTGGTGTCCTTGTTTTGTTTGGCACCAGACACATTAGAACTCTCCTCTATCTTCGCTTTCTTAGCCTTCACCTCATCCTCTTCTCCCGGATTCTTCACAATATCATCGCTGTCTGCCTTGACACTCTTCTTCCTTCCTCTTTTTCTGGGTGGCTCTGTTCCATCTTTCTCTGATTTTTCTTTATCACTTGGTAAGGATTTTGATACAGATTTTTTACCACCTTTTGAACCTCCTTCTGTCTTAACACTGCTTTCACTCCCTTTCTTGCCTTTTGAAGCTGAATCAGACACTTTTGCCACTGCCTTTGATGAACCACTACTGATAACAGATTCCTTCTTGCTTTCTTCCTTCTGAGAAGTTTTAGTCACTTGTTTTGATTGTTCTTTAACTTCTACAGATTTGTTGCTTTTCTTCGATTTCATGTTACCCTTAGTTGTATCTTGTTGTCTACTTTCTTCTTCCATCTCAGATGCTTCTAAGTCGAACTCTTGAAGAGAAGCAACCCCTACATCTGCTTCACTAGAAGATGGCTTCTTCTGTTTAATAATTGTCCAGGAATGATTCTTCCGTTTGTGTTTTCTCTTCTTACCGCGAGGCCAGCCTCCCTTTTTACGTTCCTGCAGATCAAACTCCTCTGTCGTGATTTTTCTGTCCTCCTCCTGTTGAACAAGTCGTTTCATCATGGCTGCCTCTGTGGCCCTGTCTTCTTCTGACAGTGTGCCATTGGATCCTCTGTCTTTCTTCACCAAACAGAAAGCCTTGAAGTGGTTCATTAGAGATTTGGGATAAATAAAACCTTTGTTACAATAGAAGCATGTGTGTCTCTGTTTTTGATGGAATTCTTCATTCACGTTAGATTTGATCAGTTTTATGTCCTTGAATTTATCTTTCTCGTCACATTTCTTCACATGCCTCTCCAACAGAGAGATAGTTTTGAACTTAACTCCACAGCCTTTGCATTGTTGTTTATCTAAAACCTCACTAAATTCTCGTCGACGGATATGATTTCTCGGATTGTAGATCACAAAATCTCGTTTTCTCCTGGACTTTTTCTGCTGCATGTTTTCTGACACCTTCATCAATTTTACAGCCTTGCTTTGTTCAGTTTTGATTTTGACTGGTGAAATAGACTTTCCAGCTGCTTTGCCTTTAAACTTCGTAATTATGGTACTTTTACCTTTCACTGGTGTATTTATCTTCTTTTCCACCATTTTTTTCTTCTCGTTAGGTTTTGTAGATGGTGGCTTCAGTGTCTTCTGCTCTTTGACCTTTATCTCCTGAAATACCTCCTCTTTGTCCTTGACTATTTCTACCTTCTCAGGGGTCATTCTCTTCTCAGATATGCTTTTCTTCTCCAGAGTGACTTTCTTCTCTGGAGTTGGGAGAGACTTTCTTCTCGGGAGTGATTTTTTTCTCTGGGGTGACTTTCTTCTCTGGGGTGATTTTTTTCTCCACCCCGGGTTTCTTCTGGGTGGTATTTTTCTTCTCCACTGGAGTTGTGGGTCTCTCCCTGACGTCACCCACTGCTTTCTGATCCGGCTTCACTTCCTCTGAGTTCACAGATTCTGCTCTGACAACCTTATCCTCCTCCTTGTCACTTTTAGAAGAAAGTTCCTTCATTCTAGAGTTAAGCTCCTTGACGTTCACTTGACTGGGTAGTTTGGATGGACTCTCAATTTCCCCATTTTCTGTTTTAATTGGTGTCTTACGTTTGTAGTATGATTTCTTCTTCTTAGGAGATGGTTGAGGGGTTGCACAGTTAATGATATGAACTCGGAGTCTGTCCACACTCTTAAATGACCCTCTGCATCGAGTGCAGTTGTACGATGGTCTATTTATAGCTCTCTCCAGGGCTTTACCAGATGACCCCAGTAACCCTCTATTGCAGGGTTTGGAGTAGTAGAGACTCTCAATCTCGTGTCCTTGTTCTACCTCCATGAAGTCGCAGTAAATGGATGGATGCTTCTTCCACTGGTGTCGGAGTAACCTATCAAAGTCTGGATAATGCCTCTTACAGACAGAGCACACATAAGCCGTGTCTCCCAGCTTACCAAACATGATGGTCTCGTAGTTGTACAGTGGACTCCTGTGAGGAGAGTTGCCTGCGCTGGAGGACTTGGGTTTCTTCTCATCAGGTCTACCCCTAGCTCCTCTGGCTAAATCAAGTCCCTGCAGCATCAAGTCATGGTCTTTGTTATTAGTTTGGTCGGAGTCAGAGTCAGTGAACAGGTCCACCAGTAAGATCCCAGAATTACTGTCGTCACTCCCCAAGTCCTCAGTCTTTGGCTTGTTGTCTGCCCCATCTCCAATATTTGTACCTACTGTAGTGTTGTAATCTGCTGAGGCTTTAGTGCCAACTGAATTGATATTGTCACTCTGTTTTTGCGACACAGAATCAGTCTTATCATTTTCTTTCTCCGTCTTCTTCTTATCAGCTTTCTGTAGATCACTATGACAAATCACTGTTAAGCCCCCTTTCTTTAGTTTACTGTACTCCATGATTTTAAATATATGCCTTCTTGGGAGATGCTCACTTTCACTATTTTCCTGGTCCTTCTCTAAGCTTTGGTTTTCACTTTCAGATATTACACATTTCTCCTCTGTACTTTCTTGTGATTGTTTTCTGTTCCCATTAATGTCACTAGGACTTGTACCACTCACTGCTGAAGGCTGGGGATCTGTAATGGTGTAGACTCTACCTCAGGAGAGTCCTTTGTTATAGCACTTTCCTTTGTTAAACCATTTTCCTTTATTTCTTCATTTATTTTGTTCTCTGTATTTTGTGGCTTAACATTATCTGACAATTTATTTGAATCCTCTTTTTGATCATCATCAACTTTCTTATCATTGTTTTCCAATGTCTCTGTGTCACTTCCATTCTTTGCTTTCTCTTCAGAATCATTACTAGATTTTTCTTCAGTGTCACCAGTGTTGTCTGCCCCACTTTCCAGTGGTGCTATGGTGATTGTTTTGTTGTCCTCATTAATTTCTGCATTAGAAGGGTCTTTTTTGGGAGTCTCCGGCATCAGCATGGCTGCCTCTTTTCCTGAGAACACGGAGGTGATCTTCAGCATGGGGGATTCACTCCTTTCTGATTTGACTGGAGAGTTTGTCACACTGCTGTCAAACCTGTTGCCCCAGATGCTGTCCCTGCTATCATCCTTACTGTCTTTGGAGTTCCTCCTTCGGGTACAAAGAGCTGGCCCACGGTCATCTAGGGAATTTTCATCAATATTCACATCAAAATAATTTGGCACTTCTTTTTCATACTTCTTCATCAGCTCTGATGGATCTAGTGGACAATATTCAAAGTTATCATGCAGCAGCCTGGGATTGTAGCTCTGTGGAAAGTTGTACTGGTCCAGAGCGATCTTGCCGGGTTCCTCCACCTTTTTTTCTTCCTCCACGTTTTCCACGTCCACTTCTTCTTCCTCCTCCCCCCGTTTACTGTGGGCCTCCAGCGCCGCCTGCCCTCCGTCCAGGTAACACGTCAGGTTCTCGGCGATGTTGTATGCCACATTAGCGAAGAACGCCGCTATAAGCTCTGGGTTCTCCTCAACCACATTAGCAGACTCAGAGCTCCCTTCTGAGTTAGCATTACTGTTAACTTCATCATCTGGATCTTCATGAGCCACACGTCGATGCCGACACATGTTGGCATACTCTGTGAATCTCTTCTTACAAATAGTACAGGAGAACTTGAATCTGGAGTCTATTCCATCCTCAATCCTTGTCTTGGACTTCTTTTCCTTTTTTGGCTTTGTCTCTTTGTCCCCCTCTGTTGAGCTGCTGCAGGTGCTTGCTCTGTCCGAGGACTTGCTGTTCTCGTTTTCGTAGCTGTTGTCCAGGTACTTCTGAGCCTTCACTCCCAGCTTTCCCTGCTTCTCCAGCAGCTTGAGAAGCCTCTCCCTGTGGACTGTGGGGTGGAGAAGTCGGATGTGCTTCCTCAGGGCGCCAACGTGAGAGAAGACTGCCTCACAGTGACGACACGGCACCTTACACCCGATGTGGATGTTCATGTGCTTCTTCAGGTTAGTCATGGAGGGAAAGGATTTGTCACAAACAGTGCATTTGCAAGGGCGATTATCTACAAAATTAAAGGAGGATATAATTAAAATTAATTGCCTATATGTGTATTTGACAATATAAATAAGAAACTTTTGCCATTCTTAAGGGTTTACATGTATAAAATTTATTTTTACCATTGCATTCAACAGGACTTTTAAGTAAGTTATACCCTTGTAGGAAAGAGAAAATAATTTGACTGCTACTTACCTGAATGAACAGCTTCATGCTTGACCAGATTTGTGGAATACTTGAATTTCATTGGACACTGAGAGCACATGAATGGTCGCATGGGATCCCCACTGTCATTGACTGGTTCTACCTTGATCTTCTGTTTACTGGTTCCCACTGTGCCGTTCCCAGAAGTTTTTCCCTCATGGACTAGTTGATGGCGCACCAGATTCATTTTAAACTTAAAGGTCATATTGCACAGACTACAAGCAAACGTTTTAGCATCAGGAACTTCCGAGTGTTCCTTGGTGTGGTCTGTAAGTTCAGGGGCCTTATCAAACAGCTTATTGCACACATTACACCTGTATAGACCTGGATAGAGCCCAGACTCAGTGAACTTTTCATCCGGATTGACATCAGCTGAGGACTCATCCAGAGTTTCCTCACAGTTACTTGCTGTATCAGTTAACGACTCCTCTTCCACTGTTTCATTGGCAGAATCATCAGACTTCTCATCATCATTTGTTTCCCCCTCCTCTGATTTTATGTGGATGTTGGTATGTATCCTGTTCACGGCTTCCTCTCCGTTTTCCTGCAGGATTGCGTGATACTGAGAGGCCACGGATATCATACAGTTTGTTATGGCAGCCTTACTCAGATACTGACAGTTGATGTGATTGCGTAGATAGTGTCTTTTTAAGCTAAATTTGTGTCGATACAGTCCCCCACATATATTACACTTGTACATGCGTCGATTATTGACGCTGGTAGCGATACGATTAAGGAAGCCAAACTGATACTCCCTCCGTTTTGAAGGGTACTTCCAGTTATCCTCGATCTCTTTTAATTTCTTTTTATCCGCCTCAAAGAACTCGGATCCACCATTAGACGTGCTGTAGACTTTGATGGTGTCCACGTCCAGACTGTTGAAGATCTGCGTAGTGATGGCTTCCGTTGAGGGATCTTCTGTCACGGACTCCTGAGATTCCACGCTTCGCTTCGTTCGTTTCTTTGGAATGAGTTCTGCCAGAGACACTTCTTCGACATCTCCGAATATCTTCTTTTTCTTCCGCTGTCGTTTTTCACTTATCGTAACATTCTCTCCTAAACCAAGGCTCGCGTCTGATTTAGATCTTTTGATTGTCCTCTTCTTAGGACTTGTTGTACCTTCAATATGCAAGACTTACTTAAATGTACATTTCAATAAGCATTATTAACTCTAGAAAATAAAATACTTGTTTTTACTTCACATAATAAAATTTATTTACAGTTAAATAAGCCTTACAATCTTTAGAATGGTACTTCATAAAATTAAACTCTGAAAAATCATCTCTTTCACAAATAATTATAGCTTGAAGGTAAAATGTTCAAATTTGATGTCACATAAAAAGATGCAAAGTATCCCCAAAAATTCAGAACCATTTTATTATAACAATGAATGTCGTTATCAACCAAATATTATTTTAATCAGTAAATCATAATGCAATAACTTTCACAACTTGCAGACGTCAACGTAATCAACTTCACTCTAGGAGTAAAGCAAATCCCGCTCCCAATAAAGAAATTCTCCCAGAGTTTCATAATTTCAATATATCCGTACTATAAAACAATTACTGTAAACCAACTTTTATTCACGTGCAAGAAAAACAGATTAATTACCCATTAAAGTGTATGTGGTCAAAAAGGCTTATCGCAAAAATTAATCGTCCCTAACTAGTTTATCCCTGATAAATCGCGAAATAAAGTCGTCCGAATAAAAGTTGGTTTACAGTAATTACCCACTGTGAGGTCAATATGGTAAAATAAGGATCTGCGACCTGGCCCACTAGATGACCTGACTGTGCAGCCTCGGTCAGGTCAGGTTACCTTGTGGGCCAGGTCTCAGGTCCTTATTTCACCATGTCAACTTTAAATGGGGTAATTAATTGTATAATGACTTTTCTGTCTATACCCTTTTTCAAAAATATTAATCCCTTACCTTTTGTCTTTGACTTTTCCTCAGTTTTACTGGAGTTACTGTTCTTTTTTATGCGACTTCTCTCAAACCAAGTCAGGAGTTCTTCACCAGCTGGTATGTCCTACAATAAGAGGTCACCTCAGTGTACTGTAAGCAAGAACACTGAGTGTTGTGATTTGATATGCAAGTAATTCAATATGACTAAAAAATAAATATATGAAAAAGAGTATTATAATTCATTCCTTTTGAGATATCCTGCTGACCTTGAGTCCCTTTTTCATGACTGACACTATTAAAATACTTACCCTGATGGCCTTGTAGTTCCCTCCTGGACTGACACTTACCCTGATGGCCTTGTAGAACATCTGAGTCCCCTCCTGGACTGACACTTACCCTGATGGCCTTGTAGAACATCTGTGTCCCCTCCTGGACTGACACTTACCCTGATGGCCTTGTAGAACATCTGAGTCCACTCCTGGACTGACACTTACTCTGATGACCTTGTAGAACACCTGAGTCCCCTCCTGGACTGACACTTACCCTGATGGCCTTGTAGAACACCTGAGTCCCCTCCTGGACTGACACTTACCCTGATGGCCTTGTAGAACACCTGAGTCCACTCCTGGACTGACACTTACCCTGATGGCCTTGTAGAACACCTGAGTCCCCTCCTGGACCGACACCAGATTTTGCTCCTCCAGGTAGCGAGCACAGTTGACATAGCGGGTCCAGTCTCCTTTGTTGGGGTCTGTGGCATTGATAATGTGAATGAGTTCACTGGTCTCCAGATCATAAACCTACAATATCACAAAGTTATTAAATGATTGCATAATTCTTATCTCTCTGATTGGCTGAGATCCAACCATGCAAAAAAATGTATTACATTTTATTATATAGCCTATTGTAGTCCCTATTTAATTATACAAGCAAAAACAGTTCATAACACTACATATTCAAAGGATTTGAGGCTATTCACCAGAGTGTCAGAGCAGTGGGATTGTGACGTCAAAATCAACACCTCAAACAATGTTGTAAACAATGGTTGCAACGATCGCAGCCAGCTATGATATCTAAGCAGGAAAAATGTTCGACAAACCTATCACAGGATTATTTTCTAACATTTGGACGTCTTGTACACAGGGAAACTTGAAAAGGAAAACACAGAGGACATTTTTTTTTAATTTTCAACAACAGAAGTTTGTAATTGAAAATGGTGTCGTCATACAGCCTTCAATGTTTTAATTTATTCAAATCCAGACTATATAATAAAACAATTATGAACTCTTTCGGTGTTGAATATGGTTTGTTATTCACCACCAGGTTTGCCTCAGTCAATACCAATATTTTTCTGGTAAATAACATACCATACTCAACACCAAAAGAGTCCATAATTGTAAAATATTCACCTGCACACGATTTTCCAGGTGAATATAATGTCATGATGATTGAAAATTATCATGAATGATGTCTTTAAAACTGCGCTAAACATTTATTTATGAAATCTGAGGTCAAGGTCAAAGGAAAGGTCAAGGTCAGAAAAGTTTGATGCAGTTGAATAGCTCTCATCTGTCAGCAAATGAGGTTTGATAAAAATGTCTTGAATAGTTTCTTTGAAACTGAGCTAAACGCAAAGCATTACAGAAGGACAGATGGAAGGGCAGATGGAAGGACAGAAGGACGGAAGACGGACATGACAAACACTATATGCCCCGGCCATATTCATGGTGGAGCATAACAATTAGGGTGAATTCACCATGCATCGGACACCCTTATACTTCAACAAGTTCTAGGGATATAGCTATTGACGGAAAGTTATCAAAATGGAGCTTAACATTTAGTATGTGATCAAAATATAAATTTGGGACACAATTACATATTTTTTATTGAGGAAATATTATGAAAAATAGAGTTTATGAAAATCGCTTAGAATTCACCATGGATCGGACATTATTTACCATGACCGGACAGACTGTATTTGGACCGGAAAAATACCATACCTTTATCATAGTGCTTTAAAATCCTTGATATGGATATACTATTATATTTTATCTAAGAAATAACCCTCAAATTAAATTTATTTGACGATATTGTTGCACAAATATGGAAAGATTCAAGATGCCTTACTCTGCCTTAGAAAGGCTTTAAAATGCTTGTAATGCGGTAATTCGCGCCTTTTTCTCATCTGTTAAAATACTCTGGTTTGTAGAAATAAATTGAGTCAGATTCTAGACGTAATATATTGATAACTTGTATTTTGACTGTAAATATAGAGTTTTTATTTTCTACTTCCGCAAAAAATAACTGTCAGTTGGGTTCTGTATGAAAATGGTAGTGATTAACTTTGCATCAGAAAGTGTCCGATGCATGGTAAATTTGTGTCCGATGTAAGGTGAAATGAACATACTAATAAAAATCAGCTCTAAAAATAATTATACAAACATCGAAGTGAAATTTCTTTATAATTTATGTATAATTACCCATCCCTGACAAAATTCATCCAAGTCCGACTCGTTCCATGGAAGTCGAATTTAAAGAACGATAACTCTAATCAAAGGCCTGACGGCCTGAGAGGCGCATCGCATTGAGGGTATAAAACTTTTTTTTTCTTGGAGATATTCAACATCAATGTTAAGGGAACGAAATATTCCAGGAATAAGAATTTAAAAAATAACTAACGTTTTTTTTTAGGTTAAACTAGAACTGTCCAATCGGGACAAAATACCCCCCGCTGGGTTCTTCAGAAGTAAGTTTTTGCATAATAAAGATATGTATCAAACACGAATTATAAAATTTTTCTTCCAGTGACCTTGAACTTCCCCAAATGACCTTGGGTCAAGGTCATAGGCAATCTTTGAGTGAAATAAGAACCTACCAAGTTTATCAATAAGAAAGATATGGACCGGACACGAATTATTAAATTTTTCTTCCAGTGACCTTGAACTTCCCTACATGACCTTGGGTCAAGGTCATGACACACCCTTGGGTTATGGGCAATCTTTGTATGAAATGAAAACCTACCAAGTTTATCCTTAAGAAAGATATGGACCGGACACAAATTATTAAATTTTTCTACCAGTGACCTTGAACTTCTCCAAATGACCTTGGGTCAAGATCATGACACACCCTTGGGTCATGGGCAATCTTTATGTGAAATGAAAACCTACCAAGTTTATCCATAAGAAAGATATAGACCGGGCACGAATTATGAAATTTTTTTCCAGTGACCTTGAACTTCCCTAAATGACCTTGGGTCAAGGTCATGACACACCCTTGGGTCATGGGCAATCTTTGTGTGAAATGAGAACCTACCAAGCTTATCCATAAAAGATATGTGTCAAACATGAATTTTGAAATTTTTCTCCCAGTGACCTTGAACTTCCCCAAATGACCTTGGGTCAAGGTCATGACACACCCTTGGGTCATGGGCAATCTTTGTGTGAAATGAGAACCTACCAAGTTTATCCATAAGAAAGATATGGACCGGACACGAATTATGAAATTTTTCTTCCAGTGACCTTGAACTTCCCCAAATGACCTTGGGTCAAGGTCATGACACATCCTTACGTTATGAGCAATCTTAGTGTGGAGTAGTAGATTCTAATGTCCCTCTGTAAGAAAGATATGGACCGGACACGATTGCACAGACAGACGGACAGACAGACGGACGGACAGACAGACGGACAGACAGACGGACAGACGGACAGACGGACAGACAGACAGACGGACAAGGTGATTCCTATATACCCCCCCAAACTTCGTTTGCGGGGGGTATAAGAAATTAAGCCATGGCTCTGAATTTTAGCCAATCGATCAGGAGAGGAAAAACATTTTTTTTTTAAAAAGATATATCAGTTATAATTCATTGATATTTAAATTGAATCATAATTAATTTTAATTGTATTTTAATTCTTTTTTTTTTTTTTTTATTCTTTGACTATTAGGAAGATGAAATAATGAATGTCAATACAGAAATTACTAGTAATGATTATTGAAAAATATTATATAATTTCATATCTGAATTATTTCAGTTTCTTTCATTATGTGCACTTTTATAAATATCACTTCCTTGTTTTTAACTTTTTCCCAATATAAATGGCACAATGTATAACAAATGTTATATACATGAAATGTTCATGTAAATTATACGGGACTAAAATAAACGATCTGGCGTGGTATACGGTTTATTATGAACCCGATACAAAACCGAGTAATTCATAGTACGAGCTGTTGTTATGCAAATAGATCTTACACCGCGCAGTGCACGTTTGTTGTTTTCTTTCTTTGTTTTAATTGTTTATTTTCTCATTTTTCGTAACCTCTGTTGATTCAAAGTTAAAACAACATGTATGTGTGAGATTTTGTGTTATTAGCAGTTTAAAATTAACAATGGAAATCGCCAACTTGTCAATGTACATTAGCACTATTTTTAATAACGTGTTAAGAATCAATATTGTTGAGTCCTTTGCCGCCGCAGTTTAGATAAGAAAGAATTGCCAGGTGATCGCAATGAGGCTGCATCGAAAACGATGCGCCTCAAAAATGGCAAAATCTTAATTTTTTGGTTATTCCCCTTTGATGATGTAAAATATGACGTAACTTCAAGGCCATACTCGGTGTGTTTTTATCAAAACATAATATTAAAAATGGGTATTATCAAAAAATTTAAATCCTCAGCTTCAAGTCAGAAACAAATAAATACACAGAACTCTGAAGTTGAAAGAGAGTTTATTGCCTAAAGTTGTCCGAAGCAAGGTATGTGTCCGATGCATGGTTAACTCACCCTCTTGCAGTTTTTTTTTTTTGGTCAATACAATGATTTAGCCACCTTAGAAGTATGGCAAATAAATATTGTACTCCTAAGTGGCTATACCATTGTACTGACCTCAAAAGCAGCAATAATTGTATAATGTATACATACAAAACTAGAACTGTCCAAACGGGACAAAATACCCCCGCTGGGTTTTTCAGAAGTAAGTTTTTCCATAAGAAAGATATGTATCAAACATGAATTATGAAATTTTTTTCCAGTGACCTTGAAGTTCCCCAAATGACCTTAGGTCAGGGTCATGACACACCCTTGGGTCATGGGCAATCTTTGTGTGAAATGAGAACCTACCAAGTTAATTCATACAAAAGATATGGACCGGACACGAATTATGAAATTTTTCTTCCAATTACCTTGAACTTCCATAATTGACCTGGATCAAGGTCATGACAAACCCTTGGGTCATGGGCAATCTTTGTGTGAAATGAGAATCACCAAGTTTACCAAAAAGAAAGATATTGACCAGACACGAAGTATGAAATTTTTCTTCGTGACCTTGAAGTTCCCCAAATGACCTTGAGTCAAGGTCATGACACACCCTTAGGTCATGGGCAATCTTTGTGTGAAATGAGAACCTACCAAGTTTATCCATAAGAAAGATATGGACCGGACACGAATTATGAAATTTTTTTTCCAGTGACCTTGAAGTTCCCCAAATGATCTTGGGTCAAGGTCATGACACACCTTGGGTCATGGGCAATCTTTGTGTGGAGTAGAAAATTCTAATGTCCCTCCGTAAGAAAGATATGGACCGGACACGATTGCACAGACAGACGGACAGACAGACGCTTAATATGTAATCTACATGTATGTCATGTTTTGCTGAAATCAGACTAAAACTTCATAAAGAATAGCATTTTAGAGAATTGTCAGAAACAAACAGGTATTGGTCTCCATGAGCTCAGACTGAAGAGCTGTACTGACCTCCCAGGCATATCTAAAATCTATCTTCTTCTTTTCATGCTCCTTCACAATTTCTCCTTTAAAGGGTCCAAACAGAGAGCCTTGTTTGACATCACTTGTACACCAGGCACCTACAGACACACAGACAAGTCATAGTAATCATAATAAAGGAGAGGCCATGGGCCACATTGCTCACCTGAGCACTTTGTACACCATTTCTCATTTTTTTTTCTTTCATTCAGTGTCCACATTTAGACTTAATTCAGATATACTTTTCAAACATGTAATGGTTTGAATGCATCATGCGGTTTATTTACAAGCAATAACAAAATTTTCCTTACCTGTAATCCTACGGTCCACCTTAGAGGACTTAAGTTCTACCCCTTCTGGTGCCTTGATGTGACTGGGAATATTTCCATACACCATGGTAACGACCTATAACCTCATCCTGAAATCAACAAAGAATACTCTATATCAGGTAATAACTGTCAAAAACTATACTTTCAATTCTTTTTTTTTTTTTTCATCATGAGAAAGTGTTTGCAAGGAAAAAAATTAAGACTTGTAATTTGTTAATTCTCTATCCATGCCACAGTTGATTAAAACTAGATAAGCCATTTTAGAGAGGATAAACTAGAGGCCCATGGGCCACATTTCTCACCTGAGTAACTTTGGCCCTGTTGTTCTTTACTAGACTCTGCCCCTTGTAATACCTATTGTGGCTCCACTCCACCCCAGGGGAATTTAATTTCAACAATTTAGAATCTACACTATCTCAGGATGCTTTCACATATTAAGTCTTACCTTTTCTGGCCCAGTAGTTTTTGAGAAGAGGATTTTAAAGATTTTTTTCTATATATTTCTGAATCAGAATATGAAAATTTGATTCCCTATTGTGGCCCCACCTTCTCCCCTGGGGTCATGACTTGAACAATTTAAAATTTACACTATCCTAGGATGCTTCCACATAAGTTTCAGTTTTTCTCACTCAGTGGATTTTGAGAGAAAAAAATTCTATATATTTCAATGTAAAACTTGGATTCCATATTGTGGTCTTGCCCTTCCCCCAGGGCTCATGATTTAAATAATTAAGAATCTACACTACCCAAGAATGCTTCCACATAAGTTTCAGCTTTTCTTCAATTTTTCAGGAATTTTTACACCTCTGAAGCTGTGACCTTTACTTCTCTGAACCTGTGACTTTCTACTACACAATATCAGCAATGCACTAGCTCCTGAAACTCTTGCAAGTCCTCTAAGGAGACATCTTTATCTTGAGAAATAAGCATATTTTAATTTTAAAGTCACAAAAAATAAGATTAACCATCCAAAAGTTTCATTAAAAGTGCTTCTGGGTTCACATGTTTTTACTACTGTAATTTAGATGCATGTTGTGTCATGTGTTAATATTGTGCTGTATAGTCAAAATCTCAAGCATGACTACCAACTCATCAATTTATTGGCTTGATGACTAGCTGTTACCTTAACCACAATATACAAAGGGCCTCCTAATAAATCATGTACTTTTGCAATGTTTTAAAATATTTTATTTTTCTAAAATTATTGGTAATGAAAAATAATTTAGATATCAATATCTCAGTGTATACAATTTATTATTACACAAGAAATTCAATACTTTTAAGTTTTAAAATTTACTGATGGTGGATCTATTACTGTACATGTATATGCAAGGGAACTACAAAAAGTCCCTAATGTGACCATTGCATAAAAACCTGTTCTTCAGTGACAGAACATGTAGAGGGCTGCAGGGCATGTGCTCTGTGTACTATACTGACTTTACAGCATTATAATCACAACATGCAAATAATTCCTATTAAAAATAAATAAAGTTACTCTGTAAACGAGAGCATTTATAATGTCAGGCAAATATACATCCATAAAATAATAATCAATATGCATTTTCAATAACTGACAAACTTTACCCTCTGACCCTGGCATCTGAATCCTGAGCCCATGAAAGTAGGGGGAGGGGGCAGCATGAATTTCATAATTTAGGTAGAGGGTTGAACTTGCATATATTGTTATGCTTTTTACCCCTACCCTTCATCCTAGGAGGGCAGATACAATGAAATTCTCCTTTTTGTTTAGGTCCTTGAGAATTCTGTAGGGGGATAAACACCCAACATTCTTTCTTTGAATATATAAGGAGGAGGAAATGGAACTGGCTAAGCTGTGTTTCTAGATCCTCTCATAGGATTGCAAGGATGTGGGCTACATCAAGAGAAAGAGAAAAGACTAAAGGGCCCACAGAAACATAATGGAGATGGTCCATGAGAATTTTTTTAAAAGAGAAGAGTTTACATGGAAACAGAAGTTTGATAAAAGCTTAAAATTATGTACAAAAAAGCCATCAGAAGTGTAACTGACCAGACCAGGATTCCAACCCAGGTCTACACCAGTCATAGGTTCACTATAAACCACTATCCCATCTAGCCACATAAACAAATCTTCCTGACCGTTAATCCTCCCTCCTTAAAGTTTTTCTTTTCCACAGAAAATGAGCCCTTTTATGGCAGTTTTTTTCAACTGTCACTTTAAGAGCATGGTCATATGGTACCAAATATAAGTGGTGAGGAGGAAAATGCTACCGAGTAGACTAGGATTTGAACCTGGGTCCCCCGAATCACTAGGTAGGTGCTGTACCAACTTAGCTAAGTCAGGCCACTGAGGATTGAACCTGCCTGGATGCCATTATTTTATTTGATGACCCAAGTTATAATTAATAAGATATCTATATTGCATTTGGAACATTTACTGGGCTGTTCATAGTACTTACAACAGAAAATCAAAAGCCCTGTTTGAATTGAATAGCATTGGCTCATAGTACATGTATTAATGTTTATGTGTTTTAACATCATTTTAAGATAACACTGTAAATTTATTGATTAACTGAAAAACTTCCTGTTGTAAAACTTAACAGCATGATATTTGAAATTCTGAATCTCATATAACAAGAATGCTGAAACTATTTAAAACACACAATTGTAAGATGGATAATTTAAGTTTCCATTAACAGTACAGTTTTCAAAATAGAGTGTTTGCATAATCAGCATATCCCATCCTAAGTGATGAATATTCATGAACCTTAGACACACATAGATCAAATCTGTGTCCAAAGAATTATTTGCATACATGCTGCATTTTCAATGTGCATCTTCCTCAAAAGAAAAAATATAAAATGTCTACCATGGAGACAAAGCAAGTACATTTTACTGAGTTACAATAAATGTTATATAAATGCAGAATAAGAGAGAGGGGAGAGAGAGTGTGTGTGTCCATCTTTTTCCTTCTATACAGAAGTTGTTATAAAAGTTGAATGACACCATCGGATACTTGTATGAGGCCTGTATAACGAGGGGCAGGCCTCTCAGGTAATTAATCTATCAATCACTGGCTTCTGTATACATTATATACTCAGAAACTGTTTAAATGACCAGGTATTGTGGTATATCACAAACTCTCTATTGATCCGGCCTAACTCTACATTGTAGAAGAACATGCTAATTCATGCACTTCCTGAACAAATCCCAACCTGGCCTATATTTTAAAAACCACGATGCAAAACTTGTCATCTATGCACAAATATCAATGTGACATGACCAAGATTAAAAATCATTTCCCAATTGAATTATACATAAAACTCCCATCCTTGCAAGTAAAACAACCAAACAATAATAAACTTTTAAAATATTATTATAAGTTTCATTGAATCATTTTGCCTTCAGATCAGAAATTTGTAAATAAGGTCAATTTTAAATGTTTTCATGCACACGACCTAATTTTAAAGAGCTTAGACTCTGACTTCATTATACCCTCTGCTTGAAAAGTGGGAGGGTATATAGTGATTGGGATGTCATCCGTTCATCCTTCCACCTGTCTGTACGTTCATCCGTCTGTCTGTTACACTTTGGGGTACCCATCTCTTATCTGCATCTCTTCTTTTACCAGTGAATGAGACATTCACAGAATCTTTGTTACATAGTGCCATTGTGCACCTCCTATTTTACTTTTTGACAGGACACATACTTTGGATTTCCCAGAGCAAAACATGGACACAGCCATTCTTTCTATAATATTGAAGGGTATCCATCTCTGATCCACAACTTGGGCTTTACCACTGAATATAATTTAATGATACTTTCACAGATTCTTCACTACATAATGCCAATATGACCTCTTATTTTACTTTTTGATCTGACACTTATTTTCGGGTCTCCCAGAGAGAAACATGGACTTTTTCATTATAACCATATGGAAGACGGGGAGTATCATTGCTCACAGTAACTCTAGTTTTATTAGCTGATCAATTTCAAAATAATTTCCAACACACCAGTCAACTTTTCGAACAAGATAGTCCAAAAGAGAAAATTCAACTAAGGCCTAGAAAAAAAATATGTTTGCTTCCGCTTTCCCGTCCGACCCTAATTTATAGTGCCGACCCTAAATATTTTTTTAATGCCTTTGTCCCATGATGTGCAAGATTTCAACCAGGGAATTATAGCCTCCAACTTTGCAAGCTTTTCAAGACAGAAAGAAGTTTGGCTCACCTTTCTATTATAAGTTAAGTCACAGTAATGCTTGAAAACACCATTTCTTTTGTCATTAATGTTACTTCTATACATGTTTTGATTAAAGAAGCAAAAAAATTTTTTTCAAAAAAAAAAAATTGCCTACCTACCTACCCTATATTTTTTCAGCCTGAAAGTGGAAACAAACATATTTTTTTCCTAGGCCTAATACTAACAAAGAATCTTTCCAATACTCAAATTAAAGCTGTAATGTTTTGGGCCATAGATCATGTAAATATTGGCCTGGGTAGCTCAGTTCATTGAGCACCTGAATAGTGATGCAGGAGTTCCAGATCCGATTCCCTGTGCAGCCATAGATTTTCTCCTGTTACAGATCTGGTGCTGTTGACCATCCCTGGACTTGCAGCCCAATCCTGCAAGGGCTTATAATGAGAACATGAGTTGTACGTGTCTTTGAGGGCAAACCCTACTGAAAAAGGGATGAATATTGATGTAATGGTTTGGGCTCTGGATATCAACCTGGCCCCTGTTTAGCTCAATCGGTAGAGCACCTGACTAGTGATGAAGGGTCCTTAAGGTTCGATTCCCAGTCCAGCCATACATTTTCTCCTTTCCTGTTATCGAGCTATTTAGTTTTTCACATCAGTTTTTCAGAAGAGACATGCAATTTTCAAACAATCAGTGACTAATAGATGTATTGTAAGATTTCTTCAGATTACTTGTTTAATTCACTGTGAAAGAGCATGGAAACTTGGATACTCATTGTCTCAATAAAGCCTCTAATAATTCTAGTCTTCAATGCTGTTTTCTTGGCTTTTACATTGTACATAAAAAACATAGGTAATCAGAGATTACAGAGCTCACCTCAACGAATGTTGTCTTTAAGTAAGGCAAAGTCACACAAAACTGTTAGTATACATTCCAAAAATGAAAATATTTTTAAAAGCAATTTTGAACATACTTTGAAATTCTACATAAAAAATTTAAACTACTTCTTCTTCAGGATGAAAATGTAATGAAAATCCAGCATCTGAAGCAAATTTGAGAGTTTTCATCTCTTGATGCAGCATTTGTGCAAGTTTGGTTTATACAATGTTATATAAGCCTTATAGTTTTTTAAAACTTTATACCTTGTCTAATTTTCTGAAAAATGTACTGTCAAATTTCAAAAAGGCAAGTCCATTAGTGTGCATCCTTTGATGTAAAAATCCATGCAAGTTTGCTCATTATAGGGCTCATAGTTTATTGGAAATAAAACATGTATCAAAACTAACATTTTCATGAAACAAAAAGTAGGTAGTTTCAGCCTGGTAGTTGCATTGGTAGATGTATCATCCATGCAAGTTTTGGTAACAACACAGGGCTTAAAGTTACTTGAAAATGAAACCTGCACCAAAAACATTAACTTTGTTTGCTCAACTGGAAAATGTAGGTATTGTTTTTCAAGTTTAAGCCCTAATTTCATCCTTTATGTATCATCCATGCAAGTTTATAACATTGGGCTATATAGTTACTTTGAAATGAAACCTGCACCAAAAACTTTAACCTGTTCACTCAACCAGAAAATGTAGGTCAGATTCAGCATTTGTACTTATCAAAAACCATTGTATTTTATGCATCATTTGTGTAGTCTACTTGTGTGCCAACTTGCGAGTTTGGTCAAATAGCTTATAGTTAGCGTTTTTAAAGGAATTTCACAAAAACTTTAACCTTTTTAGTAACCGGAAAATGTAGGTCAGTTAATCAAAATCTGAAACAAGCCCTGTCTATGCATCATTAGATGTATCATGTGTGCAAAGTTTGGTCAACATAGGGCTTATAGTTACTTGGAAATGAAATGCACCAAAAACTTTAACCTGTTCACTCAACTGGAAAATGTCATCAAAATTAAGCAACTGATGCAAGCCCTGTCTATGTATCTTTGATGTATCATCCATGCAAGTTTGTGTGCCAAGCTTTATATTGAAATGAAACCTACACCAAAAACTTTAACCTGAATTTCAACTGGAAAATGTCTATTTTCAGTAACCATGGCAACACCGTTCATCGCATCAAAAAGATGTATCATCCATGCAAGTTTGGTATCTTATAGTTACTTGTGTGCCAAGTTAATTGAAACCTGCACAAAAAACTGCACCAAAAATGTTAACCTGCTCCAAAAACATTAACCTGAAAATTCCTATTGCTGAAATTGCAGCATCTGAAACTTTGACTGGTACAATGAAACACATGAAACATCTTCCATGCATGTGTAATCAATATAGTGACATAGTTATATTGAAAAAGAAAACTGCTCAAAAAAACTTAACGTTTTAAAGGAATTTCACAGAAAATTCTATTTTTAGTAACCATGGCAACACCGTTCATCGAAATCAAAAACCGAGGTGAGCTATGTTCTAGTGTGCCTTAGTGTAGTCTACTTGTGTGCATTCAAAACTGTTATGTTTGAGATTCTAAGCCATGAAAGGGACAAGTTTTTACAATGCATGAACACTTCATTTCTGTTTAAAAACACCCCGTCTTTTGTGCAGGACCTGATACTGGGTACATTTACAAGGGGCTGAGCAGCCCAACCCCCGACAGCTGATGTCTGAAATGTGAGCAGTTTTCTTCATCACAATAATTCAGCAGATGCATGTCTATTAAAATATATATTTAATTTTGATGTTATTTTCAAATTTCAAAAAGGAAATGACTTATCTTTGTTGTATAAATTATAAAAGAATTAACTGCTTTAACCTCAAGAAAATATCTTACAACTGACTTTGATGAAATCAAAAATCCGATGAGTAGTTTCACTAGTTTTTAATGTAGCCATACAGTTTTTGTGTGCCAATAAAATTAGGAAAATTAGCTAAAATATGTAGGGGGGGTAGCGTTTTGAAAACCTTTTTTGAGTGCATTGAGTGTATTGTTTTTCAAGTTTATTTCCTAATTTCTTTTTCTTTATTACATATTATATAACTATTGGGTATATCTTTGTTTGGAATGGGTAAAAGTGACTATGGTCAAAATTAACTCATTCAATTACAAAAAATTAAGTTTTCTTTTAAGCTTCAGAGAATAGGATCAGGGTCTTTGAATGAGGGACAATCAAGAGCTCTGATCCTAGGTACTGAATGTCAGCTCATTTGTAATTTGATTTATTTAGAAAAAAATACCACTTCCACTGTGATGTAATTTGTTGTCATTTATGAAGTAGAATGAAGTTGAGTTTTATATGTAAGTTTTGTGTCTTTTTTTAATTAATTCTGAATTGACAGGATTGCTATGATGTTAATGATACTTACCTTCAGTCAGAGCAGGTATTTGTTTTTAATTCATAAAAAGCACCTTAACCAACAGCCTTAATACAATGCAATACTAAATATTGGGCCTTTTTCGTATTAAAAATAAATGAGGATATCAATGATAGTAATATGTCCCTAGTTCAGACTAACAACCATTTTGTGTTGGAATCTTGTGAAATAGTCTAAGGTGTTACAGAGGATGCTGGATAATCACCCTTCCTTATCTATTAGAACGCTCCAAAAAATTGTGATATAATTATTATAACCAAAGATTAAAACATGAAGTGATTTTGAAATATCACCAGGCTGAATTAATGCTAATCAAGGTTTACTTCTCCTCAGGTAAAACACTTAGTTTTCATAGTTCATGTTATTTTTTCTTGTAAAGTTTTTTACATAAACATTAAAATCAACTCTCTATGGCTTGTAAGAAATAAGAAATAATTGTATAGTTAAATCAATCAGGATAAAATAGGAGAAACAATAAAATCTATATTGTTCACAACTTCTATACATATTTAGTTATTCTATAAATCAATATGACTCTTTGCATCCCAAACTAAGCGACATCTTCTCTCTAAGTGTTAATTTTTTGTCATTCTGTCAATTCTAGAAAACAAAGACGAGGCTAAGCACTGCTTAATGTTGACAAAATAAGAGCGGGGAAATACCTGTACATATTTAACAGCCTCTTTATCTGTGTCTAAGATTGCGGAACCTCTGATAAACTAGCACATCTACCTCTGTGGATTTAATTCAGAAAAAAATACTGCTGTTTAATTAAATGCAAAAATTACCTGTAAATGTTAAACAAAGTCTGAAAGGTTAGTTTTGGAACTCCTTTTTTCTTTATATCAGAAGATGACTTTCACATTGGACATCTTCCTGTTCTACAATGCTTATTCAAAGAAATATCTATAGGAGTCTAATATCCTATACATACATGTAACTCGGCGGCCATATTGCAATCCAGAACGGCCGACCTAGCTTTCAAAGTCGACCAGTTATTCGATCGCCAAAACATTTCTAACCCAAACTTATCTTTTCTGTTGCCTTCATTACAAACAATAATGTCTATTCTAGTGAATGATGTGCTTATTTTCCATGTTTTGTCATTATTTTCCGTGTTAGGAGCGTTAACTCGACCTACCTATCTCTCTGATACAGAGCGAGTCATCAGATTAAAACACCCCGCTCTTTGTTTGTTATTCTAAAGTTTACAAATACTCCAAATAAAACTGCACACATTCACGATTCTCACAATTTATTATCATTTTCACAACACTAAAACCCACCTACATTAAATATAAACATAAACAACGTGCCATGCAAGATGCAACTTCTCCAAATAAGAGTCATTAACGAAAGTAAATAAAACCCTCTCAAATGTCAAGAGTTTTAATAAATACAGCAAAATTCACGTGAGAATAGACGAAATACAAAACAACTGTGCTGTACCTGTGGATGAAATCCTCTAAAATTGGCCTGAAATGACGATTTTCTGGGTCCAAGTTTCAACTTTCATACACCACATGGAGAAGATAGTCGTCATTCAATGTAGATTTCTGATTGACTGGCCCATATAAGGGGTGTTTTAGTCACGTACAAATTTTGTTCTCCACTTAAATCATAAACATTCTGGGGAAATACTGTATTGTAGCAATAAATCACACAAATTATATAAAAGATGAACATTTTGATTTATATTTTTTTTATTCTTCAATAAAACAAACACATTGCTCAAGTCCTTTGAAACCTGACGCCCCTGATTTCATCAATAGTCGCGCCCGGATTATTCACTGAAGTGATACCTTTGTCCTCCAATTCTCAAAATACAATCTTAGAAGAGGTACACCATGTCCCCTCTCTGGAGAAATAACAAAATTATATTGTTAATACTTTAATTAATTAATTATCCTTGTGATACAAGCTTTATTTGTAATTATAAACACGCTGTTTAGTATATACACATAAGCGATGTAACTCAAAAGGGCTCCATCTTGACACCTTGTGTTTATGGTGTCACAGGTACTAACTACAGGCCCCATGATACGTCTTACAAAACACAATATTTCATATGTAACACAGGCCATAGTTTCTTAGATATATCATTCTTTTTATTAACATATCGTATGTTTACACATGAACATCTCTCACTACTTAGTTTTAAATAATTGAGCTAGATTTTTATCAGCTTCGGATTCGAATTAAGATATTCAGTCGAAAATTTGGAGTTAAAGGGAAATAAAGAATGAAAATGTATACACAGATTCAGTACACGTTACTCCTAACCTCAGTTACAAATAACTTGTAAATAAAGTTCATTGTTAGACAAATTTAATTCGAAGTAAATTAATTTCTTCATTTCATGAACATCTGACCTGGGAATGAAATCATTTTCTTTCTTTCTTTCTTAAAAGTTTCACAGCTGCTGTGTTTCAAGTTACATTTCTCGCTCATAACTGTCCTTTGAGGAAAAAAATTGAATTTTTCAATTTTATATGACAATTTTATGATATCATACACAAATTTAATTGAACAATTCAATTATTTATACGACACAATGATTGCAAAAATTAAAAAAAAAAAAAAAAACACATAAATAATTTAAGCTATTAAAGTAAAAAAAAAAATTTAAAAATAAAAAAAAATTCATAACACCTTAATTAAACATATATAAAAGATGTTTTTCCTGCATATATTAGAACACACGTAAGTTTTTAAACAAGACATTCATGTAAAAGAAAACTGTTTTAAGGGAATAAGAGTAACGTTTTTAAAAATAGGAAAATTTTAATCCCCCAAACATGGACAGGACATTGATTTTATGTAGAGATATCTATTTCCTGTAATTGTAAGTAGTGAATAAAGCTTATTTCATCGTTAATCTTGTCTAACGTCAAAGTTTGAAAAAAGCTTGATATTCAACGATCTATTTAAATTAAATTTTTAAGGTGTTATAGAAACATAGAATATCTACGTTGAAAAAAAAATTAAAGAAACAGACTCACATTATTTATCAAGTCAATAACAAAATAATATTATATAAATATTGCATGTAGTTGAGTGTAACATTGAAAATTTTCACCCCAAGAAAACCATTGTCAACCGATCGAGGCGCAGCCGAGGTTGACAATGGTTTTCAAGGGGTGAAAATTTTCAATGTTACACTCAACTACATGTACATGCAATATTTATTATATTATACTGAATGTTTTATACAAATACATATTACAGTGAACCGTGCGCGCATAAATTCCGCGCAGTCGCTATTTTTTGGAATACCACCCGTCGCCAAGCAATGTTGACTGTTGCTACGCAGGAGGGCGTGGCTTCATTATTCAGCGGGTAGTAGTGTTTTTATCAAACGTTTCTCGACGAATCAGATTCAAGTAATTTACATGAAAGTATAATATATTGGATTATAACTGATGGTAGAGTGAATATATGAGCCAATGTCTGAGTCAATGTTAAAAAGTGAACAAGTAGAAAGGAATCATTTAGTCGATGTCTAACTTGATGTTAGAAGGTGAACTATGATCAAATCAAGGCGAGAGAAATGTATTAGCGAATATGAACAATTGAAATCATACTATAGGTTCTTGTTCTCATATTGGTGAATATTGGCACGAGCTGAGCCGATGTTAGGCAGAGAATGTTGGCAGAGTTGAGGGTAGAAGGTGATGTATTCATGAACCGATAACTGAGCGTGAATGTTTATGCCTATGTATGAAACGATCGTACAGATTATCGATGTATACCAATTGTAGAGAGTAAATGGACAAACCAATGTATGAGCCATTGTAGAGAGTGAATGTATATGAGCTAACCGCGGGTATTAAATGTATGAACCAATAGGAGACAATGAATGTATATATGAGCTAAAGTATGAACCGATGGGATCGAGAAAGTGAAGTACCGGGGTATATGAGTTAGTGTTTGAACCGATAGTTGAGAGTGAACGTATAAGTTTAGATATGAACCAATCGTAGAGAGCTAATATAAGAACCGATTTATACCCCAAAGATGGAGAGTGAATGTATGAGCGAATGTGTGAACCGATGGATTAGCCAATGTATGAAACCGACAGAAGGGGGTGATTGTATGAGCTAATGTATATGAAACGATGGTAGAGATTGATTGCATTAGCTTAGATATTAACCGCTTTATGAACCAATGATGGAGAGTGAATGATTGACTGAGTCAAGGTCAGAACGTGAATGGTTAAAGGAAGTAAAGTCGGAGAGTGAATGGGTGAACCTATGTCAGAAAATGATCAGCTGAGATGGCAGAAAATGAAAGTTTTATGTCTCATGAATTATCTTTGTTTTTGTCCATTTTATTCGCTTTTGGGTGAAATTATGGAGATAGGTCTAATGAAGTGCAGTATTCAAAATCAGAATTCCATTAAACAATACAAAATTGGAGCAGAGCAAATACGGACCTCTAAAACATCAAAAGTGGGATCAGGTGCCATGGAGGAGTGAGCATCCCCTGCTGACCGACCACAACCGCTGTGTGCTCTTTGTCATGATCCGGAAATAACGAAATAATCCGTCGTCATTTTAGTTAGTGTAAATAATGGCCTAACAGTTAGTATGAAAAACGTCAGTCCCTATTTGACTCAAAGATAAATAATTTGTATTTGCTGACAAGGTCATTGTATCGACCATGGAATTTACGAAATGATGGCTTTAAACGAGGCATCTGATGTTCTTGTTTCATCGACTTCTTTGTCAATAACTTACCACGTTTTAGAAATTGTTCATACATTGAGCATGCTCTTGCGTATCGAATCAACTGAGATATATAAACCCCGTATGCAGGTGATGATGGTATATTACTGCATAATTAAGGGAAGTTGACGAATGTAAAGTTAAAGTAATCACGTTTATCATAGAGCTTGATTGTTAGATTACCACTAATGCCTTTTTTTAGGTAAAATATCCAAATATGAAACAGATGTGTTTGACTTTGTGGTGTCTTTTATCCCAAGCTGACAAAACGTCGTCGATAGATCTAAATGTCGAGTTCAAGACCACAGCAAGTGTTTTCTTATTTTCGCGCATAAGATTTTGCACAAAATCTGCTTCATATGAATACAAAAATAGGTATGCTATAACGGGACGCAATTGGTACCCATGGGAATTCCAATAGATTGTCGGAAAACCTGGTAGCCTATCCAAAAACGACATAGATATTGTGAATCAGAAACTCAAGCATCTTTTTGATGTCAACCTCAGAGTACTTGTGTGTACAATCAGAATGTTTTTTGACAAAATAATTTTGGAAATGACCAACAAGGTAAGTAAATTTACGAGTTCTATTTTTATTGAAAAAGCAGCTGTCAATGATACCAAAAATTCTGGACTTTAATTCATCTTGGGGAATAGTTGTGTATAAAGTTGAAAAGTCGCATGTTTTTAAGCTGTTGATTTTGGTAAAACCTTAAAAAAGCTTGTAATTTTCAAATTGTTGAAAAGTTCCTTGGGATTTTTAAGTATCCACATCTGATTTACACCACTTCTTTAATATATCGTTGCACAGTATTCTTGAAATTTCTCCTACAGTACTGCTAATATCTTACTGTATTAAGAAATAAAGAAGGAGGCTTGGTTGAGAATTAACTGGAACTCGCTATGTATCTTTGTTTGTAAGGATTTTTATGAAGTTTTGGAATCCAATATAGATAGGGTAGTTCAAATTCATTTTGGTTCTTTGGGATATTAAAAATATTCAAAACTGACATATGATTTTGAAGAATTTCTTCTTTAGAGAGGGAACTATATAAGTATAAGTTGGATTACCACTTGTAGAATTAAATCCAAGTTCTTTTTGAATACAATTTATATAATGAGTCTTACAAACGAAGACAATGTTGCTACCTGCTTTATCAGCAGGGACCAATACGTAATGATCATGTAATCTATCTAATTCATCTCTCACTTCTGGATTGCTGAAAACAGAAGGATAGATGGTTTTCATATATTGCCCCTCAATCTTTTAATCTGCAATCGTAACATAGATCTGATATACATTTGATTATCCATTCTGACAAAGTGTCAACGTCTTCTTTTTCATTTCTGGCCCATCATCTCGAGTAATCTTCTACAGAATCAATAACATAGCAAGTGACGAAATAAACAATCCTTACAAACGTAAAATTCGATAAAACAGCCATGCAAGTTATTTGAATGTATTATATAGCATCAACATGTTCATTGTTATGTTGCAGGCGTATTTATGGAGAATTTCGGTACGGCTCCGAATCGGAGCGACATTCCTGGCAAAATTCTAGGTACATTTAATGTAATGTAGACATATCTGTACATATCAAACGTGAAAAGTCGCCCGCGTGGCACAGTGGTTATCTAGAGCGCCTGCTCTGGAGTCGCAAAGTAAGGAGTTGATCCTTACGTCGCGGGTTCGAATCCACTGTGGGACGTGGAGACCGGTCCTTCGAATAAATTAAGACCGTATAAACCGAGGTCCCGTGTCGTAGTAGGTACTGGCATGTAAAATACCCCTCAGTGCTCAATGGCCTTGAATGCCGAGTATAGATCAAAATTTGACGCTCTCCATCGGCAAATGGTGGCGTTTCCATATGACTGAAAAATCCTCGAGAGGGACGCAAACAACATACAGTGAAACCTGTCTAATCCGACATTCACTGGGAAACTAATTTTGTGTCGGAATAGACAGGTTGTTGGATCTGTACAGTGTAAAAACATGAAATAAAAGTAAAATGGGAAAGAAATTTATCATCGGAATTCACAGTGTGATAGATTACACAGGTGTTGGATTAGGCAGTTTTCACTGTATAATCAGTCAATTAATCAAACGTGAAAAATGTTCATTCAGCGTATATATAGCAGTCCAGTCTTACTTTTATGGTGCATGGCCTTGCTAAAAGATTAGCCGATTTAAAGTTGCAAATACGCAGTTTAAAGAATCCTTGTTTCATTTAAATCAGCTTCTTACTTTATAATTATTATATTCGTATTAAACTGCTTATAATTGTTGAATGATGGTGGTGGTAGAAGGGGGTATGTGGGTTGTCAGAGCTCAGCTGTTCATCCCCCCCCCCCCCCCCCCCCCCCCCCCCCCCCCCCCCCCCCCCCCCCCCCCCCCCAGTATTTAAGTTTTGCGGCTTTTCTTTTTCAAAACCTGTGGTATTGCTATCGGTTAACGACAAACCAATCTTTTTTATCTTGCGAGTAAATTCTTCACGAAATGCTGTTTTATCTGACAATTCATGAAAAAGTTAATGTCAGAGTTAGCATCAAAACCTTTGATGGTAATGTATAGGAAATGCTTAAAGTCACGTACATGTAGCACCATGGGGTCCGGGGTTGCCCCTACTAAATAAGCCAGAATCCTTGAAATACTTTGCAATAAATAAGCTAATTCATGGAATTTACATACCCCACAACAGTAGGTCATTTAATATACTAGTATGGGGCCTTTTTTTCACAAAAAAATCTCATGACTAAGATGAAAATTTTCCCATTCCTCAACAATTATCTAAGTTGATGTAGAACATCAAGAAATCTTAAATTAAGTTACTAAGTTATTTCAGAAAATAAATATATTTATAAAACAAAATAATCACAGATATGTCAAAATTTCATCGTAGTCATGAGAATTTTTGCGAAAAGGGCTACTGAAACAATCTGTACAGTGACTACAGAACTAGTATTAAGTTTGCATCTTGACCTTGACTCTTTCAACTCTTAGATTGTAAAGGTCATGTTATTGTTATAGACAGAACTAAAGTGGATATAGAAACTAATTCATACCTATAATGAACTGTGGCCCTATCACCTTTCACTTTTAAATCTCATTTTTGGTCATCTTTTATGATATAAAATGTCAATTCAAAACTTTTAGGTGAAAGCATGAGGTAACAAGGGCACTGCAAATGAACAAACACAATTGTGTTACTATATTCCCTACAACTCTGTTGTGAGGGGATAACTAACCAGGTTAGAAATCTCCAGCCTTGGACCTAAATGTAGAATGTGACCTATAAATGTTGAGTGATTTATGTACAGGTCTTCCTTAAATTAGTGTACACAGCTCTCACATACATTTTTTTTTTGAATGTACATAAACTGAAAACACAACAAATTAGTTGTTGAGTATATTTAAACCATGGTTAATACATGACAACATGACAAAAACAATTTGTATAGAACAACGAAGCAATTTCTACCATCTGAACATGAGATAAAGTGAAAAAAAGATATTTTTATAAAATGCTGATGAAACGCATGATCATGATAAATGAACATTTTATAAGAATAACACTTTTGCTAAATGTCACATATGAAACAATCTCAACATATGAACACGGAATCATTTCAGCATGTCATTGTGTTTTTTTCAAAGTTCTAAATTTTCAGTTCATTCCCCCTTAAATGTCACTGGTTCCCTTTATCCTGTTGCCTAGTAATTTCTTGATGTGGGCGGTGCAGGAGGCGGAGGTTGTCGAGGAGGGGGAGGGGCTTGTCTATTCATGCCTGGAGGGGGTGGTGGTCCCCGCATACCAGGGGGAGGGGGCCTCATTCCAGGGGGTGGTGGCCGACCTACAAAAAACAAAATGTAACAAATAACGTGCTGCAATATAAGAATGTGACACATTACAGTTTGGGTAATTTGTCAACAAAGAGTTTTGGCTATATGGGACTTTATTGAATTGAATATGGTTATACGAGGGGCATTTCAAAAGTTCTGGCAACTGTTTAATAAAAGATTAACCGTTTTACGGAAATAATTGAGTTTGACATCATTGGAAAGATCAGAAAAATATACACATATTGTGACGTCACTTAATAATTTTTATGACGTAATAACTCCGAAAATGACGTCAGAATATAGAATGTTTAGCATACTGAAAAGTCGCGTTTTTATCCACATGAGACGATCGTAAAAGTTCTGTCAAAGGCTTATTTAAAAAAATATTTAATAGAAAATTTTAATTTGAAAATAGGTAGAATACGACTATGATACTGTTTATCAGCAATTCCATTATTCATTGTATGATTTGTTTACGAGCACGGTTTTTGTCCGGTTATGCTATCATAGGCATTTGTTCAGGATTTTTATTTACATGATACCGCTGGATTTTCTGTCTTTTATATAGCTCTCCATTGTTTGAAATAAAACATGTTCTGTATCAAACTGAAGTATATTAATGCAGTTTTTATCAAATCTATTTTGAGTAACAGCACTTTTACCGTTCAAGAATAAAATGTACTAAATCTTGCCCCCGACTTGATTCTGTGCGTATTTTTCATATCAATTCAACTTCGGCGTCCCAAAACTCACCACTGCTTTTGACTTTTGAATCCAAAAATTGAATATAAATAACTCAGACATGTAAAATCTTATTTAATTTCCATGCATTAAAATTTGCGAATATGTGGAGGTATAGTGGGGTAACAACTGCGCCGCCGCCATTTTGGATTTGACAAGAAAATATGGGGCCCACTAAACTTAACTTCTCTTGAGCCTTCATCGATCCCACAAATCTGGTTAAAACACCTGACGAATTAATGCCATCGAATATTGTAATACGCTCGTCTATTTTTCTTTGATTGTCAACTTCGTTTTTTTCTCACATTTAGGTCTCTTTTACGCAAAAGTTTGAGCGAGATTCGATAAAACCTTGCTAATTTTGACACTCGCTAAAACCATTTCAGAACAAGAAGATCTCCAAAATAAAATACCATATGATAGATTGAAGTCTTTGTAAACATTCCACCAAATGTCATTTGCGTCCGTTAAATTGCGTCCGAGTAATGAGCGAAAGTTGTCTTGAACATTTTAATTTGATCAAATTTTGTCTTTTGTTACGTCATTTCTATGATCAGTATGCTAAACATTCAATATTCTGACGTCATTTTCGGAAGTATTACGCCATGAAAATTTTAAAGTGACGTCACAATATGTGTATATTTTTCTGATCTTTCCAATGATATAAAACTCAATAATTTCCGTAAAACTATTAATCTTTTATTAAACAGTTGCCAGAACTTTTGAAATGCCCCTCGTATATTGTACTAAGCATATAAAATAAGTATTAAAACCAGCAGAATTGCTAGGGCCGCTAACAGAGTTGATATATTTATTTTACGTACCATACATGGGTGGTGGTGGTCCTCTCATCCCTGGGGGTGGCCTCCAGCCTGGGGGAGGTCTCATACCTGGAGGGGGTGGGGGCATACCCATTCCAGGGACACCAGGGGGTGGAGGCATATGAGACCCTAAAAAGTAACAGCATCAGAATTACATATCATACAGTCTAAACCAGAAGTCTCTGTCGAGACTGTAGCTCTACTGGTTTATACTTAAAACAAAGGAAGAGAAAAGTAGCAGTTGGGACTTGAGACTTTAAATCAGCAATAAATAGAAAAATGATCCTTGCCACTCATCAAAACAAGAGGCCCACGGGCCTTATAGGTCACCTGAGTATCATGTAACAACTTTCCAGCGATTGTATTTGGTTTGTGTTTTAAGCCAAAAGCCATGAAATTCACAAATTTTGAAAGAGGCACCATTGCTTATCAAAGGGCAGATTTCAAAGCATTAATTTATTTTTAGTCAAAGTACCCCCCTGGTACCCCTGACCCAGCAGCCTTGAAATTATCTATTTTGAAAGAGGCCCCTTTCTTCATTATAAAGCCAGCATTAGTTTTTAGCCGGGCTTATTTCTCAAAGAGCAATTACTGGCTTATGTGATCCTGTTCAAGGCAGGATGTTGACCCCATAGTCGCCATTTTAAAGTTACGTGCAAAAATATAGTTCTTACTCTCAACTGCTTTTGAGATAATACAAACGCTAAATAAAGCAACAAAAATAAAACGAAGTTTTATCTTTATAAAATAAACATTAGTAGTAATGACTTTGAAAACTTCATAAGTCAAAGAACATAGTTCATTAGCGTAAGGATTTTTGATAATCAGTGTTACCGTAGTTCTCTACACATACGAGGTAAAGCAGGAGAGGGAACCAGACTGGTCTGTTTGTTTACATTCAGCTGCGGTACCAGATTAATTCTGATTCTGACAAAATCGGACCGTGGTATTAGGATTGCAAAACTTACTGTCAGTGTCTTATCATTTATATTGATAGTTTTAAAATATTTTTTTCATCAGAATATAAAAGTGATTCATGTAAGAAATCCATTCTACTCTGTAAATGAGCCCGGCTCTCTGTACTTCTGAGTACTTTGATTATGTTTAGGTTTAGTTATGAACATGAGAATAAAAATGTTCCGAAGGAGAAGGAAATAAAATATTTTTTTTTTTGATAAATCAATTATTAACATTTCTACATTCTTTTTTATGCTTTCCTAATAGGCTCCTTACCACTGGACACATAATGCTTACAAATAGGAAAGTAGAACATTTAATTGCTTATTTCATCATCTGCCAGTTTGGGCCAGTTATATAAATTTTGTGATGTTGATCAAAGTATATTTTAAAAAATCAATTCTTTAAAAGTCTTTCAATATATCTTCATTTTTTAATATGTGTTAGGTGAATGTGTAGACATTGTTCTAAAATTTACTTGATGCCTAAAATTATAATTCCTATCATAAAACAGACAGGGAGTATTGGGAAGTAGAGTCAACATTTTTTCAATTAAGTGTAAAATAATTTTTCTGGCTGATACAAATGATACTACATGCCTATATATATTTGTATATTCTTGCCTTTTAATAGTTGATTTTTTTTTTAATTTCTTCAGGTTATTATTTCTTCCTCAAATGGACTTCACTTCTCCCATAGTTTTATTCATTATATCTGATGCATAAGCAACCCTTTTCTGAAGAATGATGCTTAGACTGTAAGCTATAACAGAGACCTAAACAATGTCCCTGGCAATATGCAATAGCTACCACGGGCAGTTTAAAACATGGGGGAGGGAAAAAAAAAATTACAGTTACTTTTGAAACGAATACATAATTATCTCACCAGCATGTCATTGTGCAACAAAGTCGTCAGCATTTTATTTGTCCTTTGAACGGGGGAAACGTTTTGAATGGTACTCTTATCGATGAATTTTACACTAAACCAAGCTATCTAGATCTAGCTTTATTTACCCGCTGTTTCAGAAAACCGGAAGTGCGAGTTCGTAAATTTGATATCTCGATCCCGACTCAAATTTGACATCGGAAAGAAAAAATTTTTTATTTTTTTCTCTGAAAATTCAAAATCTTGAGCGGAGGGTTTGTAAAACTGAATATAGAATAAATCCTGGCCTTCAATATGTAATTAGATCATTAGCATATTAACCAGGAGCAAAGGATAAGATGTTCAAAGAATTCATGCATTTCACTATATAATCATTAGAGCCCCACCCTAAAACAAGAACCCCTGACCCTGGGGCCATAAAATTCACAATTTTGGTAGAGGCACTCTTGCTCATCATAACTATGTACTTAGTTAGTTTATTTAATACCCAGGAGCAGAGAAGAAGATTTTCAAAGATTTCATGTATTTTCACTATATAACCATAGAGCCCCGCCCTAACACCAGAACACCTGACCCTGGGTTCATAAAATTCACAATTTTGGTAGAGGCACTCTTGCTCATCATAACTATGTACTTAGTTGGTTTATTTAATACCCAGGAGCAGAGAAGAAGATTTTCAAAGAAATAATGCATTTTCACTACCTACTTATTTAGCCCCACCCTAGCACTAGAACCCCTGACCCCAGGGCCATGAATTTCACAATTTTGGTAGAGGACTCATTGCTGATTACAATCATCCACACAGTTTGACTGCTTGATGTCCAGGAGTAAAGAAGAAGATTTTTGAAGATTGCATTAATTTTAGTGGTTTTGGCCCCACCCCTCAGGCCCCAGGGTGGTAGGGATCATGAAATTCACAATTTTTGTTCCCCTTCACCCATAGATGCTTTGTGCCAAATTTGGTTGAAATTGGTTCAGTGGTTGCAGAGAAGAAGCTGAAAATGTTCAAATGTTAACGCACGACGCACGACGCACGACGAACGACGACAGACGAAAACGGATAGCAATAGGTCACCTGAGTTTACTCAGGTGACCTAATAAAAACCAATGCACAGAATTATGTATCTTAGTATAGTCTACTTGTGTGCCAAGTTATACTGAAATCAGACCAAAACTGCAGGAGGAGTAGCATTTTGAAAGAATTTCACAGAAATTTCTATTTTTAGTAACCATGGCAACATTGTTCATTGAAATCAAAAACCGATGCACAGAATTATGTATCTTAGTGTAGTCTACTTGTATGCCAAGTTATATCAAAATCAGACCAAAACTGTAGGAGGAGTAGCATTTTGAAAGAATTTCACAGAAATTTCTATTTTTAGTAACCACGGCAACACCGTTTATCGAAATCAAAAACCGATGCACAGAATTATGTATCTTAGTGTAGTCTACTTGTGTGCCAAGTTATACTGAAATCGGACCAAATCTGTAGGAGGAGAAGCATTTTGAAAGAATTTCAAAGAAATTTCTATTTTTAGTAACCAAGGCAACACCGTTCATCGAAATCAAAAACCGATGCACAGAATTATGTATCTTAGTGTAGTCTACTTGTGTGCCAAGTTATAATGAAATTGAACCAAAACTGTAGGAGGAGTAACATTTTGAAAGAATTTCACAGAAATTTCTATTTTTAGTAACCACGGCAACACCGTTTATCGAAATAAAAAACCGATGCACAGAATTATGTATTTTAGTGTAGTCTACTTGTGTGCCAAGTAATATTGAAATTGGACCAAAACTGTAGGAGGAGTAGCATTTTGAAAAAATTTCACAGAAATTTCTATTTTTAGTAACCACGGCAACACCGTTCATCAAAATCAAAAACCGATGCACAGAATTATGTATCTTAGTGTAGTCTACTTTTGTGCCAAGTTATATTGAAATCAGACCAAAACTGTAGGAGAAGTAGCATTTTGAAAGAATTTCACAGAAATTTCTATTTTTAGTAACCACGGCAACACCGTTCATCGAAATTAAAATCCGATGCATAAAATTATGTATTTTAGTGTAGTCTACTTGTGTGCCAAGTTATATTGAAATCGGACCAAAACTGTAGGAGGAGTAGCATTTTGAAAAATTGTTTACAGACAGACAGACAGACGGACGGACGACGGACGCATTACTATCGCATAAGCTCTTCTGGTCTCTGACCAGTAGAGCTAAAAATTATACTGTAAACAATGAATTTTACAATCAAAAAGCATTAAGTTTTTATTATGCTGGAATAAAGGCAAAGTTGCACTGCTTCAATCATATACTAGTACCCTGTTAACTATCCTTAGAACTCATCCTTCAGATACATATTCCCATATTTCTAATGTAAAATTTTAATTTTCACATTTTCATTCCAGCACTATTTTCATGTAGTTTTTAGTTAAATTTAAATGTGTCAACATAATGCTGTTTGTGATCACCTTAAAAATACACATGCAAGCTAGACTGAACAGTTCTTGTCTGTCCCCTTGTTTTTATATATTAACACTGCTTGAGATAACACATATACATACCTGCTTGAGATGAGGGTGGGGGAGGAGGGGCCTGTGATTGGTTGCTGGATACCGGTGGCATCCCTGGAGCCCCAGGGCGGGGTGGAGGGGGGTATGGCATCTGACCTGTAAAAACAAGACACTGATTTATTGCATTACTGTTGAACAACTCTATTCAGTTACATGTACAGGTGAACATCAGTCTTCATATTGAATACCTAGGCATTTCAAAAGAAATACTGTAAAACGAGAATATTTGGCGCACTACTAATTTTAGCGCCTTTGGCACAAGAGCCCCTGAGCGCTAAAATTTATTGTGCGCTAAAGGATTTCTAAATATCATTTTTTGTATGTGTTCAAAGCTTTTACATAAGTACATGTAAACCGGAACACGCGATTACGTAATGTCGAAGGGTCATTGGATTTTACATACACACTAGTACTGCACATGTTCGGAAGACAGAAAGTTCTGCCAAATTATCATTTAATTAAACCATTGTTACCCCAGTAGTTGTTACACGATTATTATCATTAGCACCTTCAAAGTTTGACTTCTCGGCGTGTCAATCATCTATCGCCTCGAGGTAAACAATGCAATCAAGCATGGCGATTGAGCTTGCAGAAAATACCTGATTAGGATTACCGTTTTATCTAAGTAATTTTCTGTCCATGCATGCATTGTTTTAATGTAAATTAAATGAGTAAATACTCCATTTCTTTTAATTGAAAACAGAAATAAATTTTAACATTGTACCATGTCCATGTGATAGCAACACGTACCGCGATAAAGGTAACGAATGTTTACTGATATACGGGAGTACAAATGTGTCTCCGTGCTTGACTCACCAAAAAGTCAAATACGGGTGTTGATAAAAAAAAACAAATATCACATTTATATATTTTACTGACAAGTGCAAGCGCTAAAATTTATTTGCGCCAATGCATTCCCACTTGCGTTTGCGCCAAAATATGTATGCGCCAAATTTTCTCGTTTTACAGTATCACAAAAAGTGCAATGTCTGTTCCAATCATAGTAAGTTATGTTTAAAAAAAAACTTAAAATGGTAGTGAGTGATTCACTATTGTTACATCTTGGAAAGGCATTGTGGTCTCTTATAAACTTAACAATCTTGCTGAGGAGATGTTACAGGTCCTCATCAATTGAGTACACTGTCTTGCTGAAGAAAGTGTAATTTGACCTGGAGTAGACTTTGCCATAACTGGGATCATAGTAATGTCAGCAGATAAACTGTCATACATTTAATCATCTTCGCTAGCCAAGAGTTTCTGATATGCTACTCTCCTCATGAACCCTTGGCATACAGTGAAGTCAAAAGACGGGTTTGTTTTCGTCACGTGATCTCGAATCTATCAGGTACGCACTGATTGCGTCATCAACAGAAATAAAGACGCGTGTTTAAAAAATTTAATCAAAGTTTTTTTTCAAGAATATTTAAGAAGCAATAATTGAGTCATGTTTATTTTCTATTTCATAGTACAAAGAAGATATTGGATGACACCATATCTATTCATAGAATCGCATGTTATCTTACGGATAGTTGTTTACTTGCATTTTTCATTTCCGAGATTAAAGAGTCAAGAAGTATCCCGAACGTAAATATCGTCATTTACAAAAAACAATTGCTGATTGGTTGACCGATCGAGAAAAAAAAAAACCCAACTTCTATGTACACCGTATGCCAAGGGTTCATGAGGAGAGTAGCATATCAGAAACCCTTGGCTAGTGAAGATGACTTTTAATGTGACAATCAACCTTGCAAGTGGGATACTATGGGATGATATTTGGTTTCATACCTTGCTAGGGAGGGTACTTTGTATGATATTTCATGACATATTCTACCTGAGGATGATATTTGATGACATACTCTACCTTGCTGTGGGGGGGGGGGGGGGGGGGGGAGGGACAATACTGATGACATACCTTACTGGGGTGGGTACTGTGGGATGATACTGGGGGGTGGGAGGGGGGGGAGGTGGGGTTGTAAGGGACGATACTGATGACATACCTTGCTGGGGAGGGTACTGTGGGATGATGGGGGGGGTGTGTGGTGGGGGGGGGGGGGGGGGGGGGGGGGGGGGGGGAGGGACAATACTGATAACATACCTTGCTGGGGAGGGTACTGAGGCATACCCATGTGTGGAGGCATGGGAGGGGGAGGCATGGGCTGCTGCATGGGCATCATGGGAGGCGGCATGTTTCCTGGAGGCATTCCTGAAAAATACAGGTGTACAGCGGGTTTATTCCCCGAATGGCTACTGGAATAAAACAACAAGTAATTATCACACTCAATTAAGGGGCCCTCTAAGGGGTACAGGTAGACTTACCTGTATGAATAATCTACCAGAATTGAAACAAAATAAAATGGAAATTTATTTCATTTTTTTTTTAAATTTGAGCACTATATTTTGTATACATATTTTTAAATAAATAATTTTACAAGCACAAAACATATTAAAAACTATAAATTATCTTGAAGTTTTTTTGATTAGCAGCACTGATTTTCACATTATATATGAGATAACACATTTTCACTTTCATAAATACATATTTACAATTTAATTAGTCCATCTCCGTATATTTCTTCGCAACTAAAGGATTGCTATGCAAGGTGAAGAAGTTCATAAACTTCATCTGGATTTTACGATTATTTAATAGATAATTCAAAATGATAAATAAATAAAATAAATTAAACAAAACTCAAAACTTTATAGAAACACTTTATTTATCATACATAAATATCTATATTATTTTAAGAATAAAAAAAAACATTTGTGTTAATTCATCTAAAAGAGTTTGAAAATGTAGCTCAAAAAGGGGATAATATAATTTGTAAGCTCATTTTAATGTACAACATGTACTGTATTTTTGCACTATGGTATGATAAATTAAAATGATAGATAAATAAAAAAAAATTAAACAAAACTTTATAGAAACACTTTATTTATCCTCGTACATATATATCTATATTATTTAAAGAAAAAAACAACGCGCTTGTGTTAATTTATCTAAAAGAGTTTAACTACTTATATTTATTTATATTTTTATTCAGTATATTTTGGAAAATAGAAAACCCTCTGAATTAAAATAGAATTGAATGAGTTTATCTGATTTATAAAATATTGCTTATCCAGGTAAACACAGATAAGTCTACCTGTACCCCTTAAAGGGCCCCTTAATTGAGTGTGATAATTACTTGTTGTTTTATTCGAGTAGCCATTCGGGGAACACACCGTATAGCGGTATTAGTAAACACAGGTGTATATCAATTATAGAAAACACAGGTGTACATATCAATTATAGAAAACACAGGTGTAAATAAATAGAAAAATTCATGCATGAGTGAGCAAATTCCTCTTTATAAGCAAACTCAATTTTTTTCTCTCTTAATCACTCAATTTTTTTCTCTCTTAATATATTAAATGAATAAGGATCACTTCTATATTATCTTTTTTATATATACTAGAGCCTCATTAATCTGGATGTCCAGATGGCGTATTGTCCAGATTTTTTTGGGATTTGGATTACTGAGAGTCCACTATAGATATGTCTGAATTAATAAGCAAAACCTAGTTTTCACAAATCCAGGGTAAATACATTACCTGGCATGGCTGGCATGCCTCCCATGGATGGGGGTGGGGGAGGGGGAGCCATCGTGGAGGAAGCCATTGGTGCGGGGGGCTGTTGTGGAGGGGGCGGGGCATCGGCAAACAGCTGATGAGGTCGGTCTGTCAGGGACAGCGGGTTCTGCTTGGCCATGAATCTCTCTGGAATAAAAATGTAAAAATTTATTGATGCAGTTTTCCTTTAATACTCCTGCTTTAGTTTCAGTTTATGCATTAAATCTATGGAAATTAACCCTGGATTTTTAAAAAAAATGTATTTTAACAATGATTAAAGTACAGGGGTTAAAAAATCCTCAAGCCCGACGTCCCGGACTAACAAATTCCGGATCCAGACTCGGCATTTAGAATTCGCCAAAGTCCTTGGACTTGGTTATGTTTCTTGTTTATCTTTTTTTATATGTTAAAAAAAATGATTGTAAAGCTAAAAATAAAGCAAATTCTCAAATGTATTAAGTAAAAATGTGGGTTTGTGGATGTTAAAATACCCATAAAACATTACGAACATTTCGAAAATACAATCCGTCTTTTTTATTTTCCGTTGCAGTTAGACTCTTGCTTTTACGCAATTCCTCATGTTTCCTCCTATATGACAAACGGCAATGAGTTTGTTAAATTTCGGTTTCGCTGTGACTTACAGCACATTCTAATTTCTATTTATTGTAACAGATGGTTTATTCAGTAGTGAGTATTTGTAAAAGTTATTGTAATGTACCAATAATCTATCAGTCTGGTATTGTGTTGAAATACTCATGTATGACTATATGACAGTTTATGGAGGAAAAATAAAACAGATATTAATATATATAGTCTTTATTCATTCAATGCAACAAATGAAAATAAATTATAAGTTACATAAATTTAACGATGTATAGGTAAATATGGACTCTGAAATTTCTTCCTCGGACTTGCCTAAAATTTACTCTTCAAGTCCTGGACTTGACCATGACAAAAAATTTTTTGAACCCCTGAAGTAAAAATATGGACTTTTGAAATGTTAGAAATTATCAAAGTTATAACTAAAATAAAAATAAAGTTGGAACTTTTTATATTTTGTTTACAAATAAAAGTTACAAAATCAGATGTCAGATTATAATTAATTATTTTATATCTGATAAGTTAAATGTTTAAGCATGAAGTTATTATAAGAGTGTTTGCTATATGTTTTACTGAACTTTTGAATAAGTATACTATCTAAAGAATTCAAAGTCATTCAAATGAGTAACATCTGAAGGAAAGAGAAGTGTAACTTTACAACCTTGGAGATTTTTACAGAGTTGTCTAACCTGCTGCTGAGCCGTGCCTTTCTCCCTTGGAGTCTTTCTTGAAGGCAAAAGAGATGGAGATAGCCCTGTTACACAGAAACTGTCCATTCATGGCCTCCAGGGCTGCATCTGCTGCCTCGAAACTGGCGAAGTTGATGAAGGCATAGCCTTTAGAGTTACCGGTGTCAGGGTCTCGCATTATCTGGAAATCAAACAGGACTACTGTATTACAGGAAATGTCACGTTTATCTTTTTAACAAAGTTTCAGTTTTTCTGAAACTCTTTTAATTATTTGTGTATGGTTTTAAAAAAATCATTTGTATTTAATATTTTGAAAATGGAAATGAAAATCTGGGTCTTCAATTCAACTGATATACATTAAATAATTATATTTATGCGTGTGTTTCAATGACTTAACTGACAACTAAAAAATTGTTTTACATGGTTTTCAAGCCTTTTTCACATTTTTCTTTTAGGGAAAACATGTTCATTTTTTTCACTTTTAGAAAATGTGCTGAATATATACCAAACTTAAAAAAAAATACAGTAAAACACGGTTATAATGAAGACACTGGGACCTATGAAATTACTTAGCAATATCTGTAATTTGTTATATCTGTATGAGGAATTTGTTAAATTTATATAGCTGGGGATCCAAAATAACTTCGCTTTATCCGTGAATTCACAATATCCGTGTTTGTACTAAACAATTTTACTGTATAAGCTGATTTAGAGATAAACTCTTACCTTAGGGGTCTGTAAAATGACGCCAAAAGCACTGAATGTGTCGTACAGTAACTTCTCGTCCACCTCGGGGTCCAGGTTTCCAATAAAGATGTTAGCTCCCACATCTAAATTCTTCTGATGGGCTGAAGCCTGCAAACAAAACAATGAAAATCTAAACATCTGTCTCCTTATCTCAAACATAATACTGTACAGTAACACATGACAAATAAGTTTTAAACTTTACCAAATGAATTCATATATCAAACATCTATATAAAAAACACCCACAATGGCACATTTTTATTTTATATTTTTAAAATGATGCAACTGATGGTATATAGTCAAAAATATTCACACACAATACCAAACTGTTGAGAAACGAATTAAAAATATCTGACCTTATTGACCCTGATGGGTTTGCCGTAGAGTTTAATCATATTCATTATTTTGATTGCGTAATCAGCATCATCCTCTCCCATGAACTCCACAAAACCATAGCCCTGGTGCGACTGTGTGACACGGTCCTTTGGCATGTGGACATTCACTAGATTCAAAGTATACAAAATTATGTCAGCATGGATTGTACGGTAAATTTGATGCAAAAAATATATATACAGCCACCTTTATAAAACAACCCTCCACCCCTCCCCTCCCCCCCAAAAATAAGGCCTAGAAAAAAATATGTTTGTTTCCGCTTTCCAGACCGACCCTAATTTATAGTGCCGACCCTAAATATTTTTTTAATGCTTTTGTCCCATGATGTGCAAGATTTCAACCAGGGAATTATAGCCTCCAACTTTGCAAGCTTTTCAAGACAGAAAGAAGTTTGGGTCACCTTTCTATTATAAGTTAAGTCACAGTAATGCTTGAAAACATCATTTCTTTTGTCATTAATGTTACTTCTATACACGTTTTGATTAAAGAAGCAAAAAAAATTTTTTCAAAAAAAAAAAAAAATTGCCTGCCTACCTACCCTATATTTTTTCAGCCTGAAAGCGGAAACAAACATATTTTTTCCTAGGCCTAACTTAATCATGCTGAAGCAAAATGATCCAATTTTCTACATTGAAAGTACATGGGATATATTTATTTTAACTGCGGTATTGTCCTAAAACACAGTTAGATTAGTTTAAAAGGTATTGTCCTAAAACACAGTTAGATTAGTTTAAAAATCTTACTGCGCCTTGGGGCAGACCTTCACCAAAGTTAGAATGCCTCCCATATTACCGAAATGTAGCAGATAATTATAGAATTCAATTGCTCCAAAAAGATTAGGGAGAAAATGAATGAAATGGCATAAAAAATAACCATCAAACCAGAGTTCCCGAAACGCACCGGTCCACCGGGGATCCCCGGTAAACTTTGAATGGGAACGGTAAAATCTTAATTTTATCGGTCAAAATGTCCGATGGTTTTTTTTACAGACTGTATAACAATAACACATTATCTTAATAAAATCATTTAATTCAATTGTCCTGACAATAAAAAAAATTCAAAACTAAAGGAAATAAAAAACGTCAGGGGCGCGTGATTATTTTCGTGCATTCTTGTTTAAATAAAATGTAGAAAGTGATTGTCTACTATAAAAAGCTGCATATTTAAATGATAATCTCCATAGGTCTGGGAAGAAAAACAGTTAAAACACTCAAACAAATATTTTTCCCTCTTAATAAATATATGCACTCTGTAGTTCTGACAGAAAAAAAATGTGACAATATACTTTCGTTTTGCAGGACGAATTTGCAGGGTCGCAAGAGTTGCCTGCTATTTCTGCTTGATTACAGACAATTTGTTACCTTTCATTACTTTCTCTATAATTTAATCTATTTTCTTGATAAATATTTTACCAACTTCTGGATTTTTTCCCCCTTGTATTTGATAGCTTTTAAAATACATGCGCGTTTTTCCCCTCTTCTAAAAATAGCGGACTGACTTTAATGTAATAAAACGGCAACAAATTGACTTAAAATCATCATTTTTATGATATATTAGTATTTTTTATATCATTAGTACACATTTTTAACTTTGTGGAGGTTGTATAATACGTTTTAACTAGTCAGAAATATAGATGACGTTTTCCAGGCTTTTAAAAACGATTTTGATATTTTACGTAATATTTTTCCTGGCACATAAAATACCAAAATCCTAAAAAAAAAAAAAAAAAAAAAAAAACAATGGAAAACGAAAGATATTTCGTACTAATTTCAAACAATCAACCAAAAGTTGTCATGTTGCAGATTTTATTTAAAAGAATAAAAAATCTGTCAGAAAGGACATCATAATTTAATACTATGAATCACACCGGCGACGTCAAATCCCGCATACACAGGCCTAATAGAAAATATTTTAATAAATCTAAAAAAAAATCTGCAGTTACCATCTTTTTATTTACATATATTATTCATTATATCGACACAATTTCCAATCCTATAATATGTTAAACTTACATACAAAAAATTAATGTCCGGTAAATTTTACAACTGTCCGGTGAATTTTGAATATTTACAGGACAATTGTCCGACATATTTTTAACTAGTTTCGGGAACTCTGTCAAACTAATCATAACAAACCATATTGAAGTTAAGGATACCTTTCAAACGTAAAAAGTAATCCATATAATGAAGAATTCAACACCTTTTCTCAACTTTTCAACTACATGTATTTTCAAATTGATATACATAATGCTGACATTCATAACTTTTTAGATTGTTCAAAGTCTATGCACTGAGTTAGAGTTAAATCATGTTTTATTAACTAGATTACCAATACACACAATGCATTTTATCAGTGAACCTGGTCCTTTAAGAAATATTAGGATATTAATTCAAAAAGTGTTTACGCGGTAAAACAGTACACTACTACATATTGAGTATCTTACCAACAGGTCCTGCTTGTAAAAAGAGTTCCCATAGTATTGCCTCAGACACTTTGTCATCTAGACTGCCAACATAAACCGTCGCATCTATAATGATGAAATATATTAATTCAGCATAAAAACATTCTGGTTTTCTTTAAAATTGTAAGTGCCCGGTAAATATGTATCGAGATTCGAGATATATATATTTAACATACAGTCTATATACAAATGATAAAAAGAGAAATTAAAACTCTTAAACATAACAATTAAGAGTAAGGCCACCAATGGAGAATTTCTCAATCTATTGTTTTCCTAGAAATATCTTTTATTTAAATTGTCACTGAGAAAATTCGAGCTAACCAACGCTTCGGATACGTAGAGCTAAATAATGCAAAAATAAGTTTTTCTATAGCAGAAAATGAACAAAAAACAATTAACAGACCTTGATTACGCTCTGCTATCGGACCAGCAGCCATTGTGGGGTGACTGGAAAAACCCGAAACCCCCCCATTTTTGGAGAATACCCATACAGGAGGGGTGAAACCCCAATAAAGTGGTGGAAACCCCATAAAATTGAACGTAATGGGGTACAATAAGGCCTAAGGTGATGTTTAATTGAATGATATTGACATCCGTAAATTTTTATAGCCAATTTTACCTCAGAATCGACGGAAATTGGGCGCCATTACGAGTTTACCGTACACCACGCCCGATCTAAATTCGAAGCGAGCTGTTTGTCAATATAATTGTATAGATAATATTAAAATAATTCATAATAATTTCCACAATTATATTTGTTTTACAATGATAATAGTAAAATATTAATTATGTAATAAGTATTTAACAAAAAATGTAAGGACGTTAGCCATTAAGAAAATATGAATTTGTGTATTAATTATTATTCATATTATCCCAATGTTACCAGCTCTAGCCACGTGGAGGCCTCCTTTTTGTAGAGCCATAATTTTAAAAAAAATTTTCATTTAGGATATTTTAGAGAATATCTGAATTTAGAGATATGAAAATATCCAAAAGCTTCAAAGCAACATTAACAAAAAAAAAAATAGTAAAGATAATTCATTACTATAATTCATTACTTATTTGTTACAAAGAGAACAAAAAAATAAATAAAATTCAAAATATGAAAATACTGAATTTATTTTTGAGATTTTAGACAAATTCTGAATGTAGGGATATAAAAATTTGAAATTCAAAGGTTCAAAGCAACAATAAAAATAATAATTACTTAATATATGTTAAAAAGAGAACAAAAAATAAATCAAAGTCAAAAGATGAAAATACTGAAACCTGAAATAAATAGTAAATTAAAATAATATATCAATTTTCAAATATTAGATATTTCATTTCAAAGTAACTTTTTTATGTTCTTTTCTACACAACAAAATAAAAGAACTGAAGTTTTGATGGAATTTTAACTATGAAAAATGTCTGTTTGAACTGGTTGAAAGATAACTGAAATTATTTGATCATCTCCAAGCACAGGTATTTTATGTAATTTTACGCTTACATCAACTGACGGTACTACCACTATAGTTAGACCACGTACCTTAGGTAAAAAGATAGGTCAACAAAAACGTAAAAAAGTGGACAGGACTACAACTTTAAAAAAATCTAAAATACAGTAGATCAGAGGCCAATAATCAGTCAGTCTTAAACCAAAAAACAAAACCAAAAATGTTTTTAAGATTGTATATTTATTATTTTTTCTAGAGTAGGGCTAGTATCAGGCAGTATTCCTCCCCCGCCAGACGGGTGCAGACCAGTGAATACTGTTTGGTGTTGTGTTAGGTTAGAAATTGAGTAGGATTAGTATCAGGCAGTATTCCTCCCCCGCCAGACGGGTGCAGACCAGTGAATACTGTTTGGTGTTGTGTTGTGTTAGGTTAGGTTAGGTTAGGAATGTTATTGTTTTTTTAAATGTTGCTAATTAAATTATAAATTCCTTTCTCTAAAATTTTTATTATGGTATTTTATTTCATGTATATTACTTTCATTTGGCTGTAATATTTTTATATATGAACAAAAGATTGAATAGGAATAATGATCCAGTATCTTTAAGTTTTTTAAAAATCTTTTTAAAGTTTTTTTTTATTTTTTATCTTTCGGTCATCTTTCGGTCCTTTGGTTTTAATATTTTTGTTTCAAAATTCAAATCATGGCTCTACACTTAAGGAGGCCTCCACGTGGCTAGAGCTGGGAACATAAGGAAACTGTGAATATTTTCAGTTATTACTAATTTAAAAGGTCTTTATTTATTAATTTGTCATGAATTATCAAAATTATCAAAAATTCATATTTTCCTTATGTGTGTGCTAACGTCCTTAAAATGAAATTCTGTAAAGCATAACTGTACAATTGAGAATAGTAAAGGTTCAATGTATATACACATGCCCTGCCAGAGGGGGGTTGGTCAGACTAGCTGGGAACCCAGGTGTTTAAACAAAAGGTGTTTATTATCAAGTTGACCAAGTGTCAACAGCTGTGTATATAGTGCATGTACACACACAGGGGTGCCTGTCTATCCCAGTACAAAACAACAGAGCTAGCTGAGGTGTGAATAATATTCTCACAATAATGTTACAATACCAACTGTACAAGGATTCACATATGCAACATGCACATTTTTATTATTTTTTTATCATAGTTTTTTATTTCATAGACCTGGATTCTAATAATTTCATTGTAATGGATACATGTTGCTTTCTCATATCAATGAGTATATTTTTTTCTATTACTTGCATAAAAAACATAACAAAACAAAACAAAAAACAAACCAAAAAACAAAAACAAAAAAAAAACCCCAAAACTAATAATCCCCTACCCCCGGCCCCCCACCCCCCCCCCCCCCCCCCCCCAAAAAAAAAAAAAAACAGAACCAAAAACATTAAAACAAAACATTATTAACTGGAAAATAATAATGAATGAATACTGAATTTAAAAATTAATTATTAAACATAGAAGAAAACATTTCAAAACAAACACCTTAATTAAAAATTAAATAAATTAACAAATTCATTCATTAGTTAATTTAATTTAATTACATGTTATAAATGATTGGAATTGAGAAAAATTACTTTATTCCTTGATTAATGGACTAGTTAAATTCATGAAAAAAAAAATTCAATTAAAAATTTCACTGTAATGTCTTTCATTATAATAATTACATTAACAGATTCATTCATTAATTAATTTAATTCAATTACATATTATAAATAATTGGAATTTATAGAAATGACTTTATTTCTTGATTAATGCCTTATGGACTAGTTAAATTCATAAAAAAAAAATCAATTAAACATTGCACTGTAATGTCTTTCAACATGATAAATATTTCATACTTCTTTTATATTCTTAAGGTTTCCTTACAAATAATTTTTAAAAAAATAATATTCATACATAATATAATATTCATATTGATCAAGATTACAGTAATTATTTCCACGGATTACTCGAAACGACTTCAGCGATCGCGAATTTAGATCGGGCGTGGTGTGCAGTATATCAAGACAAGAAGAAACCCGTCGATTCTGAGGTAAAATTGGCTATAAAAATTTACGGATGTCAATATCATTCAATCAAACATCACCTTAGGCCTTATAGTACCCCATTACATTAAATTTTATGGGGTTTCCACCACTTTATTGGGGTTTCACCCCTCCTGTATGGGTATTCTCCAAAAATCGGGGGGTTTCGGGTTTTTCCAGTTGACTGGAAAAACCCGAAACCCCCCCATTTTTGGAGAATACCCATACAGGAGGGGTGAAACCCCAATAAAGTGGTGGAAACCCCATAAAATTGAACGTAATGGGGTACAATAAGGCCTAAGGTGATGTTTAATTGAATGATATTGACATCCGTAAATTTTTATAGCCAATTTTACCTCAGAATCGACGGAAATTGGGCGCCATTACGAGTTTACCGTACACCACGCCCGATCTAAATTCGAAGCGAGCTGTTTGTCAATATAATTGTATAGATAATATTAAAATAATTCATAATAATTTCCACAATTATATTTGTTTTACAATGATAATAGTAAAATATTAATTATGTAATAAGTATTTAACAAAAAATGTAAGGACGTTAGCCATTAAGAAAATATGAATTTGTGTATTAATTATTATTCATATTATCCCAATGTTACCAGCTCTAGCCACGTGGAGGCCTCCTTTTTGTAGAGCCATAATTTTAAAAAAAATTTTCATTTAGGATATTTTAGAGAATATCTGAATTTAGAGATATGAAAATATCCAAAAGCTTCAAAGCAACATTAACAAAAAAAAAAATAGTAAAGATAATTCATTACTATAATTCATTACTTATTTGTTACAAAGAGAACAAAAAAATAAATAAAATTCAAAATATGAAAATACTGAATTTATTTTTGAGATTTTAGACAAATTCTGAATGTAGGGATATAAAAATTTGAAATTCAAAGGTTCAAAGCAACAATAAAAATAATAATTACTTAATATATGTTAAAAAGAGAACAAAAAATAAATCAAAGTCAAAAGATGAAAATACTGAAACCTGAAATAAATAGTAAATTAAAATAATATATCAATTTTCAAATATTAGATATTTCATTTCAAAGTAACTTTTTTATGTTCTTTTCTACACAACAAAATAAAAGAACTGAAGTTTTGATGGAATTTTAACTATGAAAAATGTCTGTTTGAACTGGTTGAAAGATAACTGAAATTATTTGATCATCTCCAAGCACAGGTATTTTATGTAATTTTACGCTTACATCAACTGACGGTACTACCACTATAGTTAGACCACGTACCTTAGGTAAAAAGATAGGTCAACAAAAACGTAAAAAAGTGGACAGGACTACAACTTTAAAAAAATCTAAAATACAGTAGATCAGAGGCCAATAATCAGTCAGTCTTAAACCAAAAAACAAAACCAAAAATGTTTTTAAGATTGTATATTTATTATTTTTTCTAGAGTAGGGCTAGTATCAGGCAGTATTCCTCCCCCGCCAGACGGGTGCAGACCAGTGAATACTGTTTGGTGTTGTGTTAGGTTAGAAATTGAGTAGGATTAGTATCAGGCAGTATTCCTCCCCCGCCAGACGGGTGCAGACCAGTGAATACTGTTTGGTGTTGTGTTGTGTTAGGTTAGGTTAGGTTAGGAATGTTATTGTTTTTTTAAATGTTGCTAATTAAATTATAAATTCCTTTCTCTAAAATTTTTATTATGGTATTTTATTTCATGTATATTACTTTCATTTGGCTGTAATATTTTTATATATGAACAAAAGATTGAATAGGAATAATGATCCAGTATCTTTAAGTTTTTTAAAAATCTTTTTAAAGTTTTTTTTTATTTTTTATCTTTCGGTCATCTTTCGGTCCTTTGGTTTTAATATTTTTGTTTCAAAATTCAAATCATGGCTCTACACTTAAGGAGGCCTCCACGTGGCTAGAGCTGGGAACATAAGGAAACTGTGAATATTTTCAGTTATTACTAATTTAAAAGGTCTTTATTTATTAATTTGTCATGAATTATCAAAATTATCAAAAATTCATATTTTCCTTATGTGTGTGCTAACGTCCTTAAAATGAAATTCTGTAAAGCATAACTGTACAATTGAGAATAGTAAAGGTTCAATGTATATACACATGCCCTGCCAGAGGGGGGTTGGTCAGACTAGCTGGGAACCCAGGTGTTTAAACAAAAGGTGTTTATTATCAAGTTGACCAAGTGTCAACAGCTGTGTATATAGTGCATGTACACACACAGGGGTGCCTGTCTATCCCAGTACAAAACAACAGAGCTAGCTGAGGTGTGAATAATATTCTCACAATAATGTTACAATACCAACTGTACAAGGATTCACATATGCAACATGCACATTTTTATTATTTTTTTATCATAGTTTTTTATTTCATAGACCTGGATTCTAATAATTTCATTGTAATGGATACATGTTGCTTTCTCATATCAATGAGTATATTTTTTTCTATTACTTGCATAAAAAACATAACAAAACAAAACAAAAAACAAACCAAAAAACAAAAACAAAAAAAAAACAAAAAAAAACCAACACACTCTCCCCCCCCCCCCCCAAAAAAAAAAAAAACAGAACCAAAAACATTAAAACAAAACATTATTAACTGGAAAATAATAATGAATGAATACTGAATTTAAAAATTAATTATTAAACATAGAAGAAAACATTTCAAAACAAACACCTTAATTAAAAATTAAATAAATTAACAAATTCATTCATTAGTTAATTTAATTTAATTACATGTTATAAATGATTGGAATTGAGAAAAATTACTTTATTCCTTGATTAATGGACTAGTTAAATTCATGAAAAAAAAAATTCAATTAAAAATTTCACTGTAATGTCTTTCATTATAATAATTACATTAACAGATTCATTCATTAATTAATTTAATTCAATTACATATTATAAATAATTGGAATTTATAGAAATGACTTTATTTCTTGATTAATGCCTTATGGACTAGTTAAATTCATAAAAAAAAAAATCAATTAAACATTGCACTGTAATGTCTTTCAACATGATAAATATTTCATACTTCTTTTATATTCTTAAGGTTTCCTTACAAATAATTTTTAAAAAAATAATATTCATACATAATATAATATTCATATTGATCAAGATTACAGTAATTATTTCCACGGATTACTCGAAACGACTTCAGCGATCGCGAATTTAGATCGGGCGTGGTGTGCAGTATATCAAGACAAGAAGAAACCCGTCGATTCTGAGGTAAAATTGGCTATAAAAATTTACGGATGTCAATATCATTCAATCAAACATCACCTTAGGCCTTATAGTACCCCATTACATTAAATTTTATGGGGTTTCCACCACTTTATTGGGGTTTCACCCCTCCTGTATGGGTATTCTCCAAAAATCGGGGGGTTTCGGGTTTTTCCAGTTACCGGCCATTGTGTCTTATTTTGCTTCACTTTTCCATTAGTTTTCCATGTGGGTAAATAACCGGATGTTTGTGTATGATTCCGCTAGATGGCGCTAATACCAGAGACACCGGTAGATAAATTGTACGACACATAAGTCGAAATATCTGTATTTTTTCACTCTCTACCATCGAACATGAAAATCAGCTCATATATATCTGTTCGTTGGCTCGCGTATACACAGTGTTAAACACGCAAGAAATAGTGCGTTTGTTTATAATTTGTTATAATTCAATTTATATATTATGTCTGGACAAATGATATTTGCTAAATCAATCCAGATCTATTAATTTGAATTGAAACAGTCCTTCAAATATCACGTTTTATACGTTATGTCAAAAATCTTGACGTGAGCCCATTGCAGAGGTGTCTGAGAGAGAAACGAACGACAACTCTGCATGGGAGATTGGTATTTTTTGTCTTCATACAGAAATATGAACATAAAAATAACTCATATATATAGTTCATTTATAGTAGGCACAATTAAATAAGTCAGTTTATATTTAAAAACACTTTATATATTAAAGTTGGACAAATGCAATGTATAAACATCATGGTGTTATGTTCTTTGAAACACTTTAATCCAGAGCCCCAAAATCATGGTCAGTTTCATCCAGATCTTTCGGCAGTCCTGGTCACCACTCCAATAATAAACTTTATTTATCTATTTTTTTAGATTTAATTACAAGTCTCTCTCACTCAGATTTACCTGGAAATATGAAAAGGAGTTAAATTCTTTGAAACAATAATTGTTTTAATGTTTCAGCAGTCGAAGATGTTGGCCGTAATAGAGTTGACCCTGTCATGTCAAAAGGAAATTGTTAGGAGGCAGCCTTAAATATTCAGACCTTATGACAGACTGCAAAAATAGAGGACGGAGCGTTTGGCTGTTTCCTATAGAGGTCGACTGAATGCAGAGGGTTCTTCGCGCAATGAGTGTGGATGATGCTAGCATGATCAGGAGTACAAGGAAAAGCATGCAAGACAGCAGTAAGACTTCGGGAGCATCAGAGAGGACATCCTGCTGGACATGGCACCACCGAAATGATCTGTGCTTGAAGTTGGGATCTATCAAATAGTGGATTGGCCACCACTACTGACCCACCAACTAGAGGATTTCATGATTTAGTATCGAGACTAATGATGAATGTTGGAGACCATCTGATGTCGGAAGCGCGATAGACGAGCACCAAAAACGAAATTGAAAGATACCGATAGGCATGCATTCGATGCTGTCATATGACAACCCAAACACAACGCAGGGAATCAACTGGTGATACACAGGAGGGTCCTAACCAAGACGCAACCCACAGTACCATGAATATATCCGTGTTTGTGTTCCAAGACAGCAACAGCGACTTGATGGAGAAACTTGGTCTAGCCAGGGCAAACGGAGAAACGTCAAAGAAAGGAGGCTAAGAATATCATGGCCGAAAGAAGATGCTAAAGTAGTGTGGAATGGCTTCGATCACGATTTGCAATGGAATGTAGAAAGGAGGATTATATTTACTAGCATGCTCATTAACATTCAAAAAGAGCGGTTTGAGACGGAGAAAGGAAAGTCAAGAAAAGAACACAAAGAACAAACCTGAGTAAGCGGGAACGAAGGTTCAGAAAACTAAACGAGCCGAATAAATAGTTTAGAAAAACGAAGGACTATGAAAAAAGAAGGAACAGCACAAGTGACTGTTGGCATCAGATCAAAGCTTTCAATGTATCGTAGAGTGGAGCAACAACTGAGGCAGAAGAAAAAGAAAAGAGCAGGACAAGACTTGTGAAGAACCCATTTAAGTTTACGAAGGATTTTTTAAGGAAGAAAAAGACCAAAAGCTCCTCACTTTGCTGATGGTTATTTACACGAAACACACTTTGACCCTTAGAGAGAGAGAGAGAGAGAGAGAGAGAGAGAGAGAGAGAGAGAGAGAGAGAGAGAGAGAGAGAGAGAGAGAGAGAGAGAGAGAGAGAGAGAGAGAGAGTCAATACCAAGATGAGATAAAAGTGGATCCACCAGAGGTTTTAATGGATGTGATGGAACCTACATGGAAAAAACTGAAGGAAGTAATCAAGAAAGCAAGATGAAGCTCACTTCAAGGACCAAATGGGATACGACACATAGTGCTTAAAAGGTTGCACAACGTTAGCGAAGGCATTGTGGCAACCTTTTCGAGTAATCTGGAGGAAAGGGTCAATACAAACGCTGGAAAGAGGCAGAGGGATGTTTTGCACAGTGGAAATCACTATCGGTGTACATGGTGGATAACGGATACGTAAATACATCTACTCAAACGGCAAGAATACCAGGGTACTCCGGATGCATAGGACACGTATACACGTCACACGGTAACTCATCAAGGAGGCTAAGAAAGGCAAGACAAGCTTTGCAGCAATGTGGCTAGACCAGCCAACGAAGAGGATTGTCAGGAATGCAGACCCGTTCTACTGTCGATGACTTTACAACGTCCTGAGAAAGAATAGAAAAAGAGAGAGTCACAATTTCTCATATCCTGTTTGTGGCGGGTATAGGGATGAAGACCCATGGCCTGTATAACAAAAGAATTTTCGATGAAATACCGGTACATGGAATATAAGGAACAGTATTCAAGCTCAGAACATACTTGTATGCAGAAGTCCATTTAACAGTTCAAATAATCTTGCTAATAACAAAGGTGGATCCACAAGGTAAGTAAGCTTACGAGGTGCGTTTTAATGAAAAAGCAGCTGTCAAATGATATAAAAAAGCCTAGACTTTAATTTAACGTGGGGAACTGCTGTATATAAAGTTAAAAAGTCTTCAGTTTTATGAGATTGGTTTGGGTAAAATCTAGTGATTTTGAATTTTCATGAAGTTTCCTCGAATCTTTAAGAATCCACATCTGATTTACACTACTTCTCGAATATATTGTATTATTGTTGCGTGCACAGCACTCCCGAAGTTTTTTTCTTCTTAACTGTTACTCTCTTATGCCCTGTTCACACGGAGAGTTTAATTCGAATTAAACGTAAAGAATATAGAATTTAATATTAGTTTAATTCGAATTAGTTTATTGCGCATTAAATTACTTCGCATTAGCTCCGTGTGAACGCTAAGCGAAGCTAATTCGAATTAAATTTTGAGGCATGCGTTATGGCAAAATTAGGTCAAATGCCACATTTCCGTTGTCAAATTGAAGTATTTGTGCTATTTTTGAGTGAAAAAATAAGGAAAATTGTGTTAATCACTAAAATATGTGTACAGACACTGTAACACTATGTCAAATGCATCTGCTCCTGCATAAGGTGACTTGATTTGCAAATGACGTCATAATAGCCTTACTGACGCCTTGCTGTAGAAGTAGAATTTTAATTGCATTAGTTTACTTCGCATGAGCTGTCGTGTGAACGCAATTTAATTCGCATTAGTTTGATTCGCATTAGTTTACTTCGCATTAATTTACTGCGAATTAAACTCGTCGTGTGAACAGGGCATTAGTGAGGAGACTTGGTAGAACATTTACTGGAACCCGCGTTGTATCTTTGTTTGCAAGGATTTTTATGAAATTTTGTAATCCAATACAGATATAGTAAATCAAATTCCTTTTGGTTGTTGGGAATATTAAAAAAATATTCAACACTGACAAACGATTTTGAAGAATTTTATCCTTAGAAAGGAAGCTTTGAGTATAAGTTGGATTACCATATGTAGAATTACATTCCAGTTCCTCTAAAATACAATTTAAATAATGAGCCTTACAAACAAAGACAATGTTGTTACCAATTTTGTCAGCAGGGACCAGTACGCACTGATCATGTAATCCATCTAATTCTTTTTTTTTATTTCTATATTATTGAAAACAAAAGGATTGTTATTTTTCATTTTGCCTCTCAATCGCTAGCTTAAGACGAGATTTTAACATACAAGTGTACATCTGATACACTTAATCTATTCTGACAACGTGTTAAGATCTTCTTTTTCATGTCTGCTCTATTGCGTAGTTTAATCCTCCACAGAGTCCATAATATTTATGAAATTGTGTCGCCAGTTAAAAGATTGGGGTTCCCTTAACTTTGGCCCTTTTGAAATGAATGATTTATAAGATCCTTATTATTAACTTCTTATGTATATATATTTACGTCACCTGTGATAACTCGTTCAGCAGGACTATAGTTGTAGGGTGAAGAAGAACATGAACAGGAAGGAGGATTATGTTTCAGGTGAAATATGTGCAGATAATGAACAGCATTCAAGCTCAAAAGTCCACCAAACAATACAAAATAGAGCAAACACGGACTCACAAACATCAGAAATGGGATCAAGTGCCATGGAGAATCGAGCACCCCCTGCCAACTGGTCACACCCACCGTGTGCTCCTTGTCCTGATCGTGAAATAATGGAAAAATCCGTCGTCAAATCAGTGTGTAAATGATAGACTAACAATTAGTATGAAAAACTTCAGTCAGCATTTGACTCGATGGTAAATTTTATTTGTTGTCGAGGTCTTTGTATCGACCATAGAACATAAGAAATGATGACTTTAAACGAGACTGCTGTTATTCTTGTTTCATCAAGTTGTTTGTCAATTTAGAAATTGTACATACGTAGATCATGTTCTTGCGTACCGATTTGACTCCTTATGCAGGTGTTGAAGGCATAAGTAAGGGAAGTTGATGCTTGAAAAGTTAAAGAAATCACGTTTGTCATGGAGCTTGGTTGTAAGATTACCATTAACTTCTTTTTCAAGTAAAATATCCAAATATGAAACAGATTTGTCAGACTGTATGGTATCTTTTATCTCAAGCTCACCGGGATATATCGTATCGAAATAAGAATGGAAATAACCACTGTTAATTGACAATACTTGTCGATATATCTAAATGTCGAGTTGAAGGTCACAGCAAATGTATTCTTTTTTTCACGTTTAATATTTAGGACAAATTCAGCTTCATATGAATACAAAAATAGGTCTTATAACGGGGCGCAATTGGTATCCATGGGAATTCCAATAGATTGTTGGAGGACCTGGTCTCCAAAAACAACATAGACATTGGCAATCAGAAAATCAAGCATCTTTTTGATGTCAACTTCAGGGTAGTTGTTTGTACAATCAGAATGTTTCTTAAGAAAATAATTTTGCAAATGACCAGTGACAGGGTAAGAAAATTTACGAGTTCCATTTTTATTGAAAAAGCAGCTGTCAATGATATCAAAAAGGCTGGAGTTTGATTTATAGCGGGGAATAGTCGTGTATAAAGTCGAAAAGTTTTAAGTTTTTAAGCTCTTGATTCTGGTAAAAATCTTGTGACTCCATGGAATTTTTAAGTATCAACATCTGATTTACACTACTTCTCTAATATATTGTTGCACAATACTCTTGAAGTTTCTCCTTCACTACTGTCAATATCTTAGTAAGGAAAGAGGCTTGGTTTAACATTTACTGGAACCCCCCTTTGTTTGTTAGGAGTTTTACGAAGTTTCGGAATCCAATATAGATATGGTTATTCAAACATTTTGGATGGTTGGGATATTAAAATATTCAAAACTGACATATGATTTTGAAGGAATTCTTCCTTAGAAAGTCAACCTTGAGTAAAAGTTGGATTACCAAAAGTGGAATAAAATCCAAGTTCTTTTAAAATATAATTTATATAATGAGCCTTACAAACGAAGAAATGTTGTTACCTGCTTTGTCAACAGAGACCAGTACGTACTGATCATACAATCTATATAATTCATTTTCCACTTCTGGATTATTCAATACAGAAGGACAGGTGGTTTTCATATTGCCCTTCATTCTTTTGATATGCGATTTATCATAGATCTGATACATTTGATCCATTCTCACAAAGTTTCAACGTCTTCTTTTTTATATCTGGCCCATCCCTGGCGTAATTTTCAACAGAATCCATAATACATGTATTTATGAAATTCCCTGCCAGTTGAAGGATCTAATTAGTGATCTAAGGTCCTCATCATTACCTATATTAACGTCACCTGTAATAACGCGTGTCCAGCAGGACTACAGTTATAGGATGAAGAACATGAATACGATGGATAATTGTTTCAGATATTCGGTATCTAGGCCCTGTAAAGTTTTCTTGTAATTAAAATGTTTGGAAGCAATAGTCGACGTACATTTGCAGGAAAAAACAAGGGGTAGTCTTTACTTGAAATATGGTGGAATACAAGACTGAACCCTTTTGTGATTAAGACTATTACTTATGATACATGTAACCGTGTCGATTCCTTTATTGGCATATTGAAGTTTAAGGAAAAGACGGATTGTTTTAGCTGCATTTTCTTCTGTAAAACTTGGGGACTAAAAAGCCTATGATTTGCAATATCCATTATTACAGATCAGAGCCTATATTCTGGTTTCAAGGAATAAAAAAAATGGACTTTCCTTGACCTTTTCAGAAGACTTATTTAAAACTTACAAAGGGAAAGTAAAGTTTGGTGCGAATATGATGTAGACCTTACTGTTGATTTACATTTGGTAGTAAAGAATCAAGAGACATCGTGTATTAAAGGTTTATTATGAGACCGATGCCCATGACTACGCTTCCTCTCAGTGCCATCACTGAGAGTACACAGTCCCATCACTTACATTCATTTGCTACAATGTGGGCTTGAAAGATATCTGATGCTATCGACATTTCATTGCATCCTTAGGGGAAGGCAGTTCCTAATTTTCTAATCCAGTATTTTTCTTGTTCTCTATGGAAAGGTGTACGAACTGTTTATACGATAATAAATCTTTTCTATAATTCTTACTTTCATTGACGAAAAAGAATGAACAGATAAATAAAAATTTTGTGTAAAAGCTGCTTGCCCCTTGTTAATTTGAAAACTATGTCCTGCTATTTTTTTTTATCAAGTTACCTTTCTTTTCACCAAAAGAAACAAGTCCACAAAGATTACATTCTATTCCATAGACAACATTATAAGATCAAAAACGTTTTTTCCTTGTCAGGATCGGGTAAAAGAAAAGTCCTTATAAATGTCGATGTGTAAATAATGACCTAACAACAAATAACAAAAAACTTAATTGGCTGGTAAGTATTTCTGGCGGTTTCGGTTTTAAAAATTATTGTTTATTGTACGTTTGATGTTTTTCTATTAATAATTTTATAGGCTATAATTAAAGTGGATTTGAAAATGTCAACAAAAAATGAGTTACCCTTGAATAACCTTAATTCAAGTTCTCGAAAATCATTTAGGTCTTTGCAAATTGTACTTAGCAAAGTTAGAATGAATTCAAGTGGATAATTAAAAAAATAACCCACTCATTGCAAAAACAATATACCTCTACCCTAATAGAAAACGAAAGTTCCTCCCGGTTTCGAAATTTTTCAAATTTTGGAAAAAGTATTTGGAAAACCAATATATCACTAACAGAAAGTAATCAAAGTTTATTATACAAAAAAGCAGGCTTTAACACCCTTCACATTCAAAAGGATTGGCTTTGGCTTTACACGTGTACTGGACACCGTTAACTTGTCCGTCCTTTGGTGAGCACGTGCACTCCTCTCTTAACTGACCATTGACGTAAGCGTCAAAACCAGTTGATCCGACAGGACGGCACGTACCATAGGCATCCCGGCATGCTGATCAAAACAGAATTGACGGACATAGATGAAATGCTTTTGAAAGTGTTTTTAATCAACTGAAATCCTTATGAAACAGACATTTTACTAGCTCTATAAAATGACTTTGTTTCTGATGTTTAATCATAATGAAGATTAAATCGAATTGATTTCGCTATTTGATAAAGAGTTTACGGAAGAATTATTACAAGAAATTGCTCAGAAGTGCAGCTTATCTATAGAGGACGTTCAAGGTTTTTAATGAGTAGAAAAAGGACAATGTTGTGATTTGGAAGAAATACTTACACGCCCCGACAGTCATGGTTATAAATTTGTTCGGCAGAGTCGGGTCTGTCTTACACTGCTTCTTGAAGCATCCGTCATAATGGTGTTCCTCCCAAATACTCCCCAGAGGGTGACAGATCATACTGTCTCCCACACCCTCCTGGCATCCTACAATGGAGGAGAGCTAGAAGCTTAAAACAAAAGTAAAACTTCCTAAATATTGCCCAGAGGGTGACAAAACATTCTGTCTCCTACCCAATCCTGATATCCCAATATACGAATAAAGGTTAACACAAAAGTAAAAACCTCCTCTCTCGGAGGGTGCCGATCATGCTGTCTCCCCCCACCCCCTGGCATCCTACAATGGAGAATGGAGACTTGAAGCAAAATTTTGAGCATCCCTCACTCTTTATTTCAAAATGAGAGAAACATAATATACAGTGATATAAATTATACCGTCACCGAATTTCCTGAAAAACCCAAATAATATACATTACGTTGCAAATTTAGCCCTTGCTGACAGGGAAAGGAGACAAAAAAGAACTTAAAAACATGACTTGCCGCCACTGACGATTTTAATAGCGGATTCCTTTGAGTTGTCCTTGTTTGTTCTAACTTTACATTTCTTCTCAAAACATCCGTCTCTCCACTGTTCTCCATCTTCCTTACACTCATTTTCGAATGGACATCCTAAAAATTAAAAAAAATCTGTTTTGTAACTTTCTTTTACACACAAATATTTCTAGCTGTGAACAATTTTTTTTGGTGAATTACGTGCAGTTTGTGGTTGTCTTTCTTCTGTTGGACTGATGCCATACCTATATCCCTGGACACTATCATGTCAACATCTCCGCTAGGTTTCTGGTTCATAGTGCACGTGAAGATGGAGCAGCCTCGTTGTGACTTCCACTTTTCTCCGGGACTGTAACACCTGTCCACCCAGTAACAACCTGGAATTAACATTGTGCTAAAAAATCAAGGCACTAATACTGATCTAAAATTGAATACTGATCCAAGATACACGGTACATTATACATTTCAACATGGGAAGTTGTTGGGAGTAACTTACATTAAACAAGCACGGAAAAAAGTAAGATTATTTTTCTTAAGTCCAAATATTTTATTCAGAAGTTCTCTGGTTATCGTATATACACTATATCTCTATCATTACTATAAGATTGTTTATATCGATTAAGAATAGAGACGTACTAAATGTGTCATGGTGCTCGTATAAGATGTTTACTTCTTGCTATTTTCCATGTACTACTACTTACCCCATTGTATTGGTACAAACTTTCCACAGTTGTTTACATTCTGACACTCATAAACTGTGCATCCATCCTGTTTTTTCTGACCAAATGGATACAAGGTGCCATTCATCATGCAACCCTTCACTGAAAAACAAGCAATAATATTGTGTTCATAATTTCTAATAAGAAAGGTATTTATTAAAAAGAAATAAAAAGTGAAATCCCTCTTCACTAAAAAAGGGAAAACCGCCATCAATCTTGAGCTTCCATTTATTCATATAATTTGTTTTTACAAAATTTGACCTGCTGACAAAACATTGCCTATGAACATGTTTTTTTAAAGAATAATAATACATTTCCTTCAGAGGATTATTGTATAATCATTTTTCTACATTCTGGTATTCTAATTAAATTAACAAGAATGTTCTCTTTAAATAGAATGAAGGATATGGAGATAACGAACAGTATTCAATATCAAAGTATATAAAACAATACAAAATAGGAGCAGAGCAAACATGAAGGAGTGAGCATCCCCTGCCGACCGGTCACACCCGCCGTGTGCTCCTTGTCATGATCGGGAAATAACGGTAAAAATCCGTCGTCAATTCAGTGTATAAACAATGGACTAACAATTTGTATGAAAAACGTCAGCCAGCATTTGACTCGGTGATAAATTATATTTGCTGAAAAGGTCATGGTATCGACCATAGAACTTACAAAATGATTACTTTAAACGAGACTGCTGATAGTTTTGTTTCATCAACTTGTTTGTTAATAATCTACCTCGTTTTAGAAATTGTTCATACGTAGAGCATGCTCTAGCGTATCGAATCAACTGAGATATGTAAACTCCGTATGCAGGTGATGAAGGTATATTGCTGCATAGTAGTGCATAGGTAAGGGAGGTTGACGATAGAAATGTTAAAATCATCACTTTTATCATAGAGCTTGGTTGTTAGATTACCATTACTGTCTTTTACAAGTAAAATATCCAAGTATGAAAACAGGTGTGTCAGACTCTGTGTGGTATCTTTTATCTCAAGCTCACCAGGATGTATCGTGTCGACATAGGAATGGAAATAACCATTGTTAATTGACAATACGTGTCGATATACTGTAGACGTACTTTTTTCCACGGGGTCATAATTCCGCGGAATCTCTATTTCTGTTTAATCCGCGGGTAGAAAAATACGCGGAGTGCTATATTCTTACATTTACATTTAGTACGCACAAATTTTGCATAAATGACCGCGTACATGCGTAAATTAATACGCGGAAAAATACAAGAAGGCCACATTAAGTGTTTTCTTCTTTTCACGCACAAGATTTTGCATAAATTCTGCTTCATATGAATACAAAAATAAGTCTGCTAATAACGGATCGCAATTGGTACTCATGGGAATTCCAATAGATTGCTGGAAAATCTGGCCAGGGGGCCGTAAAACTTTTTTTTTCAAAGGAATAAAGAGTGAAAAAGTGAGACTAAGATCAAAAGTGAGCTCGTCTAAGTTTTATGGCCCCCAGGCCTGGTCTCCAAAAACCACAAAGATATTGTCAATCAGAAACTCAAGCATCTTTTTTATGTCAAATTCAGAGTACTTGTGTGTGCATTCAGAATGTGTTTTAACAAAATAATTTTGCGAATGACCAATGACGAGTTAGGTAAATTTACGAGTTCCATTTTTATTGAAAAAACAGCTGTCAATGATATCAAAAACCTGGACTTTAATATATCGTGGGGAATGGTTGTGTATAAAGTTGAAAAGTCGTAAGTTTTTAAGCTGTTGATTTTGGTAAAATCTTTTTATTTCAAATTGTCCAAAAATTCTTTGGAATTTTTGAATATTCACATCTGATTCACACCACTTCTTGAATATATTGTTGCACAGTACTCTTGAAGTTTTTTTTTCACTACTGTCATATCTGACATATAGTGAGAAGTAAAGAAAGAGGCTTGGTTATACATACTGAATCACTTGTAGAATGTATCTTTGTTTATAAATACAATATATATATATATATATATAAATATAAGATATATATATATATATATATATATATATATATATATATATATATATATATATATATATATATATATATATATATATATATATGTTAGTTCAAAATCATTTTTGTTCTTTAGGATATTAAAAATATTCAATACTGACATATGATTTTAAAGAATTTCTTCATTAGAAAGGGAAGTATGTGTATAAGTAGGATTACCACTTGTAGAATTAAATACAAATTCTTTATATAATAAGCCTTACAAACAAAGACAATGTTGTCACCTGCTTTGTCAGCAAGATCCAGGACGAATTGATCTTGTAATTTATCTAATTCTTATTTCACCTCTGAATTATTGAATACCGAAGGATAGATGGTTTTCATATTGCCCCTCAATCTTTTAATTCGCGATTTCAACATGGATCTGATACATTTTATCCATTCTGACAACGTGTCAATGTCTTCTTTTTCATATCTGGCCCATCGTCTGGCGTAATCTTCAACAGAATCCATAATATTTAAGAAATTCCGACGCCAGTTGAAGGAGCGATGTCTCCTATATTTAGGACCTTTTAAAATAATTGATCTAAGGTCCTCATTATTAACTATATTTACGTCACCTGTAATAATGTTTCCAGCAGGACTATAGTTATAGCGTGAAGAAGAACATGAACACGATGGAGGATTATGTTTCAGATACTTGATATCCAGGCCCTGTAAAGTTTTAATGTAATTGAAAAGTTTGGAAGCAATGGTCGATGTATATTTGTATGAAATACAAGGTGTAATCTTTAACTTAAACATGGTGGAATACAAGACTGGGCCCTTTGGTGATTAAGAATATTACTTATATTTACCGCGTCAATTCCTTTATTGGCATATTGAAGTTTAAGGAAAAGACGGATTGTTTTAGCTGCATTTTTTTCAGTAAAACGTGCAGATTTAAAAAGCCTTTTATTTGCAATATCCATAATCACAGATCTGAGCCTATATTCTGGTGCCGAGGAATCAAAAATTGGACTTTCCTTGGCCTTTTTAAGGAGACTATGTAAAAGTTTCAAAGGGACAGAGTAAAGTTTGGTGCGAATATGATGTAGACCTAACTGTTGATTTACATAAGGTAGTAATGAATCAAAAGAGACATCAATCCATTCCAATTCAACGTACTTAATCTTTGCATTGAATAGATATATCATATTTATGTGAAGGATATACAATACTCAAAGAGAAAAGAACAAGAAAATTATTTTTCAAAGAAAAGATATCAGGAGCACACAATTCTCAATTCAAAAGGCAGCAAACATGATAATTTCTGAAAATATTTCTGTAAAGAGTGAAATTTCTCTGAGAGAAGAGAAAGCCTCCACAGTTTACATTAATTTTCTAAATGAAATATATGAAGCAAACGAACAGTATTCAATCTCAAAGATCCATTCAAAGGATACAAATCAGACCAGAATATTGGAATTCTTTCATCAACTTGTTTGTCAATACAAAACGCCGTTTTTGAAATTGTTCATATGTACTGCAGCTCTTGTGTATCGAGTCAACTGAGATATATAAACCCCAGGTGCCGGTGATAAGGGTATAATGCTTCATAGGTATGGGGAGTTGACGATGAAAAGTCAAAGAAAAAGCAAGAAATATATAAATAGAATACCATAAATAGAAGGCAAAAAAGAGATGTACATTTCTCAAAAAGAAGAAATAAGATTTAAAAAAATTCTGAACGATTCTTGTTGTTTACATCTGTTCGTGGGGGACCAGTGTAGATTCCGTGGATTACCTTTCCCATGAATTGACATTTCCAAAAACGTTTATCTTATATAAACTAATTGATTTGTTGGATCTACAGTATAAGGAAACGTTTGCTTGCCAACGGACATTGACGTCAAGAAATAAAATAATCTCCCGAGAATTATCGTAATTTGTTTCAATGATTTTTCATTGATTTTGCAGCAAATATAATTATTTTTATCCGTTAAATTCTTGCCTTCAGTAACTACGAGGCAGGAGGAGCCGTCACACACACACTTATGGGTAGATCCATCAGCGTCTTCAACGATTTCACCAGGCTTCATACATCTGCCGTATTTATCCATACAGCCTTCAAAGATAAAACATGTCATCTTAGACATACTCATTTTCCTCTGTTTTATCTAATAAAATATTCTATATATGACCTCGCCAACATAGTCTTAAAATTGTTTTAGAACTTGACAATCATTGTCTTTCTTGAAAACAATTTATTTAATTTCATCATATCATAGAACGTATTTATTTTTACAAAAATTGATTTAGAAAGATCAAATAGTGACAGTTAATTGAAAATATCAAATAGTGCTCGAAGTCATATTTATTGAGCTTTCTACGTTATATTTTTTTGTAAACTGTTTTATATTTATTCAGTTGAAAAATTCAATACGTTACCTGAGTCAATGAGTTCAAGTGAGCCTCCCAATCCACATCGATATTTATTACAACCAAAACTGACCTCATCCATGACATCATAACAATGTCCATGAGAATCAAAGCATCCTGCATGAAAAGGAAATAAAAATCACAGAAAATTGAATTCAATCGTGCAATTATGATTATTTTGTCACCCTTATTATTCATAACAATGAGTTGTTACCTCTTTGTTGCAGCACCTCCGTTTGGACGAAATCTGGGCCCTCCATTGTCACAACACACCTGTAGTGAGTACAATTCCTTACCCACGTGGTACCCAAGTCTGCGCATTCTCCGTCCCACTCACAAGCAATCCTTTTCGGAATCAGCTCACCTCTTGCAGTACACTTGTACTGGACACAGTCTCTGTTTTGCAGAGTTCTTGAGCGCTTGCACTCACCGGTTGATAGGGTACATCCTGTGTTTTAAGAAAATACAGGTTTTGGGCCGGGTAGCCACAATTTATCCTTCAGATAATTTTTGACTTTATTATTAAAAATAGCCGCATACTCACCAACTGTTCTCTCAGTAATTTTAACATCATTGTCAGTTATATCTAAAGCACACGTATACCCTCGACAGGACTCTTTGTCAAACCAGTTAACACCGACAGCTTTACAGCCTCCCTTCCACTCACACGCTATTAATTACAATTAACGATTCAAAAGTTAAGCTTTAGTTTGCTTGTATTTGACTTGTTTTTTGGTCAAAACTTTTGAAAGAACATCCCATGTGACTCCTCTCATCAACATCTCATAACAATTCTAAAATTTATTAATTATATTGTGTATAAAGAAAATAAAAATTTAGGATTCTTCTTATAAAAAAGAGAATTTATTATTAAAATTCAATGGTTGTTACAATTTTGAGATGTTTGAAAGTTAAATTGACGATTCATCATCAAATCTAAAAATAGAAAGGTAATATGCGATAAAAGTCCATTCGTTTTACCTTTTTCCACAGGAACCATACTTTTAGCTTCACCGTCACACACGTACTTGACACAGTTAACTTCTAATGTGGACCCAGATGACAGACACTGTCCATTAAAACCCTTACAGCCTAACAATATACAAAATGAAAATTAGTATAATAAAAAATGTGACACATTTTGTGACAATATATTAATGTTTTTTTTGTTTGATTAACCATTGTATATGATTTTGAATCTAAAGAGTAAAATGTTCACTTCTTTTCTGAAGATGAAATGACAATATTTTAAATGAAGTGTTAAAGAATGTTATCTTTAATGCGTAATAAATTGGTCATCCTGAAAAAGGAATTAACTAGCAGGGTATATATTTGTTTTATCTTATTTACCAAACTGTGTTTCTTGCATGATTCCCCCGGCGATGCACGTGAATTTGGAGCAGTCTTCTACGAGTTCATCACCAACGTTGTAACATTTGCCATCATCACCAATACAACCTAAGACGACATTAATAACATACATGTATAGATACATGTACACAATTCCTATGATGTCTCACTTACATATGTATATTTTTGTTGCTAAGAACACAGTTTCTTTAAAGAAATCATTTGCCATCATCACCAATACAACCTAAGACGACATTAATAACATACATGTATAGATACATGTACACAATTCCTATGATGTCTCATTCAAAGAAATATTACCGTGTATTTCCTCAATGTTGGTCTGAACAAAGTTGGGTCCCTTTGCGATCAGTCTACACGTGTAGGTAATGCATCCTTCTACCCAACTACTGTCAATGGCCTTGCATTCTCCCTTAAACTCGCAACCTGTGGGGAGGTGGTGCAACATTTACTTCATTGACAAATCTCTAACTTAGAAATTAGGATACATTGAGGATTCTGTCCATTTATTAAGTGATAGGAATAAGCAACGTACTCATTTTAATAGGGCGGAAGTTTGACTGTTTATTGCAGAGGAACTTGTTACACCCCTCCGTCTTTCTTTCACCGGTGGTATAGCATCTGCCACCGTCATCTTTACAACCTGTCAAAACATTTACAGTGGAGGAACTATTGTTTATTTTTCTAGTTCACCCGAATCCATCTAGGATTGTCTTCACAACAAAGTTTATTTTTCTGCTTTCCAACTCTTCAACAAAATATCTATTTCAGTTATACTAAGTGAAAGTTGCGATCGGTAGGTAATTCAAACCTGCTTTCTCCACAATTGAAATGTCTTTAGCCTCGCTATCGTATACACAGGAATAATCTGTACACGTCTCCGGAACAAACCAAGTCGAGTTTAGTGGTTTACATTCTCCGCCGTATGCACAGCCTAATATAATTCACATTACAGACTTGATAAGGAATGCATTTGACACTCCAGACAGGCAATCATACATATGGACAAAATTACGGGTTGTTTCAATATAGAAAAAATAAAATAATGATGTCACCTACACATCTAACTTTATAAGATATATCTCACCTTCCTTGACGATGACAAGTCCACCTCTGTTGGGGATACACTGATACTTAGTACAGCCTTTTTCCACAATCTGTCCTTCCTTCAAACACTCGTTATTGAAACCACGGCAACCTAGAATTCAAATAAAGAAAAGGTACTGAAATAAACTCTTACACAATCAAAAATACTCGAAAAAAGAGATACAGAGTTAATTATGTCTACTAAAATTGTGACGTTTTTTACCCACCTGGATAGGAGAGAGTGTGCATTTTGACGCTGCTGGGTCCCACATTTTCTCGGATACATTTATATAAAGCACACGTTCCATTGTCATACCAGACGTTACCTTCAGTCATACAGGTACCCTGCCAGGGGCAGCCTGAATATAAAAAAAACTTTTATTAACGAAATGTAATGAGGCTGGAACAAATCACATCTAGCTGAATCTATAATTTTAACTGACAAAGTTACTGTATGAAATATATAGAGATAACGAATAGTATTCGAGCCCATTAAACATATGTTATTAAATAGGGACAGAGTAAACACGGACCTCCAAAACTTCAGAGTAATACGAGTAATACTGATCTATATAAACAATTGTATGCTGTACCACACAAATATAATATCCATTTATTTGAATCTGTGACATACATTAGGGCTAGTTTACTGTAGATCAAAAAGAAACCAAAACACAAACTAAGACGCCTTTCATTTGTCTTTTGCTGAATTGAATGAAATCAATGGAGATAACGAACAATATTCAAGATCAAAAGTCCATACAACAATGCAAAATAGGAGCAGAGTCATAAAGCTTAATAATTCTAAAGGCGAAATCAGCAGATTGATGCTTAAACCGTTGTACTATGGTGAACAATACGTTCAATTGCTAATAAACAAAAGTTATACCTGTCTTAATTGGTGAGAAAATCTCAAACGGTGTACACTTGTACTGGATACATTCGTTTTCTGTGTCCTTTGAGACATAACCAAATGGACGACATCTGTTCCTCATATCCCGACATCCTGTAGATATCAATGTAGTATTTATATCAAGCAAACAAAAGGTCTATAGGTATTGATGAGCATCTTAAAATCAAAGGTTATTTAAAATATATGACCAACTCATATAGAAAATTGACTTCTAAATCCATGTGGCATGAATTCTTTGCACTGAATTTATAAGACATTATATATTATTTCAGGTATAGAGAGGATAAAGTTTTGAACATGGACCAGCTCTTGGACCTGAATTTAAAGGATACATATTTCACACTCATATGAAGATGTACATAATCACCTAACCAGTTTACATCGTAACTTTCAGGAAGGAAAACAAGGTATGTTTACAAAAGTTCTTCGATTAAAAAAATGTCTATTTAGCTACACCCTGGGGCTTGATGCCATTAATGAATTTCAAGGGTTTGGCCTAATATGGCTCTGCGAAGAGTTGATATAACAAGAAATAATGAGAGCACTTTAAATCTTAATCAATACCGACATAACCACTCTCGATGTACAAACTGCAATTATTTTCAAACGCAACAAACTTCACATAATAAGACACAGCAATGTATCTATGTAATTTAATCCATGCAACTTTGATTGCATCTCAATCTCTGAGCAACTTAGTGGCAGCTGCTGAGGGAAATTTTTCGTACCTTCACCTATAGCGACATGGAACCTCTGCTTATATTGTCTCAACCCAAAGATCTGTCTTCATGTGCCCGCAGTAGGATTATAAAACGTGACGTTATCCAATTTTGTAATTAAAATTATATTTAAAAAAGGCATCCTAACACTTAGATTTTTCTTGAGTGTTTTTTGGACACTGTAATGAGGCATTTGGTTAATTTCTTGCAGGTTATAACCGAATCGAAGTGTTTTGCTGATAGTTAAAACACAAGTCATGTTTATGGATTATCTGCAAAGCTTTTCTTCATGCCTCCATTTTATCTACAATATTTCCCCTCATGTTAACATTAATACATGTTTAAATAACCTCATTATTCTATACATGGCATTTGTTTCAAAGTTCTGTTTTGTTACTTCCTTTCATTCCCACAGAAAATAGGACAGTGTTCTTTCCCAGGCGAATCCTAAATAATTCAATTTTAGTTGTATTACGTTATTTGATAAAATAAAACAATTATTTTACATTGTATAACATAAGTTGCTTACGTATTGGTTCGCTTGACGTTTATTTTAAAATATGCTCAATTTGTAGCCATTTTTGGTGGAAAAATTTTCTTATTGTCTACATTGAAATTAAATAATAAGGAATGAAGCTTATTTTAACCTATGCTATACAATATAACATAACTTAGGGCTGTTTACGCTGTTTAATAAACCGCTTCGTGGTTTATAAACCGTGAACTGCCCTTAGTTATATTACTGTATACAGGGAAATTTTCGCCCCCGTTTTATTTTAGCCCCTTTCGCCCTACTCTCATTTGAGCGAATTTAAAACGGGGCGTTATATTATTTATAAAAAAAACTGACTTGGCGAATTTAAAATGGGGTAAAATTGTTTGCAAGTGTGAAAGGGCGAAAATAAGACGCGCGAAAATAACCCTGTATACAGTATTTCGTATAATATAGGTTAAAATACGCTTCATTTCTTAAATGTTATAAAATGTTGCATGCAACAAATGTTATTTACGCAATACACACGCTTTCATTCTAGTTTAATTGAAAGGATAGACTTTAAACACAAGCTAAAATAAATGCCATAATTAATATCATAGTATGGTCAGATAACTGATACTTGTAAACTACGTCCAACAGTCGTGAGATTTATTTTTCTTAAACACCAACATTTGGAATAATAGACTAGAATTGTATGCATTTCTTTTCAAAACTTACAAAACACAGCTTTGAAACTAAGGTCATATGAATATTATTTATATATGTGAACAAATTCTGCACTGCATATGAAGGCAAAGGGAAAAGGATTTCTATGAACATATACTTTAAAAATTAAATGGTCTTTTAATACCGTGATATACAAGAGTGTCCAAAACAAACTGTATAGGGTTAATGTGTCTGCTTGTTAAAATGTAGTTATTCTCCAAGCAATAAAGCTGTGTAGACATACAATTTTGTAGAGATATTATGCCTGGTGTGCAATTAGTTGCAGCTTTGGAATTGCAAGTCGTAAAAATGACTCGTCATTAATTGCATGGAATTAATTGTTGCATGAGTACTGGCCTTGTTTTGAGTTTGCTTTTTATTTAGACCTTTCTTTATATTTATATCAACTCATTTTACAGGGAGTTATTTTAGATGCTAATCAATGCATTTCAATCTAAGCCCAATCAATGACAACCACTTTTTTATGTCTGATTATAACTGAGTATACCGTCTGATAATGACCGAGTTTACTGATTATAACTGAGTATATACCGTAGGGTGTGTTGACAACTTCTGGAGACGTTGCCCCGGGGGCCCACTGACACGTCTGTTGGACACACCTCCGTCTGTTGATCCATGTAGAATCCAATTTACGACAACGTCTTCTAAACTTGCACCCTGGCGGAGAATCACTTAATAGACCAATATGTCACTGAACGTTTGATATGTTATTTTTGAAAAAAAGAATGAACGAGGGAAGAACCAAGGACGGGAAAATCCGTTTCTTTTGAAGTAATTTTAGACAAAATGTACAAAACAGCTTGTTTCCAATAACCTTATTGATGATTAAAAAACCCTGATTATCCTTTGCTGATTGTAGACCAGAGTTTCATGAATTTTATTCAAAAGACGTTTCTTTATTTTGTGAAAAATTAAAGTTTGTATTGTAATATATATGTACTACATCATATGCTAAATTAATTTACCGCCTACTGAAACCTACCTATTTCAACAGGAAAGAAGATGGGTCCCTCGGGTCTCATTTGACACTCCGTTGTTACGCATTTTTCCGACTGAAGTCGTGTTCCGAACGGATGACAGATGCCTGATTCATCCTTACAACCTGGATATAAAACACTTTAATCGTCTAATGAGACACAAGATAAAATCAATTACGACCATAAAAATTACGATATATGTACTTTAGATATGAATTGCTGGCTTGCATCGTATCATTTCTTTGATAATAGTGTAATTTTGTAATTCTAATCAACTATGAAGAACAGCATTGAAGCTAAAAAGTCCATTCAAACAATAGAAATAGGAAGCAGAGCGAACAAAGACCCTCCAAACACAACAGAATCGGGAATAGATGTCACGAAGGAGTGTTCCCTGCCGACCGGTCAAACCCGCCGTGTGCTCCTTCGCAAATTCGGAAAAACAGAAAAGAATCAGTTGAAAATTCAATGTGTCAATATTTCTTGATTGATTGTTTGTTTTTTAACGTCCATCTTTTCCCCTCATATAGAGACGCCAACACTTGCCGCGGAGAGCTGCAAATATTGTCCTACACTCGGCATTCAGGGCCATTGAGCAGTGAGGTGTCTTTTTCGTGCTAGCATCTACTACGACACGGAACCTCGGTTTACACGGTCTCATCCGATGGACGGGTCTCCATGTCCCACTGTGGGAATCGAACCCGCAAAGTAAGGATCGGCTACTTACTTTGCGACTCTAACGCGGGCGACCAATTTTTAAATAAAGCGATTTCTGAAATAACTTATACTTACCCCAGAGGTTACTTGTTACTCGAGCCAGACCTGTATTCGTGTCCAGGACACACTTGTAAGTCAGACACTTAGAGGAATGTTCCCAGGTGGTATTAAGGGACACACATTTTCCCATCCACTCACACTCTGTAGGAAGTAATAGGAATCTTATAAATACCGAAAATTCTAATCGAAATAAAAAATCTATGATGGGGTGATTCTTTGTACTTATACACAACAAATCTAGTTAATTAAGTACTTTACATTTTCGTCTTCTTTATCAAGTGATTATAGCAATAAAACTGAATTAAAATCGTCATACCATTCACGTTCAGTGATTTTCGAAGATAAATGAGGTACCTGTATAAAGAACTGAAAACGATCGGGTCTTTGCTCTACACCTGTACGTGGTGCAATCCTCTGTCTTCTTACGGGTGGGCAGGTAACACTTATCGTAATCCAAACAACCTGAAAATATAGTCAAGTACTATACAGTGAATATCACTCAACAAGTACATATTAAACAACCTTAAACATAGTCAACTACTATACAATAAATATCAAACAAACTGGAAATAAAGTCAACAACTATACAACGGATATAAGTTTACAGGTTTAACACATCATTAACCAAACGACGGAAAAAAACCATACTACTAGACAACTTTTTCACGAATCTATTTTGGCAAATCTTTGTTTACCGTCAGACTTTGTTTAGAGTTACCGTATAAGTGAAAATTTTAGTGAGACGCAAATTTAGCGATTTCTATTTAAAATTGGTATTTTATTTTTAGCGAGAAGTAATTTTAGCGATTTTAAAATGACCACGAAAGAAATTATTACAACTTAAACGCTATTAATTTTTAGCGATATTCATTTTAGCTATATCAGCACCATCATTAATAATGCCAAAATTAAATCCTCGCAAAAATTTTGCTAAAACAATTCTATCATAATGATGAAAACTCTTTACCCCATCTTTCCTTAAGTTGAGTGGATATGGAACCCTCTGTTGTATTTTTGACGACGCAGGCATACTGCACACAATTCAACTTATCAAAATACCTCTTACGAGCAGCCAAGCAACCATCTTTAAATTCACATCCTACAAAAAGGTTTAGTGTTCGAAAGTAAAGTAACTCTAGAAGTTTTCGAATTAATATTCATTTGAATAATTCTACAGGATTTAGAATCTTTAAATTTAGAATATAAAAATGTAGAATCACCCACCCATTGATATAGCCTGCAGCTTTCCGTTAACACATTCAAACTTGTTACATCCGTCACTGTGCTGGGCCCCGCCCTGTATACACTGACTGCTCTCGCTGGTACATCCTAAAATATTTCAAAAAATCTTTGTCACAATTTTCTCAATCATATCATTTTCATCAAAACACATTAATGACCCAACACCCAATCATAGCTTGTGTCAGTGACATCACTGGAATAGAGTTCAAACAGTACATTACATCACTTCTGACGTCATTGGTGTCGTTAAGATTGTCTTACCGTACGTGACCTCGATCACATCTAGTCCATCTTCGTCCTCATAACAACCATACTTTGTACAGGTCTGAGGATCAAACCAGGTCTCATCCTTTTCTTTGCAACCACCCTTCCATGTACAAGCTGCAAAAAAAGAAAAGAAATATCTAAGCTATTTGGCTAACTTTTCTTTATTGAAAAGATTTTTTTCTAATACCTTGAAAAGAGGAATACCTGCTTTGATAACTTGGAAGCCCTCTCCTGCACCTTTACACTCGTACTCCTGGCAGTCTTTGGTGATCTTGTAACCAGGTGCATGACAGACATTGTCCATAAAACATCCTTAAAGTATAAGATATTATAATTAAAGAAGCTGTAACTCTAAATACAAAGCTCAATCTGGTTTTCCTTACCATAAGTGGTTTTGAAATATGCCTAATATGCAAGAAAATATTTTACACATAATCTTTCAAAGTAAACACAAAAAAAAAACAACTCAGATAAAATATTACCATATGGAACGGATTCTACGGCTGCATTCCCAGATCCGGGGTCACGAACGCACTGAACCTTGACACAGTCATCTTTGTCCACCCAGGTGGATCCGATTTCGTAGCAGGTATGTTTATACTCACATACTAAAAATATTATAAACTTTTCATCACAGTACAATTTTTATTTCGAAATCACATTAAGAGTTATGTTATGGTAACTGAGAAAATTAAAACCGGATTTCATCTAAAGCAATTGTAATGGTCCACCTTCTAGTCTCATGATACGATCTTCATAGCACTGGTATCGTAGACAGCTGTTGTCTATCTGTTTTGTAGCGTTCTCAAGGTAGCATTTTCCACTTTCATCCACACATCCTAAATTGAAGAAAAAACAATTGACTACTTTGCAACTAGTCAAAATTACTTTAGAGATAGTATACTCTAAATACTGTTCGATCAATTTTCTGAGATCTTTGACATACATCATAATTTGTCCATTGAAACAAATTCGAAGGAAATGGTCCCTATGGATGATTGATTGATTGTTGTTTATATCCCTTTCGACTTCAAAATTTGACCTTTATTCGGCTTTCTCATCTAAAGGACCTGCACCCTTCAATTTAAAGTGCCAAGCCCATTTCGAAGGAACAGTTGCTACATGTGAAGATATTCATGGCTTAATATTTTGAGAACCCTATATATGGCAGGCATCAAATTTTGTAACCCGTAAAAAATTAAAACCTCTGTTAATTTAAGTGTTGAATGTATGGATAAACTAGTCCAGATAAGGAAATTATCGATTTCTGAATATTTTAATAATTCTTTGCATTAATTCATCAGCCTCTGGAAAACTAGCTGTTCTCTAAAACTTAATGACGGTGAAATTAATAGTTTCTTCTCCAGAAACGCTGGAGTTTAAAACGATTTAATTGTGATATATGGTATGGTAATTTTTTATTACCAGTATACTAATGTTGCTTTCACTATTGATCATAAATTAATATGCTTTTGTTCTTTTTACATAGATCTTGATCTACATTTGTCGTAGTCTTACCAATGTCGGTCCTTAATATGACTGGATACAACCCAGAAGGACCGCCGTTACATTTGAGTCGCTGACAGGAGACCCCATCAATCCACTGAGCGCCGATGGCATAGCACCGCCCTTTGTATGAACACTCTATGAAGAGAAAATCATGCAGTACGAAATTTTAATTTTAAATATGAATCGCAACGTTAACATTTGGATTTCAAAGTAACATATTTTCATAACTATATCCCCAAACATAAAAAATAGCAATCGTTACTTTCTGGAAGAAAAGTTGAATTAATTAAAAAGAGGAAGTTATTGCTTTTTAGAATAGACTTACTGGCGGCGATTGGTTCCAGATGTCCTCTATCATCACACTGATAGGTGTTACATTTCTCCTTAACGGTCTGACCGACCTTGACACAGTTTCCATTGAAATCATGACAGTCTGAAAAAGAAGATAGTATCAAATTCATAATCAATCGATACACATTTTAATCGGTTCTTAGAAAGTGTAATTCAAAATTATTCCTAAACCATTTTCTCAGTTCTAAATTAAACTTGAAGAGATTTTCCAAACGCAAAAAAATGCTGGCCCAATATAAGCAAAAATCACTTCTTCGGGTGAATCAGGGAAAAGTTATTGGCAACATTTATAACCTTATAACAAGGTACCTCGAAAATATTAAGTTGTACTAATCTAAAGTTATGCTAATTCTTAATTCTTACCTTGCACTATCTGCACGAAAGCGGACGGACTGCCGTCTTCAGCAATATCAGACAAACACACAAAGTTAGCACATTTATTTCCCGGATTCTGCCAGGTCTCATTCACCGCTTTACACAAGCCACCAAACTCACACCCTTGACAAGAAATAAAAGCAGGGTTAAATCAGTCAACATTTAGGGCCTTACAGGAGCCACCAAACTAACAAATCAGTTAATATTGATGGCTTTACACAAGTCATCAAAACCACACCCTAAACAAGAAATTACAATAAATAAGTCTGTATACTCGAGAAAATCAAAAATCATTTTCGCGAAATTACATTTCATTCTTGCGTAAATTAGTTTTACAAAAGATTACATAAAGCAGAAATCACAATTCATGCAAAACGTCTCTCTTATATAGAGGATGTGACTATCTCGAGAAAATAAGGTGTGGCGAAAATAAAATGATCTTAATTAACAGAAGCAGGGTTAAATCAATTAACAAAGAGTGGAAGGACAACCAAAACGGTGTATCTGATACACCCTCAATACTATTATATGTCATACGAGGGCTGTTCAATAAATAATGTCCTGAACTGTATATTATACAATACAGATATCATATGGCATTAAGATTGCCTCTCTCTCATTATTGAATCTTCAATGAATTTATAACAGTTGATGTGACCACTTTTCATCATATAGTTTCATTGTGAGATGCTGGAAAACAAGGGCTATTCGAGACACTGCATTTAAAATGATTGGTAAAGAATCAGTGAACTTGAGTGAAATTAATAGCTATATTGAAGCTACTCTAAAACTTGTTAAGAATCCCAAAGAAATATTCAGTGCAATATGTAAAATTTACATGAACCAAATTATAGACAAATGAGCAGGTGGATTTCAATGATAAAAAAAATTATATAATGGGCATCAAAAATGGGTACCGTCCTTGCCAACAAAAATTATAACAACTAATATACTGTTTGCCAAATTTTAACAAATAATTTTTGATGATGTATTATTGACTTTAAGACACACAGCAAATTTAATAGACGTTATGTAGGGAGTAGTTCACACTGTTTTAAAGAAACATTTGACAGTAAAAATGCTTAGTACTTAAAGGTCACAATATGTTTGAAAAATGAGTGAAAATGGCAGCGTGTAAGAATATCTAAAAAATATTTTAAAAATATCAGTAATTCTGGTTATCCACGTTTGTTTGAAATTCAAACGGATTATGAAACTTGAATCTATCGCTTAAAACCATCAAAACAAAATTTACAATAAGAAGTACTTGACAAAAACAGCCAAGGTCCGAGAAGAGCAAATACTTACAAGAGCACAAAGACAGATTTAAATGCATTTTTCTTAAATATTAGTGGTCTTGCTGTTCAAATTCGTATTCGGGGAGGTATGTGGCAACGCACTTTGAAAAAATTACGCACTTTGAAAAATTTTTTCAAAGTGTGTTAAAATTGGGACAAAATCAACGCACTTTGAAAATTTTTTTCAAAGTGCGTTAAATTTGGGACCAGCTCAACGCACTTTGAAAAATTTTTTCAAAGTGCGTTAAGAGTCTACATCAATATATTTTACCATGGAGACACTTAACGCACTTTGAAAAAAAAATCATATTTTAGTCATAAAAAGATTTTATTTGTTATTTATCTTTCAAGAAACGAAGCCTAACCCTAACCTCAAAAATGAATTGATTTACTCCAATATGTTGAAAAGAGGAGAAGGAAAGTCCAAATCTTTATCTTTCCAATACATAGGTGTCGGTAACAAACGGGGGAGGGGAGCAATAAACCTAAAAAGGGTACGCTGCATTTTCAATGCTTATACGATGTATATATCTTTCCAAAATAAGTGGGGGCTTTGCCCCCCATTCCCTCCCCTGGCCCTTCGCCCAGTCTCGATGTCTATGCTATACTCAAAGCATTCATATAATTATGTATTTACCTAACTGGTATGACGTTGAAAACTTTCAATAATAAATGAGTTAATTAAAACAGATGAAAACTAGAAATTTTTAAGTACAGTAAAACGTATGAGAGAGAAAGAATTTTCATAGTTTTGAACAATCAAATTGGCCTCTTTTTATTATGATAAATGCTAAGTTGCTTGAAGCTGTCCTCTGTTAGTGCCCCCTATACACCTTTACATCTACATATCAAAGACTATAGAATTAAAAAAGAAGAAGAAACGAATTAATGAACTTAAACAATCGTCACTCTTTTTTTCAAGACCCTTTAATTTTCCCTTTTATCTTATCAAAATCTTAAATATTTAAAACGTCAATATCTCAGGTCCTACAGTGACTTCATCATAAAAAAGTTATCAAACCAGGAACTGTTATTTATCATACCGATTATTTGAAGGAATATTCATCAATCTTTACATTTTTTTCAAAGTGCGTTAATATGTTCGATATTAACGCACTTTAAAAAAAAAATATTTTTTTCAAAGTGCGTTAGCTTGGTCCCAAATTTTAACGCACTTTGAAAAATTTTTTCAAAGTGCGTAATTTTTCAAAGTGCGTTGTAACAGAGGTAGTTTAAATTCTGGAGGAGTCTAGAAAGCAATTTTTTTTTGCAAAAAAATCGAAAGGTTTATGAGAGGTAGGAACTAGAATCAGGAATCCACTACATTAAATTTCTTCATGACAGTGTTTAACCCGCACACCCTGAGGAGTAAAGGGGTTTTCGGGATAATCAGAAAGTTAATGTTTTTTCACATTAACACTATTCGCTAGTTCTTTCATCTTTTGACTTGTTTCATTTTTCAAACTTGAAAAAGGTACCTTGCAGAAGGAAGAAACAAGTCCAGGAAATCATAAAATCTGCCATTTTCCAGTATACTAAGGGACATACCCAAAAATGAGTTCTAAATACAATCAGAAATTGGATAAAAATGTTACGGACTTGTGTCTTAATTAAAAGAGAAAAATAAGTTAAATCATTAAGACTAAATCATTGAAAAGCGTCTTTTGCATCTTTCCGAGCACCGAGGACATTATTTATTGAACAGCCCTCGTATCTTTACAAAAGAAAGTACATGTACCTCCATGCCCCCTTTTTTGTTACAGACGTATTTGAGACACCCCTCAGTAGAATTAATAGTCTTATCTTACCAACAGAAATTATCTCCATGTCCCCCTTATTATTACAGACGTATTTGATACAGCCATCAGCGCTCTCTGTTCCCTTCTTCACACAACCATTTTCTGCTTGACATCCTTAAAGATAAACAAATAAAGGGTACAGCCCAAAAGTCTTTTTTAAAATCATACATATATTATAATGATAGTGAATAAGACCATTTTTTATAGTTACCCATAGACTGCTCTCTGATGACAACTCTTTGCTGTCTCTTGTTGTAATTACATCTGTATCGAATACACAACTCTTGGTTCACCCAAACATCACCAACAGCGCGACATTTACCGTTATCATTGCATCCTGGTTTGAGATTGATTATACATTATTTTATTTTATTTTCAAAAATCTTAAGAAGAAAAAAAAGGGAATATAACGTTCATATTTATAAATTCAAGTTGTATTCAGAAAATGATTATTAATGAATTAAAGTAGAATGTTACAAATTCAGATAAATATTTTTTTCAATATTAATTAATAAACCATGATATATACATTGAGTTATCTGCACCTTGTGATTGTAGAATGAAGTCGTATCCCAGGGAAACATCGTCATAGGAACAAACCAACTGGTTACAGCCTTCCATGACCGTGGCTCCAAGGTTATAACATCCCCCATTGTAAGCACAGCCTGTCAATATAACGTACAAACACTGTAAGTAGGGTAAACGATAGCGAACCTCATGAAATATACCTACGTCTGTGAGAACTCAAAAAAAACAAACTTAAAACATTTCTTAAATAAAAATTTCTCATGAAACAAAGGATGCTCATTTCTTCATGGCCCTTGATCCCACCTTCGTTTTTAAATTCTTTGCTCTAAATTCATTTTATTTTATTGGATTTGATGATAACATTCTCGTTATTTTTACCTTTCATTTATAAAAAATCGTAGCAGGCCACATTTCCAAGAAGGAAAGAAGGTTAACAACAGAGATATCCATGAGAGGCAAAAAGAAATGGTAAAACACGACATTCTTTCAAGCTATACACAAACATTAGCAGATAATTGGAAAGAAGATTGATATGTCACAATTCATTTAGAACTCCATTAGTAATTTGATATTGGCTGAGAGTATAGCGGCAGTCGATAGAAAACCAAGCAGAAGAATTTAAGTAACTAGTGTTTTCAAAAGCAAAATATATTATCTGCAGATATTTTAACATTAAATAGAAAGAAATGCATTTACTGATTCTGGTTTGTTACCCGCTGCTTTCATGAATGAATAGTCAGATTTTTGAATTTATGCATGAAGAAAAATCTTTCTATGTACTTCTTTATATAAGGCAAACATAAATTAAGGTGGCAAGTTAGTTTTTTTTCTAGTGCTTGAATTAAGAATGTTAAATAAGGTAATTCTCGATCAACTCGTTAAATATTACAAAATTAATATGAACTAAGCAAAATGATACTAATGTACAGTCATAAGAAAGTCCAGTCACAATATTTTTTTGGACATTGACTTGAGGATGTTTAATGATTAAATATACAGAGATAACGAACAGTATTCAAGCTCAAAAATCCAGTACAACACTACAAATCAGAAGCAATGTAAACATGGACCTTTAGTTTCGTAAATCCTGTGATTTATGTCATAAATACTGTAAACAATACAATGAAAAATATGGAAATATCGAAACGTATTCAAGATAAAAAGTCAATTAAACAATGTAAAATAGGAACAGAGCAATCACTCAGAGATGGGATCGGGTGACATTGAAGAGTGAGTGCCCCCTGCCGATCGTTCAGTCACGTTGTGTGCTCCTTGTCATGATCGGAGAACAACGGTAAAGTGCGACGACGATTCAGTGTGTAAATAATGGACTAACAGCTTTTATGAAAAACGCCAGTAAGTATTTGATGTGATGATAGATTGTTCTTGCTCTCTAGGTCATTGTATCGACCATAGACCTGACGATCTGATTTATGTATAAGATTTTAAAAAGAAGTGTCAAAATTTGAATGATATCACTCCATTTTTCCATTTTTATTTATAAGCCAATATGATAATTGATTTTTTTAAAATTCTGTTGAAAAGTTTCAATTGTAATCGCCAATATTCATCTCAAGGACTATAAATTGTAAAATAACGTCTGGATACTCTTATATAGCTTTAGTACAATAAACCATGACCTTGTGTAATAATCATGGCGGAGGTTATCGGTGGAAAGGGGATACTTACTTCTCCTTTGCACTTGATCACATCTCTGTTATACAAGTGCTTGTTTTTTAAGTTATACTGTCAGTTTGAGCATTAATCCTAATTTTTTCAACTCAAAAACATAAAACACAGAGTATGGTAAAGGATAGAAATTGTTCCTTTTTATTAAAAAATAGAGAACAGTTAAAATTAAATTGTAATATATTTGCAACGAAGCACTTTAGAATATGTTCCTTTTAGCTTGATTACTGTTTGTTAGCTCCACATATCATTTAACCAAGATTACATTTTTATTTGAATCGTGAATGAAACATATAGATATAACGAACATTATTCAAGAAGGATATGAAGATAACGAACAGTATTCAATATCAAAGTCCATAAAACAATACAAAATAGAAGCAGAGCAAACACGGACCTCCGAAACTTCAGAGGTGGGATCATGTGCCATGGAGGAGTGAGCTTCCCCTGCTGACCGGTCACACTCGCCGTGTGCTCATTGTCATGATCGTTAAATAACGGAAACATCCGTCGTCAATACAGTGTATAAATGATGGACTAACAATTAGTATGAAAAACGTTAGTCAGCATTTGACTCAATGATAAATTGTATTTGCTGACAAGGTCATTGTATCGACCATAGAACTTACGAAATAATGACTTTAAACGAGACTGCTGATATTCTTGTTTCATCAACTTGTTTGTCAATAATAACCTCGTTTTAGAAATTGTTTAAACGTAGAGCATGCTCTTGCGTATCGAATCAACTGAGATATATACACTCCGTATGCAGGTGATGAAGGTATATTGCTGCATACGTAAGGAAGTTGACGATAGAAAAGTTAAAGTCGTTACGTTTACCATATAACTTGGTTGTTAGGTTACCATTAACATCTTTTTCAAGTAAAATATCCAAGTATGAAACAGATGTGTCAGACTCTGTAGTATCTTTTATCTCAATCTCTCCTGGATATATCGTATCGACGTAGGAATGGAAATTACCATTGTTAATTAACATTACGTCGTCGATATATCTGAAGGTCGAATTGATGGTTACAGCAAGTGTTTTCTTCTTTTCACGCATAAGATTTTGCATAAATTCTGCTTCATATGAATACAAAAAATAGGTCTGCTAATAACGGAGCGCGATTGGTTCCCATGGGAATTCCCCATAGAACAATACAAAATAGGAGCAGGGCAAACACGGACCTCCGAAACATCAGAGGTAGTATCAGGTGCAATGGAGGAGTGAACATCCCCTGCCGACCGGTCACACACGCCGTGTGCTCCTTGTCATGATCGGGAAATGACGGGAAAATTAAGCCACAAAGAGGTGAAAAATTCCAAAAAATAAACGAATTTTTCATTTTTGAAAGTAAGATTGCCTATTTGAGAGTTTATGCGCATGCTGAGTTTGATAGTTATTTATGATTTCTCTGTATGCAAGAACACAAAGATTTGCACAAGGTTGGTGTCATTGATCGGCAAGGGATGCTTATTTCTTCATGGTACCTGACTACATATATTATTTTATTATTTTGGTTTGTTTTTCTGTTGCTTGAAATGAGAATTTTTCACTTGACTTTTGAATTCGATTACTATTGTTTCAAACATCATGCAGAAATAAAGTAGATAGACAATTTTTGTATGTCCACGTTTAAGGGATAAATTCCATTTAAAATTTTGCGTCAAAAGTTTGTTATCAGTGAAATTTTATTAACAAACGATATATGTTCTTAGAAACATTGCAAATGTTATAGCTCACATTTGAAGAAACTCACTTTACCTATAAAGCAATAAGAATGCCTTTACCAAATCAATTGAATTACGCTTATTCTCAGGGTTATGACGTCAAATATTATTATGATGTTAGAAAATGACGTGAAAACAAAAAAAAAATATTGAATTTGATAAGATTGCATTCGCGGTCCTGTATAAAGTGTAAGGCAGATTTCAGCATTCCTACCTGTACGGATTGGTCTGAATTCCACCATCCCATTCACCGCCTGGCACTGATACGTAACACAGTGCTCTGTATAACTACTACCGATCGCCACACATTTACCATTGGGATCCAAACAATCTGCAAAATGTCAGTATTTTTATGATGGTTAAAAATTAGTTATGTCTTCTTTTCATCCTTTTGGCATAAAGGTATATCAAGTGACATTTCTATTGCGGTAAAAAATTTGGAAAAAGGAACTTTTAAAATTTTTATTAACTGCTTAAAAGTAAAAATAAAAGAAGAAAAGCAACATAAACAAAATGTTATTCGAACCATTTGCCATACCTTTTTGAACCATTTTGTAATTTCCAGCTTCACATTTGAAGGTCTCACAAACATTTTCTACTACAATAGCTGCTCCCTCCTCGATACACTTATCGTCGACCAGGCAACCTTATAATTTAAATGTAAATTTTTGTATTACTATTTTAAATTTAAATATTGATAATATGGCCTAAAAGAAGTTGTTCAGAGAAAATATAATAAAGCAATATTTTTTGAATGTATGAAAAATATATAAAAGTGGTTTTTTTTATCAGATGAAACAATTTTTTAACCACGAATATATCATAATGCACTGAGCAGATGTCGAGCACAGGTTCAAAGTTATATTCGACAGTAATAATGCAATAATTTTTACTTGAATTTTCATGCATCACAAGTCGTTTTGATTTCGTCTTTATTATTACAATTTTTTATTCAGTTAATCCACACGCCTGTGTAATTAATTACAATTTGTGATTTAGATAATTGCTTACCATCACTGACTTTGGAAACTCTGTAATGGTCACACACGCCCCCCTGACATACACCGTCCTGGTAACACCTGTACGTGTCACAGTCAATCGTCACTTCCCGGTTCCAAGACAAGACTCGGCCTTTGTAGCAGCATCCTTAATACAGAAATTAACATAAAATGGTACAAGTCTATAATCTGATCTATCCTATAACAAGAATGCAAAAAAAGAATATCAACGTGTAATTTTGTCATAGTTTGTAAGAATATCAGAAGTGTAGAAAGTTCTCATGTTATAATGGCGTATACTCTTTTGCCGTACCATAGAATCCGACGTTTTGCCAGTCTCCGTTGATACACTGTACCTTACGGCATCGCTCTTTCTTCACCTCTCCTTCTTTACAATTCGCTTTGATGAATTTTATAAAATTAAAGAAAATAAATTTTATGAATTATTTATAATTTCTTTGAAAAATGAAGATTTTTAAAAGTTCAAGAATATAAATTAATATAAAACTTACGTGGTGGTATAAAAGCTGAAAAAAGATTTTAAAACTCATGTACATGTATATGTTCCATTTTGTAGAACATTTGATAAGATATTTGGTTCTTATATTGTTAATGTTTATTTCTTGTTTATGGTTTGAAACTTACGAGCACACATTCTTCTGACAATGGTTTCCCTGAAAGGAATGAGGTCATCGTAGCGTTTCAGACGAACCAGTTTGTCGGGTTCTGAAACTATAGCTTTCATCTCGTCTATGTTAATACTTTTGTCTGTTCCGACGGCGATTCCAAAGATATATACCCCATTCTCCTTCAGTTTAGTAGCATCCTGTACTGGATCCCGGTCCACGTTAGAGTTACCGTCTGTAATGATTACCGCCATATTCCGAACCTCCTCTCGGTCGCCATTTTTGTCCACGAACAAAGTGTCATCTGCCACGCGCAGGGCACCCGAAGTATTAGTGACACCCTTAGTGTAGACCAACTCGGCAATGTTGTTGAGGATTTCCATCTTTGGGTCAGGTTTGGCAATATGAGTGTTAAACAGGAACTCTACCACCGCTCTTTTGGAGAAGGTGAGAGCGGAAACTCGGAGCGACGATACGAAGTCTCCTTGTTTTAATGCTTGCGACACAAACGACAACATAGTGGCGAATCTACGGGGACCGATACTTCCAGAGGCATCAATGATCAATCCTATGTCCAGAGGTCCACATCGTGTTACATTGAAACCTAAGTGTTAGCACGTATTTATTTTAGAATACCAGTATCTCTTACGGGATCCGCATGCTTTTATATTGTTAATTTTGATGATTTTTGATAATGTTGTTTGCACATTATAGTTTTTATAAGATCATTTTCAGAATATGGAATTTTATTATTCATTGTTAGTAATAACTTTACTTTGATTTTGAAGATAATATTTTCACATAACCTACCCGCTGCATCTGGGTCAACTTCTATGACTGAAAGGACAACAAAAATATATATTATTTAAGTAGAAAAGGAATCGCCATTTGGCTTGGTTGATATTTACATTATGTGACGTTTGGTTAAACAAAAAAGAAATGTTGCAATGTTTACAGAAAAAGCGTATATATTACATCAAAATAACTTACTTTAATATTCATTATAATTGAAAATAAATAGAATTCTGGATTAATTAAGAAATACGAGTTTTATTACAATATCTGACAAAACAAAATGATTGATGATGATAATCCTTGCTCTAAAAGGAGTGACTGACTACAACATTCGGATGATTTCATAATTTTGTTACAAACTAAATACTTACAATCCTGAGCGCTTCCAAAGGTGATGATGGCCGCCCATAGCAACAAGTATCCCACTCTCATCTCAGTGACCGGAAGCTGATTTTTATTTAAATTTTAAAATATATCTTTTTTTTTTAAATAAAAAAATATATTGTGAAATTTCTTAATTAATCATTATTTATACAGGACAGGTTTATGTTTTCGGAACTTAAAATTGTTACACAATGGAAAATTTCTGTAAGATTTTATTATACGTAGTCAGCATTTTTGTATAATAAAATTAGTATAGTTCTTCTTATATTTTTTAATGTATTTCATACATGATCTTCATAAATTTAAGTCAAATGTGTTCGTTATATATTTTAGATATATTTATTGATATCTTCGTTACATTTAAAAAAATCATAAATGTTAATCATATTTTGAAATATTCACATTCAAATTCATTTGCAGTTTAATTGGAGTTGTATCTATAATCTAAGCACAAGTGGTTTTATAGAAAGTAATCGGATAAAAAAAATTTCTATATTAAACAACCTTTTAGAAATTTAGTTTGTTCAGAGGGACATAAAAATCAACATCTTATCAGTATAAACTTGAATATATCCACAATACCGATACCCTCAACAGTCACAATGAACAATATCTTAAATTCAAGGTCTAAGTATATGCCGTTTAAATTGTTTACTGCATTTTTTCAATCCTAAAAAACATGAATATATGCAAAAACATCTTAAGTTTTGAAAAATTTTAAATCTTGAAATTTTCAATTTTATTTGACAAAGGAGAAGATATTAATGAAAAATGACAATTTATTTTAAACTTTGATTGTATATTAATCCAAAGCAAATCAGAAAATAGAGAAAAACTTTCTAGAATTTGAAATAAAATTAAACAAACCTTTACCATCCGCATAAAAGATGTGGAATGCAGATGATGTTTTGTGCATATATGTATTATATAAAGGGATCGAGTGTGAAGTCAATGCTATGACGAGGGAGAGGGGTGACAAAAGTTTATAATAGATTTCTTCTGTCGGCTTAAGACAACCGCTGAGAGGTCGGTCCATGTAACAGGAGGAGAGGGTTTAATAGAGGAACATATACAAACTTTTTTTGTAGCCGTTTACACGTTTCAACATATTAATCATCTCTTGTTTCACATTGTGGAGGATTTTTACTTTGCGAGTGTTCGATATAATCCTCTGGTTAGGTAAGCTGATTTTTAAATGGTCAAAATGATAAAAATCGATGCATCAAGGTGAAACTGTCGGTGAAACCGTCACTGATGGTCAACATTGTTATTATTCAATATGCATAGGAAACAAGCATTCCTATCTTTTTTCAGAAAGCAGTGCATGAACATGCCTCATCTTATGCTAAACAAGTCTGAAGAAGTTTTCATAAATATTAATCCTTGATGTTTGTATTACGATATTCTTGTAATGCATTTAAGACAGAAATCACTATAGCATAATATAAGGTCTAGAATTAATGAACACCTAAACAAAATGTTATTTCTATTTTCACAAGATGCAATACTGTAAGAAAGAGTGAAATAATCTATTAAACATTTTATTTTTTTGATTGCTCCAGTTGTTTAAACTTCGGCTTATAAACATTTTTTACATGTATCCAAAGAACGAGGGCGCTTTTGATTGACATTCCAAATTTGAAAATTTTTGAAATTTTAAAAATGCAACAGAAAAGGAAAATATTTTCACGAAATTGATATTTGCTGAAAATTGACCAGATCAGACATTTGGTACAAAATGGTACATTTTTAAACACGTTTCTTAAAAGTAATTTTGAAACGTTATTTGTGTGTATTTTAATTAAAGTGTCACCTTTTCCCCAAAAATCCAAATGTGTGAATGTGGTGCTTCTTTGTCCTTTTAAAATCATCTGAATATGTGTAGCGGTGATAGCTCAGTAAGTTGAGCTACCTGTTCAGTATACCCAAATCGAAAAGTTTTTGGTTCGAGCCTGGCATGGGGCGTTAATTTTTTTTTTCATGCAAACAACCATTTATTTTGTCAGTTTCGTTTTATGTACTGATGCATTAAAATTCTGAATTAGATAAATTTTCGAAATCAATTCTTATATTCAATAATGTATGGTACCAGCAGATAGCAAATGTCATCTTCTTTGAATTTATTTAAATAGTCTGATATTTCTAATGGGTACTCGTCTTCCTCTTAAAGTATGAGCTATAAAGTGTCATTTTAACGATTTTTTGTCACAGTCATCTTCTCTGTAATCTCTTGCGCTTCTACAAAAAATAAGAGTAAACTTCAATCATTGAATCCTATGATGGCCTAGCATGTCTTTTTTGTATACCGATAGTTGAACTCATATAGGCTTATTCCTATATAGCATCTGTTCCCTCCTCTGAAATTTCTGGTAGTTTTTGTTTTTATGTCTAATTCATAAATTTGTATTTGCGATTTTTTTGTATATCAATCAATTTTGTTTTATCCACCTTTTATCTTAATTATATGTAGTACAAACAAGAAACATTTCTCTTCTTTTTCGTTTGTTTAAAAATTTAACAACAAATGAAACACGAAGAATAATCAACTCTAAAGACTGGAAACAATTTTTATTGTGGATAACACAAACACTGGTATGTGAAACATCAGAGATGGGGTCAGGTACCGTGGATGAGTAAACGTCCCCTGTCAACTTATCACACTCGCTTCATTCATTCATTTATTCTCTCAAAAAACCATATACATGGTAAAAGAGGTACATATATACATATTTACAATAATTAAGGACGAGCAGAAATTACAGGAGGACATGCAGACAGTGTCAAAATTTTTTGTGATAAATATACACAATTTTCGTAAAAATGCTGGATCTGTACTTGTCATCAAATTACAGAATTTCATTATATTTGGATGTAAATAGTATTTCTGCAACAACAAATCTTTTCGGATACTATATAATGCATTATATTCCAGTAAATAATGAAATTCGTCTCCTATCTGATTATTATTACATAAATTACACACTCTTCCATTTCTTTGAACATCATACATTCTGCGAGTACCCCTTGTCATGATCAGGTAAACGGGGAACTAGAGATGGATTGTATTTGCTACTTAGGTCATTCTACTAATTGTTAGATTTTACAAATGTTAAATTTAAAAGAAACTGTTGTTATTCTTGTAACAACAACTTACCTCTAATTAGTTTCCCTCGTTTAAGATAATATTTACAAATGTTCTTTGAACAAGCTCTAGCTAGATAAAAGCATCTTCAAGAGACATAAATTCTTTATGCATGGGCAGATAAAATGGTATATTATTGCGTAAATAAAGAACGTTGAGAATAGATAAGCTGAAGTCAGCACGTTTATCATAAATTTAATTTAAATTAAATGTTTGTTAGCAAGATCTTTCTATAGTAAAATATAAATAGATACGTTGTGGTGTGTTCTATTTTTAATTTAGAAAAGATACAACGATTCGATGTAGGAAATAAAATTGTTATTAATGTTATTTGATAAAATTTCATCAATATTTCATTTTATTTTAAAGTTATACCAAAGGAATTATTTTCGTTCAAATATTTTTAAAAATAAATTCTACTTCATATGACAAAAACTGGTCTGCTTATAACGGGGGCAAAATTAGTAACCAAGAGCTTTAACAGTTTTTTTTAAACATAGGATTTAAAAATTTTATATAAAAAAAACTCAAATATTTGTTAAATCTTAATTTGGAAGTACTGTATGAACCATGAGAGGTTTAAAAAAAAACAAACCAAAAAAAAAAAGTTTACAAAAACAAACTATTTTATTGTACCATTTTTATTAAGTATCGAAAATCCTGATCATTAATTTCTCGTGGGTAATTGATGTAAATTACATTTCAGAAATTAAGCTATCGATTTTTGAAATTTGATTATTTCAAATTTAAAAATAATTCCTTGGAGTATCCATATCGGAATATGAATAAGTTTGGGTTGTTCAGTATCCCCCTTAACTGAACGTTTATCTTTGTGAGGATAATAGAAAGATGTTTTGTAGAACATTTTCTAGAGCTAACTTGATATCTTTATTTGTAGTGATGTTCATAGCATTAACATCCAGGAAATATATTGTAATTCAAATATAAGCACTAGTATTTAGAATCATATACATGTATGGTAATCTTGCAGAAAGGTAGATTTTGAACATGATAGACAGTTTAGAATTTCTGAAATATTGTCAACAATATTCAAGCTGAAAGTCCTTAGACAATACTAGAAGAAGAGAAGAATAAACATTATATTTGCTAACAAGGTTATTGTATCAACCTTAGAATGTACGAAATAACGACTTTAATCGTGACAGCTGATTTTCTTATTTCTAGTTAAATTTGTTTGTCATCTTTGTCAACTTGTTTGTCAATAACTTAGCTTGTTATTGAAATTGTCTATGCATAGAGCATCAACTATGAGATATAAATACTGTATATGCGGGTGATAAATGTATATATTACTACATAGATAATAGAGGTTGAAGATTGAAAAGTTAGTCATCACCTTTAATAAAGCTTCGTTATTAGATTACTATCATCGATTTTTTCTAATAAATTATTTAAATATAAAACAGATGTATCAGATTCTTTGGTATCTTTTATTTCAAGCTTACCGTGATATATCGTATCGACGGAAGAAGGAAATAAACATTGTTTATTGACAATATCTTTTCAGTTCATAGCATTTGTTTCTTTTCACTTATAAGATTTTAAACGAATTCTGCTTCATGTAAATACAAAATAGGTCTGCTAATAACGTGACCCAATTGGTACGAAATTCAAGACCTGCTTCCCCAAAACCACATCGATATTGTCAGACAGAAAGTCAAGCATCTCTTTGATGTCAACTTCAGAGAACTTGTGTGTACAATCAAACTGTAAGTAATTAAATTTACGAGTTCCATTTCTATTGAAAAAACAGTTGTCTATGATATCAAAAAGCTGGGATTTAAAATAGTTGGAAATGGTTGTACTAGTATATAAAGTTTTTATATTTTGGAAGAGTTTTTGATTTCAAAAGTTTTTTGGAATTTTTAAGCATCAAAATCTGATTTACACCTTTTCTTGAATATATTGTGGGATAGTACTCCTGAAGTGTCTCTTTCACTTATGATGTTTATGAAAGAGATTAAATCATGCGTCGTGTAGGAGTAACGTCTCTCTTCGACCGGTCACACACGCCATGTGGTTCCTTTTATGATCGTTTATGTTCTTCATTATTAGGACTTAATTTGACATTATTAAACATTCATTGATAACGACTCTCAAAGGGAGGAATAAGATTTTTTTTATTTTTGAGTAGCTGCTGTCAATGACAATTGATCAAATTTGCTACTACGTGGCATGAATGACCATGTACACTTAAAAAGATTGGCAAAATGATCATTGAGGAAGGAACAAATAACAACCAAAATAAGCATTCATTTAAACACATTTTTTCTTTAGGTTGTGTTATTTTCATCGTCTGTTTATTGCAATTTTAAAGCTTTGGAAAAAATCTTATCAAACAAGAAGTGATCTCTAACTCTGTCTGAGGCCAAGGTATTCCTCGACATTTAGATATATCTACGACGTATTGTTAATTAACAATGGTAATTTCCATTTCTACGTCGATACGATATATCCTGGTGAGCTTGAGATAAAAGATACCACAGAGTCTGACACGTCTGTTGCATACTTGGATATTTCACTTGAAAAAAGATGTTAATGGTAATCTAACAACCAAGCTATATGATAAACGTGATGACTTGAACTTTTCCATCGTCAACTTCCCTCACTTATGCAGCAATATACCTTCATCACCTGCATACGGAGTGTGTATATCTCAATTGATTCGATACGCAAGAGCATGCTCTACGTATAAACAATTTCTAAAACGAGGTAAATTATTGACAAACAAGTTGATGAAACAAGAATATCAGCAGTTCGTTTAAAGTCATCATTTCGTACGTTCTATGGTCGATACAATGACCTTGTCAGCAAATACATATATATTATTATAACAGTAACTTGATCCGAAACAATTTCTCAGATCAAAAACGCGAAGCGTAAATTATTGACAAACAAGTTACTGTTATAATGATAAATTTATTATATACCCCCTTATAACTGGCTAAATATATTTAAATAAAACTTTAGAGATCAATGGTATAATATTAATCCATTAAACAAAGCATAATTACGAGGGACTTTTTTACACGCAAGACAAATAACGTCATATTTCTGCGTACTACGTCATCAGTTTCAGATACTTGGTGATATGGATTCAGAAAACCACAGTGTGGTGATCCGGAAAATCGGATCACGACGTCACGTGATAGCGTAAATTCAACAGTAAAATTGAGTGATACACGTTAGGTATATAATAAAGTTTATCATTAAGTTAAATGCTGACTGATGTTTTTCATACTAATTGTTAGTCCATTATTTATACACTGAATTGACGACGGATTTTTCCTTTATTTCCTGATCATGACAAGGAGCACACGGCGAGTGTGACCGGTCAGCAGGGGATGCTCACTTCTCCATGGCACCTGATCCCACCACTGATGTTTTAGAGGTCTATGTTTGCTCAGCTCCTATTCTGTATTGTTTTATCGACTTTGATATTGAATAATGTTCGTTATCTCCATATCCTTAATCTGTTTATGCAAATAATAAATAAATAAGACAAAATAAAATAAAAAGACTAATTCTGAAAAAATAGGTATAAAGTCATTAGTAACATTTTCTAAAAAAATCTTATTGTAAAAAAAATTAATGACATTCACCTGACGTTCAAATTTCTTATCAATTAGTCTTAGAATATCGCTCAGTTATATTTTGCTTTTTTTAGCTAGTAGTAGTAGATTTATTCAGGTAATAAAATCAATGTATGATGCAGGGTGGTACAAATATAAATAATGCATAAAATGAAAAACCTGAAAATTTCATTATATTTTAAATTAAATAAATAGGACATTTATCCGTAGTCATCGTATATTGATATCTTTCATGCTTCTTTGTGAAACATATAAAGATAGCGAACAATATTCAAGATCAAAAGTATCAAGTTCTCTCTGAGGAGTCTATTGGGATGTATGATGTAGGAATATGAAGATAGGAGGTAGATACAAATTCCATAAACAGGGCAAAAAACACGGATCCACAGTTATTCCCTAGATAGTATCAGGTGACTATATATTTCTGGGGTAAAAAAGATAAATTCGTATATTTGACAAAATATTCCTACAAGCATTGTTATTCATTTAGCATAACTTTGAAACAACTCCCACAAAATCAATCAAAAATTTCATCCTGATCAGAACATGCTCTTTTAATAAAAGTATCTTATTTTCTTGATCCCATCTCATTCTCTCTGAGTGAAAAGTGTCATGGTTCATCATTCTTTAAACAAACATTTGATTGGGTAAGCACTTCGTACTTTAGACAGTATTCTATTTCAGGGTAAACCTCTTCATAAATTGAATCACGTTTACGTATATTGAAATAACTCATCTATACATCACACGTAAACATTTTATTTAAAAACGAATACAAAACACTACAATAAAGGGCCCACAGCGGGTGTGGCTGGTCACCAGGGATTGTTAGTTCTTACAAGCCACCTGATCCCATGCACTTCTGAAATTATTTGATGCCCCAGTCACGTATTTACACTGTTTAGATATTTTGGAGATGGATCACTGTGCGTTATCTCTGTCTTTTACATACATGTCATGCACATTGCCCAGTAAAAAATGTGTTTCAATTATATTTTTGAAGTTTCATGCCGAGTAAAATTTAATTTATTCTTTAATGAAAATGATCGTAAAAGTGAAAAAATATGCATCAAATACAAGTATGTATCATCAAAGTAAATGAACGTGCAGTATGACTTTGGAAAGAGAAAACATACAGGTACAAGATTTCTATTTTTTTAAATGCAAAAATAGAACTAATGGTTTATGTATAAGTTCAGGTATAAAAAAAGTTTCAGTCATGATTGATAAGAAAATATTAATTACAATGAAAACTAATAAGTTATTAACACATCATTCGAACAGAGGGCTTTTGTTTCGATGCTTCGAGCCAATACGTCATCATGTCTCCTTTACCCTGCAATAAAGAAGTAAAATAAGAAAATAGTCAGAGAGATCTCACATCCTGTCCATTTAAACAATAAAAATCTGAAGCAGACTAAACGCGGGCCTCCAAATACATAAGAGGTGGGATCAGGTGCCATGAAGGCTTGAGCAACCCCTGTCCTCAAGGCTATTATTTACACACTGTACGGTTGCTCCGTTTCCCCGATCATGATAGAGAGTACATGATGAATGTGACTGGTCGACAGGGGATGCTTACTCCTCCATCCTTACCCCACCACTGATATTTTTCGAGGTCCATGTATACTAATCTGCTACCAAATTACATTTTAAAAAATAGACTTGAGCTTTAATAATGCTCTATTTCAGTGAAATAAAATTTTGTACGTGTGTTTAGTATTTTAGCATACAGTGTTGTAGATTATACTATTCACAAAATTACAATATTATGAAAAGCATGCAACAAAACTGTCATAAAGCTTTTCCATACATTATAGAAAGTTTTCCCCTGGGGAATCTAGAAATGATTCTTTAATTAACCAGACAGTTACAATATTTCCTATTATGGAAAAACACAAAGCCCCTAATTGTAAGATGAGAAGTGTATGGAAAATTATTTATTAACGATGAAAAGATAAGGAAAGTGAAGAACTGCTTATGTTCTTAGAGCAAGCATTAATGAACCTAGACGGTAGATCAACATATCTTCTGAATAGGACGCATAAAATCTTCAAATATTAAATAAGCAAATTAAAGATACGAAGATCCTTTCTTACTAGAATATTTTATGAACAAATTCTAACATATTTTACTTAAGAATGTATGATATGGAAAAAAATTCCTTCTCTTACCTTGATTTTGATAAATCCTCTCGTTGTATATTGGAAATAATCATATTTACTTATTATTTCACAGGTGGAGGAGCTCATTTGTATTCTTCCTCCTGAAAATGGGAAGAAAATGTCAACTCATATGAAGTATAGTGCCAAATTCAGGATACTGTCAGTGAGAGATTTATTTCGTGGACGCAGACGTCCACTTTAAAATAAAAGCAAGGTTTAACCGGATGCTATGGATAAAAGTCGGTCGACGTATGCAGCAGAATCTTATAAAGTAAGATTGTTGGCCCATTAGGACAATTCACCCATACAGCTTTAATTTGGACCAAATTAACAATTCTAAACATTTTTTGGCAATTGTTATACAGTTGACCATAATAAATTCCCAGCTTAATGATCAAGGACCAAAGAGCTGTAAAAACTGTAAAAAAAAAACCATTATTTTTGTTAACATTTACGTAGGAAATATTTTATGCTAGATCTCTGTTAGAAAGAAAAGTTTTGTTCCATGGATTGCAGTTCTTTTTGAAGAACAGTTACTTATTCTTTACTATCATTCAGTGTTTTTATATTTTTGTCTCTATAGAAGAAGTATAAAGATTTCATCTGCTCGGACCTTGACTTGTTGACTCCATTCTAGAGGCTGTGTTGACGGTGTCCCCGAACAAACAGTATCGAGGCATCTTCTTCCCAACTACCCCCGCCACACAGGGCCCTGAAATGGCATAGTCGTAAGTATTAGACAAAAGACTTGTCTGCACCACTCCACTACATAATGCCCTGAAATGGCATATGTACGTATTAGACTAAACAAGACTTGTCCGCACCACCCATTACGTAAGGCCCTAAAATGGAATAGTTTTAAGTATTGGACGAAACAAAGCTTGTCTGTACATGCACCACCCCACCACATAGGGCCCTGAAATGGCATATGTCGTAAGTATTAGACCAAACAAAGCTTGTCCGTACCACCTACTACATAAGGCCATAAAATGGCATATTTCGTAATTATTACACAACAAAGAGCTCTAGGACCACTGACCCCCCCCCAAGGATGGCAAGACCAAAAAAAAACCATACCACCATCGCCAGACAGGGTCCTGAGGTGCTATATTTTGTTAATATAAAATAAAACAAATATTGTCCGTACAACTGCTTTCGAACAAGGTCCTAATTGGCAAAAATAATAAGTATAACATATAAAAAAGCCAGCCCCCCCCCACCACCGCGCCACACAAGGCCGTGGGTGACATATATTATGTATTAAACAAAGAAGACCTCCTCCTTTGTTTTATACCTCAGTGCATAATTCTTACAGGTGATATGGAAAGTTTGTTGGCTCAGATTTTACTAAAGTTACAGAAACTCTCAAGGTTTTAATATTTTATCCTTTAACCAATGTAGGAAGACGTTGAATAAATACTTTTAAAATAGAATTTATATTTTTTGTCGATAAGATGATCTTTTATAACACACGATTTAATGACATTTGGAACTGAGGAACTGATGTTATTAATTGTACGTAGTGTTACATTTTGAGAAGCTTGAATAATCAATACGTTTTCTTTATGTGACTAGTATGGCGTTTCAATCAATCATATTGATTTACATAGCCAATTTTCATAAAACAATTCTTTATTGCTTTTTAAAGATTGGATTAATAAGTAGTTATAGAATGGAAACCTTTATAGAGATATCAAGCTCAGAAGTCCATCAAACAATTAATTCACAAGCAGCGCAAACACGGACATCTAAAACATCAGAGGTGGTATCAGGTGCCACGGAGTACTAGTATATTATTATTAACAATAAAATTTTCTTAATTACTTATTTAGGTGCAGATTAAATGAATGTTTTAATGAGAGGTTCTCTTGATAGAACTTTTTCTAGCGACTTATTGTTGAATTTTCAAACCAATATTTATCCATCTATTAATAATTCTTTTTCTAGGCTTCTTTAAGCTTTAGCTATACCTGTGTTAGCACTTTACGATTTTATATAAAAAGTGGTCTTACAACCTATTAAAAGAAATACGACGACAGTACAAAATGACCCAACAAAAAAGTCGAATGTTTCAAACATTGTTAACAATTGCTATAAGCTTGCCTTAAACAAGACCTTGATGCGCTCTTAAAATATCTCAAGATATTTGACAGAAGCTTGCTTTGGACAAAAATGCCGTTTTCAGAACATAAGATAACGTATCGAATTAGAGACATTATAGAAATTATTGAATTCAGGAAAAGGAAGCTCGGCTTTTACAGTTGTGAAGTAATTTCATCCGTAATATGCCCCTTATTTGTCTTTTATGCAAACATAAACTTTAACATTTGGTTTCTTAAGCAGATGAAGCCATTTTAAATCCAGTTCACGTTCCTTTTAAGAGTCAATGATCGAAAAAGGTAAAAACAATGAAGAGAGAACGAACTAAAAATTTACAAACAATACAAACCCGCCGATCAGGAGTAAGCTTCCCCTATTAATCGCTCTCAACCGCCGTATGCCCAAAGTACTATATTAATCAGAAAGATGGAACATTCCTTGACAAAATTCATTAAAAAATATAATACAGACTTATCTACTGGCATGAAATATGAAAGGCAAAATACAATACTCTCGAAGTTCCAGTAACAGTAACATTTCTGATGTTTAAGAATTAATCGTACTTGGACCATGCTCTCGAATAAGTTGGGGATAAAAACACGTGCACCATATAGAGGTGATACATAAATAATGAAAATTGACGAAAGTCAAGGCATGAATTATTAAAATTTGTTAATAGATACACTGATTGACAATATCTATGTAGTTTTTGGAGACCAGGTATTCCAACAATCTATTGGAATTCTTATGGGTACCAATTGCGCTCTAATAATTGCAGATCTTTTTTCATATTCATATGAAGCAGAATTTATGCAAAATCTTGTGCGTGAAAAGAAAACACTTGCTGTGGCCTTCAACTCGACATTTAGATATATCGACGACGTATTCTTAATTAACAATGGTCATTTCAATTCCTACGTCGATACGATATATCCTGGTGAGCTTGAGATAAAATATACCACAGAGTCTGGCACATCTGTTTCATACTTGGATATTTTACTTGAAAAAGACGTTAATGGTAATCTAACAACCAAGCTCTATGATAGACGTGATGACTTGAACTTTTCCATCGTCAACTTTCCTTATTTATGCAGCAATATACATTCATCAACTGCATACGGCGTGTATATATCTCAGTTGATTCGATACGCAAGAGCATGATCTATGTATGAACAATTTCTAAAACGAGGTAAATTTTTGACAAGCAAGTTGATGAAACAAGAATATCAACCATCTCGTTTAAAGTCATCGTTTCATAAATTCCATGGTCGATACAATGACCTTGTCAGCAAATACAATTTATCATTGAGACAAATTCTGACTGACGTTTTTCATACTGATTGTTTGTCCATTATTTATACACTGAATTGACGACGGATTTTTCCATTATTTTCCGATCATCACAAGGAGCACACGGCGGGTGTGACCGGTCAGCAGGGGATGCTCACTCCTCCATGGCACCGGATCCCACCTCTGATAATTCGGAGGTCCGTGTTTGCTCTGCTCCCATTATTGTATTGTTTTATGGACTTTGATCTTGAATACTGTTCGTTATTTTCATATCCTTATTTCTTGAAATAAATGTTCGCAGTTTTTCTTTTCCGTAATTATACACTGCGTTTCCAGAATATAAACCTTGTTTCCCCATGCAAGTTCCTGATTTTTGTTGTTGAATGATATTTTGAAATTAAGCTCTGTTCGTTATCTCAGTATCTAATATATGTTAGTAGTAAACACAAATATTTTTAATTCGAATTTGGTGTCTTGTTAGAGCGAGATATTGAATAATGAGATGAATCGAAAATACATTCTTTTAGAATAATGTGCAAAAATTAATCTATTCTTTGGTTTTTTTGCAAGACATTCCTATACAAAATACAGGGGATGCTTACTCATCCATGGCACCCGATCTCTGGAATTTTTAAGTTCTTTTTGTTTTATGCTCTGTTCACAGATATATTCTATTTGAGGAAAACTGAAAACTGATCGCTATTTTTAATTTAAATATTTATCATAATACCTCGTGATTTTTATACATTTTCCTTTTGTGTAGATATCACGGCTCATGTCTTATTGTGATATAATTTTGAGTTAGTCTTCATCAATTTCAAAATGTAAAATCGGTGACACAACCAGATGTATTAAATGAGTAAATAGGTAGTTCACGAGCAACATGCAGAGCAATATTAAGAATTTTTATCTCAATAGCAGGGAGGTTAATGGACATTTTGCGTGTAAACCTCATTTAAATGTTTTAGCTTCAAAAGTCACAATTTACTAATGAATTACTTTGTCTGAAGGATTAAGGCTTTCGCCATTTTTAATCAATTTAGATGATAAATGGTATTGAACGGAAGTCTGTCTTCCAGTTTTTGTCATTGTCAACCTTCAATAAAAGCTCTGTCTGCAGGTAAGCAAACACGGAAATTAATGGTGATATATTTTCTATAATCTCTGAGTTGATACTAGGATGATGTACTTGATGTACATGTAATGACTTGGAAAACTGGTGGTATTTACGTCTGCTACAATCTAATCTCTCTCTCATTCTCTGACTCTCTCTCTCTCTCTCTGTCTCTCTCTCTAAATGGTAATCTAACAACCAAGCTCTATGTTAAACGTGATGACTTTAACTTTACAATCGTCAACGTCCTTACTTACGCAGCAATATACCTTCATCACCTACATACGGAGTGTATATATCTCATTTGATTCAATAAGCAAGGGTATGCTCTACGTACGAACAATTTCTAAAAAGAGGTAAATTATAGACGAACAAGTTGATGAAACACGAATATAAGCAGTCTCCTTTGAATTCATCATTTCGTAAGTTCTATGTTCGATACAATGACCTTCTCAGCAAATACAAATTATTAAATGAGTCAAATTCTGACTGACGTTTTTCATACTAATTGTTAAACCATTACTTATACACTGCAGTTGATGACGGATTTTTCCGTTTATCCTGATCATGACAAGGATCACACAGTGGGTGTTACCGATCCGCAGTGGATGCTCACTCCTGCATGGTACCTGATCCCACCTCTGCTGTTTCTCCCGTGTTTGCTCTGCTCCTATTTTGTATTCCTTTATGATTTTTGATCTTGAATACTGTTTGTTATGTCCATATGTTCCATATATGATAAAAAACTGAAGCTTTTGTTTACATTATTGTATAGGACTCCTCATCTGATCACTATTGGCATTTTGGCTACCTTTCTTTCAAATGATTTCTCTAAAAGAATTTTTGGTCTATTTCAAACCTTAAAACTAAAATAAGAAATGTTAAGAATAGATAGCTAGAGCCAGCCAAGCTAAAAATATAAACACATGTAATTCCTAAGTCATGAAGCTACAAGCTCAACCTGAGGGATTCTGACTATAGTTAGCATTTATCACTTAAGGCAAAGTTGATTAAATGTACGTTTTGAACCAATGGATGTTTTGTAAAAACATGCAAAGAATGTTGGCTATCTGTATAACGTCATGCTTTTAAGTATCTTAATAAAGATTTAGAAAATTTATATATTTATACCTGTTTTTATATGGTAGACAATGAGAAAAGAGAGAAAATAAATACTGAATTCTGAATTCTTTAGTTGTACTACTCACTGAAATTTTACGTGTTATTCAATTGATAAAAATGAAAGCAGAGGCTTTGTTCATTACCATTTAGCTTAAAATCATCTATCAGCTCACCTGAATGTATTCCAATGCGTATTTGGATAACTTCAGATGAGTGAACAGGGGACTGGAAGTTAGTCATGCTGTCCCGGATGTCCAGTGCCATGTTACAGATATGGAGCGCATGCGCATGTCCATTTGAGACAGGAATTCCGCTTGTTACCATGTAGGCATCCCCAATCGTCTCAACTTTGTATACATCATACTTTTCTATACAGTTATCAAACAGTCTATCGAAAAATGGGTAAAAAGGATACTTAATAAAGAATCTACGTAGGTTTAGTTTTGATAGAAATGTGTTACTAAATATGAAATGTTTGTTTGAAATTGCCTTCTTTTTGATTCCCGTTATTTGTGTTGTAAAAACAACAAGCTTAACTGTTTTTGGTTATAATTGTCTGGAAAATTGACACTTGAAAGAAAATTATGAAATAAGAACGGGCATGAAACACTATGAATTAATGGATATAATATGAAAGAATTAAATGATAAGAATAAAAGGCAGAAAAACTTACGAATATATATCATTAAGTAAGTCTATAACCTGCAAAGGAGTGCTTCTACTGCACAGTGAAGTGAAATCGACAATGTCACTGAAATAGACAGACGCTTGAGAAAACTCTTCAGCTGGCACGAACCCCTTTGATTTCAACTGCATTGCAATTTTCCTCGGTAGCATGCGATAGAGGAGTTTCTCAGTAAGTCTCTTTTCTTCAGCTAATTCTTTCGTTTTCAATTTGATGTCATTAGCGTACTTAGCCATTCGTAACGTCATTTTGTTAACACATGATATGTACCAAACCAGTAATGTAAAGCTTGCTAATGCTACAAGCACCTGCAGGGAAATAAATAATGCAAAACTGAATTGAGCCTCATTTCGGATCTCTGAAAGATTTTCCTTTAGTTGACGAGATGAATTTTGATGGATGACAAAGGAGAAGTCTATAATTATTGTCATGTTCCTAAACCATTCCACACTCATAGCGAATCTTTCCTCCTGAGTCTGGGTTTGACAATCGTATGTATTATTGGCCCACAGTTTCAAGCTTACTTCTTGAAGATATCTTTCTGTGTTAAAATCGTTTTCTGCATATGTGTTAGCAATGCTTGGATCGTGGGTAACCACAATATCTAAGTACGATTTTGCCTTACCTTCGGTGTAACGGTACATCTGGAACTCGTGGTTCGTGAATCCACATACTGTGAAAAGATAGGCTATTCTAGCTCTCTGAAGGCCAATAAGGTCAATGTGACGTAGAAGTGCCACTAACACAAACAACTTGGCGTAAAGATGCTTTCCTTCGGGAATTTGCACACCCACAAGCATTTTATCCATCAGGGCGTTATTTATATCTGTATAGAATTCTAATACGCCGATGACCGATACATTGGTGTTCAAAATTTTATTTCTTGTTTCTTTGATGCTGGAGATTATATCTTCTTTGTTATACTTTATATTTTGTATAGAAAACATTCTATCTCCAAAGGGTGTGTTTTGTAAGCCGACGTCGGTGTCTTCCTGTGCTTCCTGGAGTAATCTCTGAGCCTCTGACGTGTTTCCATTCACTGTCAGAAAAGTGGCAGACCTTCCCCTTTCTCTTTGAAGCATCTGAATGAAATTGGCGAACAGCTGAGCGGAGTTTATTTGTGATATAGCAGCATCTGTGTCCGTCACCAGCTGAATAGCATTACTCAGATTAAAGGTGGAGAAGACGATCATAGCGACGATAGGGATGATGATGACTAGAATCATTCTCCAGTGTTCCACCAATCTCCGACATCCGCCCTTGTCTCGAAGGCTCCTTTGGACGAGATCCAGATCACTTCCACCGGATAAAAAGGATTTTCCGGACACAGGAGATCTGATTTCCCTATCATGATACTCAGGAGTTACCGCCCCTCTCTTCATGGCCTGTAAATAAGCCAAGAGAAATGGTGTCAATTATACAGAGAAATAAGTCAATTTATTGATAATGTACATAAAAAACATGTGCATAGAAACACGTAAGGATTTAACTACCTGTCAAATTTATTTTAGAAATATGGTTTTGTAGAGATTGACAAAAACCGTCGACCATATTAATCAGCATTATATGGTAAGGTTAATCTGGGGTTTGATTTGGAATAATGTAGTTTATCGTTTTAACCGGCAGGTTTTTATCAAATATAAACCTTCGCTGATATTTTAAAAATATGACTTAGATATTGTTGACTAGGAATCAAGCAATAATTTATCAATCAATCAATCTTTAGATGAACCTACTGAAAAGTAAATACATTCCTGTCTGAATTGATTAAATGGTAAAAAGTTGACTGAGTCACATGGCTGGATAATTTTTCTTCAGTTGAGTGTAGAGTGAAAAAAACAACAACAAAAGTCTTACGGTTTAAATAAACAATTATCAGTTTCAATTGTATCAACATCAGGAATAAATATCAAACAATTATCTCATAAATTTCATTGTATAATAATTTTTTTTTTCAGCTGTACAAACCATGATTAGCATGTCATTGATACATTTGTGTATAACGTTAAATTGTTTGCCAACAAAGTTTTTACCTTAAAACGTTTCTCTTTATTTCTACCATTCTGGGTACGTAATGTTAATCCTAAAACAAGGACATCAATTTCGCTTAACTTTTGATGAATGAAGAATATGGAGATGACGAACAGTATTCAATATCAAAGTCCATAAAACAATACAAAATAGGAGCAGAGCAAACACAGATCTCCAAACCATCAGAGGTGGGATCAGGTGCCATGGAGGAGTAAGCATCCAGACCGATCACACCCGCCTTGTGCTACTTGTCATGATCGGGAAATAACAAAAAAAAAATCCGTCGTCAATTTAGTGTATAAATAATGGACTAACAATGAGTATGAAAAATGTCAGTCAGCATTTGACTCAATGAAAAAAAATGAATTTGCTGACAAGGTAATTGTATCGACCATAGAACTTTCAACGGGACTGCTGATATTCTTGTTACATCAACTTGTTTGTCAATAATTTACCTCGTTTTAGAAATTGTTCATACGTATATTGAGCATGCTGTTGTGTATCGAATCAAATGAGATACATGAACTCCGTTTGCAGGTGATGAAGGTATAATGCTACATAAGTAAGGGAAGTTGACGATAGAAAAGTTCAAGTCATCACCTTTATCATAGAGCTTGGTTGTTAGATTACCATTAACGTCCTTTTCAAGAAAAATATCCAAATATGAAACAGATGTGTCAAACTCTGTGGTATCTTTTATCTCAAGCTCACCAGGATATATCGTATCGACATAAGAATGGAAATTACCATTGTTAATTGACATTACTTCGTCGATATATCTAAATGTTTAGTTGAAGGCCACAGCAAGTGTTTTCTTCTTTTCACGCATAAGATTTTGCACAAATTCTGGTTCATATGAATACAGAAATAAGTCTGCTAATAATTGGTCGCAATTGGTACCAATAGGAATCCAAATAAATTATTGAAAGACCTGGTCTCTAAAAACCACATAGATATTGTCAATCAAAAACTCAAGCATCTTGTTTATGTAAACTTGAGAGTACTTATATGTACAATCAGAATGTTTTAACCAAGTAGTTTTGCAAATGACCGATGACAAGGTAAGTACATATACGAGTTCTATTTTTATTGAAAAAGCAGCTGGCAATGATATCGAAAAGCATAGACTTTAATATATCGTGGGAAATGGTTGTGTGTAAAGTTGAAAAGTCGTAAGTTTTTTAAAAGCTGTTCATTTAGTTTGTATGTTGTTTAACGTCCCAATCGATGGGCTCTATTGATTATATAGTGAAAATGCATGAATTCGTCGAAAATCTTTCCTTTTGCTCCTGGGTATTATGCCATATGTACATATGTACATATCTATGATGATTGACTGATTAATTGTAAATTGTTTAGCATCCCACTCGAGAATTTTTCACTCATATGGAGACGTCACCGTATGCTGGTGAAGGCTTCAAATTTAAACCTATACTAGGCTCTCGGGGCCATTGAGCACTGTGGGTACTTTATCGTGCCAACGCCTACCACAACACGGGACCTGCGTTTTAAAGGCCGAGCTTGACCTACTTGAAAATCCGGTGGTAGTGCAATTAAGCAAATTTGGTGTAGGGCGGCGCTTACTGCTGCAGCCAAGTTAAAAATAAACTCCAGCATGCTGATAACAGAAGACAGCACATGTGTTGTTACTTGGCTAAACAAGTCGCCCACTGTGATAATCTTTACAGAATATAAATACAAAGCAGAATTTACAAGACATGCTGCTGATTTATTGATTGACTATATTATTGATTATATACAATTCTGATTAAAACAAAAATATATTAATTATTTTAATTACATTTATAATATTAAATACTTCATATGTACAAAATAATCTGGACTCAATATAATAACAGTTCATTTCAATATAAGCTTTCTACATATTTACACCAGATATTATCTCTGTATTTAAATGTTAGTTTTTTGTACACTTTCTTCCCCTTTTGGCTTCGTGGGGCATTTGGATTCCTGGAATGATACACAGAGGTGTGCTCCCTGTCAACGTTCTCATTCCAGTGGCACACAGCTAAGTTTGATCGAAGTTTATACTGGTTTTCTCCAAACACTATTCTCTTGTCCTGAAATATGTTCATGACATTGTTAAAACTTTCTACATAGAAAGTATCTTTACCCAAAACATAATCCTCCGGATATTTATAGATAACTGATCCTTTAAGTGCATTTTCTAAAAGTTTTTTGGCGATTTTACTTGTTAACACGACTCGGGAGGGCTCATAATTTTCATCCTTTCTACATCTTGACTCCGGATGACACTTTTCATGCAAGTTTTCATAGTGCGGAATGATATTCTCTATAAATTCTTGTAGTTTTTTTGGATTTCCATCACAATGACGAACAGCCCAATGAATATGAGTGGCAATTGGTTCGGTCTTGTCAACTAGCTGCTCACTCCAGGTAAAACCCTCAGACTTCTTACTGCCACAGGAAATGTTTTTCAGTGATTTTTTCAATGCTTTCACTGAATGCCATAAGTCGTTTTGATTTGTTGTTTCTTCTGAATCTTTAATAAATTTGTTGATACTGAGGTTTCTATCGTGAGAGTGGATCTTGACGGTTACATCTTGGGAGGTGAAATTTTCATAAATGGTCTCTGTGCCAATTCTTTCATGTCGTTGAGAAACTGGGTCTTGTTGTTTTGTGACATGGACACAATCCAAAACTTTGTGACATTTCTCACCGATGGCCACTACAGATGTGTCTTTTGCGTTTTTGCGCCATCCATGTCTAGCATCAGTTAAAATATTAATTCCATCCAAATCTTCGTAACTTCCAATTTCTTCATGAAGAGCATCTTGAATGGATTCTTGATATTCGGCCTCAACAGAATTTTCATATTCTTCAAAAAATTGTTTCCTCCTGGCCCAGTTGATGCATCCTACTCCACTTCCATTTGAGAATCTTGTGTAATGAGATGGTAGCATTCCACTACACATGAGGCCATGACATATTCTGTGGTTGACTAGATATTCATCATTGGGTAGATATGGTGATGATGACCAGGAATAACTATGCATTTTGTCCTTGGAGCATTGGAGGCGCAAAGAGATGACATGTCCTTTCATAGTTTTCTTTGAAAATTTCAATTTTCCATTACAGTTTTTGGTATGAGCTTCACTAAGTTCACATATATTCAGAAGTGATGATTCTGCACAAACAAACATTTTCTGATTTACGTCCCTCTTCCTGACTTGAAGATATGTTGATGGAAATTGTGTCTGATCTGGCTCCACTCTTTGGTCCTCCGAGTGCTTTCTTAACCAAAAGTCCAAAAGTTCCTCAATTATTACAGCATTGTTTACAGGTGCATTGCGCTTAGAAGTGAGAAACGTTTTCACCTCTTGGAGTTTTCCTTGAATTTTAGTTTTAAATTCTCCATCACCTGGAATTTCAAGTCTAAAATTTGGTGGACGTTTCTTTGAGGATTCTTCGTTTTTTGCCATGATTTTGAATACAAGATTTTGATGGTTCTGAGAGAAATTGTTTTAGTATATATATTGGTTGTCAGTAACCCAAAACCATCCTTCACTGGTTATCATGAATTTTCTGCGAGGCCAAGGGGGGGGGGGGGTATTTATTGTTATAAAAGAGAAAAAATGTTACCACATTATAAAATAATTATTGTTCGAATGTACTAATACTCTTTTTTTTACATTTATTAATATTTAGAAAAAAAATTAATTGCCTTAATTTCCAGAAATAAACAAAATAAAAAAAAATGTGTAGTAATATAAACAGAATTCTCCTTAGTTTGGCCCTAATCACAAAATTGCAGTAACTAATAAACCATTCTCTTATCACCTATTTGATCATGTGGGGAGGTCAGACTTCACACAGCTGCATCAATTAGTACCTACCTACATTGCATCAATTAGTATCTACACCGTAATCATTTAGACACCATTTTCCATCAGTGTGTTATTTATTTGGAAAGCAAAATGGGGGAAAGACAGAGATTAATTTTGGATGTGAGTGAAATGCAAATGGAGGCCATAAAACATTTCTTTCTGCATAGTGACTGGGATTTTCGCCCCATTGACACATTACAGGAAGAGGAATTTGGCGGGAAAACATGTGTAAGATCAGAATGTGCAGACAAAGGAGTTCAGACAAATACAGAATTGGATACTGGACCTATAGAAACCGATTGCTGTGGCAATGATGAAGAAGAAGAAGAAGAAAAATTTGTCATCCCTCAAGACAATAACAGAGATGAATGCCCATTCTGCCTCTGCAAACCCTGCATCACAGACGACAACAACAGACAATTATGGTGGGAAGTGGAACCATTCAGACTGCCCCACCCCAGGAATTCTAAATTACGAAAGGA